GCTGGATTTGGGCATGCCAAGGACATCGTCATTGCCGAAGTGAATGCCGATGACCACCGCGACCTGGGCACCAAGTTTGGGATCCAGGGATTCCCCACTCTCAAGTTCTTCCCCAAGGGCGGCGACGTGAAGACTCCCGAGGACTACACGAAGGGCCGTGATCTCGAATCCCTTTCTGACTTTGTCCGCGAGAAGACTGGTATTGTTCCACTCATCAAGAAGCCCGCTTCATACGTCACCGCTCTTGACTACGCCAAGTTCAAGGATGTGGCTCTTGACGAGTCCAAGTTTGTCCTGGTGGAGTTCTACGCTCCCTGGTGCGGACACTGCAAGACTCTTGCCCCGATCTACGAGCAGCTCTCCCAGGTTTTCCAGAACGACGACAACGTTGTTATTGCCAACTACGACGCTAGCGATGACTCCAAGATTAAGGGCGAGTACCCCATCCAGGGCTTCCCCACCCTGCTCGCCTTCCCCGCTGGCAAGGACGTCGAGCACATTGAGTACGACGGCAGCCGCGGTCTCGAGGATCTGGTTGCCTTTGTCAACGAGCACGCGGGCACTCAGCGCACCACCGAAGGCCTGCTTGATCAGTCTGCCGGCCGTCTCGAGGCATTGGATGCCATTGCCCGCAAGTACATTGCTGCGTCCAAGGCCCAGCGCACCAAGCTGATTGCCAAGGCAAAGGCCACCGCCGACAAGGCTAAGGACAAGACCCAGGCCAAGTTTGCCAAATACTATCTCAAGGTCATGGAGAAGATGGCTTCTGCCTCTGACTTTGCCAGCAAGGAGGCTGAGCGTCTCTCCAACATTGTCAAGAGTGGTGCTGTCAGTGCCAGCAAGCTCGACGGTTTCACCATTCGTCAGAATGTCCTTAATGTCTTCCTCGGCAAGAGCGAGCCGGTTGAGGTGAAGAAGGAGGAGGAGGAGGTCAAGGCCGCCGATCGTGCAAAGGACGAGCTCTAAATTTGTTTTTCCTTTTTTTCTTACACGTGATGTTTCCCGCAACTCAATTTAATAAATTGTCAAAACCATTTGGCGCAATCGCGTTTTTTTTGCACAATGGCACGCTTTGGAAATTAAAGGCCAGCTTTCAGCGTGTCCGTACGATATCCAATTCCACACATATTCCCTCTGCTTATTTTTTTACATGTCTACGTCCAACGAGTTATGGACGCCCGAGGCTGAATTGGCCCTGTACATGTCGATGGTCGGGTTACGACCGGTTGGCATCCACAAAAACTTTCGCATAGTCAATATTTACACGCGCCTGCTCGGCCGGTTAGGAAGCGCAGAGATTTCTATCAGTGAAATCAAGAGCCGCCTAGAAACTCTGTTCAACATGAGTCTGCTCGACGAGATTGACGACGAAGAGGATGATGACAGCGATGATGAGGAGAGCGATGTGGAGCATGCCGATGCTGGTGCAAAGCCGGCATTGGCCACCTCTGCAGCAAACAGGATAAAGCCGGGCAAATGCGATAAAATGCCAGTGGTATCAGCAGGCGATGGTAGCGAGGATGAAGAGGCAAATTCTGGCTCTGAAAGTGAGAACAATGGCAGCGACATTAACGAGCCCAGTAGCGCACGCAGTGGCCACAGAGCAGGAACAGAGCGCAAACAAAATATTGTCAGCAGCGCCATCCCAGCGACCAGCATTGGTGCAGAGATTGACACATCTGACCCGCACTTTTGGCGAAAGGCAGACTCGGAGTTTACGCTTCCGTGGGCTGAATTTGGAAACTTGATGGTCGAGAGGGCCAATGTTGATGACCCAGACGACCACGATGACCTTGAACGAGGAACTACTAGCGGTGCCTCGGCCATATCGACACCCAAGACTGCCACACCGGCGCCTGATTCCGAACCCAAGTCGGAGGCTGAGGCCGAGGCCGAAGTTGAAAATGAAATTGATGGTGACGGCGAAGGCGAAGTCGAAGTCGAGGCCAAAGATGAGGGCGAAGGTGAATCCAGCGATGGGCGTGTGTCGCCAGTGCAACGCAAAAGAAAGGGTCGGCCGTCGACACCTGTATCTCGAAGCCGGACGAAGAGCACGCGCAGCAGCACGGCCAGTGCGCGTAAGCGGCAGAAGATGCGCTAAGTGATGTAATATTTTGAATTTTATTTCTATTAAAAATAGAGGCTCCAGTTTAAATAATGGCGTTGTATTCGCTTTTCATAGCACCCCACTAGTCAGATGTAGAGTCGTCGTCCTGAGACACCTTGCCAGTAGATGTTGCAACAGTGGCAGTGGCGGTGTTCTCGGAATCATCCTTGTTGTCAGAAATGCGCAGGCTTTGCATAACATACCGCGTCACCATCTCCCGCAGCGCATCCTCGTCCCCCTCGCTGTTCTCGTCAACGTTCTGCAGCAGCCAGTTTGACAGGTCCTCGAGCTTGGCATCAGTGATGCTGTCGACCGATCCCTCGGCTTGCTCGGATTCAACAACTTCCTCGAGCTTCGGCACAGCGATGTCGAGGTGCTTGCAGATCACCTCGGTGACTTCGACAACCTCGTTCTCCAGCGTGGTGTGCACGGGTGTCATGCCCTCGTCATTCTCAACACTGGGGTCCGCGCAGTGCTCGAGAAGCAGCAGTGCGCACTCCTTGTCCTCGCAGATGTGCAGGGGCGTGTCGCCGTCGGAGTCAGTGATATTGACGTCGCCCCCGTTGTCGATCAGATACTTTAATAGATCGAGGTGCTTCCACGATGAGGCTGCGTGCATTGGCGTGTAGCCGTTCTCGTCCTTTGCGTTGACCAGGGCCTTGTCGGCCTCAACCAACTCTCTCACGCGAGCAAAATCGCCGTCACTTGTAGCTGTCCAGATGTTTGCCATGGAAAGAGAATGTGGTGTGATATACTGAGCAGCGGATGGGGGTTAAAGTGGAAAAAAATAAAAATGAAAATGAAAATCGCAGCTGGCTGGCTCAGTTTGGGCAAAAACAAAAAATGCCAAACGCTTAAAAACACTGATCTACACCATCTTGCGGTCCAAAAATAAAAGGGCTGAGCCACGTGAGCTGCTGGATGAATACGGTTGCAAGCTTGAAAAAAACCCCTCATAAATGCACAGCATCTCAGTGCTTATCTGTGCGCATGACACGCACAGTCATTTTGCACGGGGCAGAGATACTGGTGGCTGATTGCGGAATTGCGCCTGATATGAAGGGAGGGGGCAGGCAGGCTTATCGTTTAGCGTGGCGTGCAGCGTGGGTACGCAGCACTTTGTATAAAATGGCAGTTGAAGGAAGGGCTTTCAAAAACGCACATATATTTACCATCGTCTCTCAATGCTTTTTGAACCCCTTTTCAGTTTTCAATTTTTCGCTTAATCAACTTTGAACTTTTTTTACCAACAATGATTGGGCGCGCCCTATTCAGATCGCAATATGCACTGGCAGCAAAGTCGCGCGGCCAGCAACTCAGTAGTGCCCCGCACAAGACAGCGCGCCGCAGCCTAGCAAACCTGGCCATGTTTGCCGCAGCCAAGAAATTCGCCCTATCTGCAGCACCATCCGAGCGTGCCAAGGTGGCAATCGTCGATGACTCGGGATCCTACACATATGCGCAACTTCTAAGCGACGCGCACAAGGTGCGGACCGCCCTGGGCAGCAAGGACCACAAGGGCGCGAGCATTGCCATGCTTATGCCCAACAGCTACGAGTACGCGGCAGTCCAATGGGGAATCTGGGCTGCCGGCGGCGCTGTGGTGCCCCTGAGCCCGATGCACCCGGAGCGCGAGCTCGAGTACTTTATCACTAACGCGGAGGCGTGCCAAATCATTTGCCATCCCTCCCTGTTGAAAAACATCCAGCCCGTACTCGACAGGCTGGGTGGATCGGTCAAGCTGCTGAGCTCTGATGTGATCATGGCGCTGGCTGATACAACACCCAGCGATCGTGGGGCTGACGCTGAGATCAGCGCGGACCAAAGCGCGTTGTTCATATACACGAGCGGAACCACTGGGAAACCCAAGGGTGTGGTGCACACGCACGCGACTATTGGTGCACAAGTCGGTGCCCTGTATGATGCCTGGGGATGGACTTCTAGCGACCGTTTGCTACATGTGCTGCCGCTGCACCATGTTCACGGCATTGTCGTCGCCCTGTGCAGCGCCCTGTGGGCCGGCGCAACGGCCGAGATGATGGCAAAGTTTGACAAGTCAAGGGTGTGGAACCGGGTTATTGACGGCCCTCAGGACATTTCAGTTCTCATGGGTGTTCCCACGATGTACGCCCGCCTGCTTAGTGCACTTGAGGACATGTCGCCAGCGCGCCAGAGCGCCGCCCGCGACTCAATGGGTAAGCTGCGCCTGACCATCTCGGGCTCGGCGGCATTACCAGCGTCAGTGTTCAAAAAGTGGCAGCAGACCACGGGGCAAGCGATGCTCGAGCGCTATGGGATGTCGGAAATCGGAATGGCACTGTCCAACGATGCCTTGAACCCGGCCGCCCGCAAGATGGGAGCGGTCGGCAAGCCGCTGCCTGGCGTTGAGGTGCGACTGGTGGATGGCGAGGGAGTCAATGTCACAGACACGCCGGGAGCCTCGGGCATGATCCAGGTCAAGGGACCCAATGTGTTCCACGAGTATTATAACTTGCCTGAAAAGACCGCCAAGGAGTTTACAACTGATGGGTGGTTTATCACTGGTGACATCGGCACCCGCGACAAAGATGGACTGTACTACATCATGGGCCGCGAAAGCGTGGATATAATCAAGTCTGGTGGGTTCAAGCTCTCGGCGTTGGAGATCGAGCGCGAGCTGCTCGAGCTCCCCATCATCACCGATGTCGCCGTGGTTGGAATTCCTAGCGAGGAATGGGGCGAAATTGTGGCTGCTGCTGTGACCCTCAGGCCCGGCACTTCGCTTGATATCGCTGGGCTCAAGGAGTGGTGCCACGATCGCATGGCGAACTACAAGTCCCCAAAGCTGCTGCGTGTCGTTGACGCGCTGCCGCGAAATCTCATGGGGAAGCTGGACAAGAAGGCTGTAAAGTCGCTGTTTTCAAAGTAGCAAAACGCAGTCGAGCATATTATTTGATTTAACATAACAATAAAAGCAAAAAAAGTGTGCAATTGAAGGAAACAAAGTGTGCCAAACAGCCTTGTGGTCTATAAAACTATGCGATGGCAGGCGGCGATTCGGGGATTGTATCCATGGTCGAGTCAATGGGCTCTTCATTGGGCCGAGACTCGGATACCTTTGGATTCGGGGCCATCGCAAAGCCACTGCTGTTTTCAACCTTGCTGACATTGGTCTCAGCCCGCGGGTCCAGTGATGCCGGCTCTTCGATCTTCTGCTTCTGCGACGAGTGCTTGTCGCTGAGCCTAATCGCCAATGCCAGCATATCGCTGCGCTTCTGCTTCATCAGATCGGACTCGAACCAATTTTGTATTGGGACGCTGTTGACAGCCAGCTCTATAATCTGTGCATGCGACTTTAAAAACTGCTCGATGTAGTGCAGCAAAAATACGCCGCAGTCGCAGTTGTTTGTCTGGAGCGGCACCTTTGCGTAGTTACCTTTTTCGTCAAAATACGTGTTGACGTTGTACCTCGAACTGGCTTCCGCATTCATAAATCCGCGCAGCAGGCGGAATGTTTGCATGTGCTTACTGCCGAGCGAGTCCAATATAATGATGCTCGGCCTCGTGAGTGGGTCTTTATATTTAGACTTGGGGATATCCACCACCTCGCCCATGAATTCTAAAGATACCACTGGGGGCTTGACTTGTGTCAAGCCGGTGCCCCTGGTCCTGGGTCTGTCGCCTGCGCGCGGGTTTGGGCAGGGCGACGATAAGTCTATAACATCGTGCGAGCGCGGGCTGGCGGATTTGCAGCGTTCTTTTTGGTCGTCACTGAGCATATCCACGTCGTCGACAATCTTGTAGGGTGCAGTCACGGGCGCCAAACTCGAGGGACCTTGTTCATGATTGGCCATTTTCAGCCTCTTAGCGGCGGCAACTGCCCTTATCAGGTCTTCAGTTGACGTCTCGGGTGGTGGTGAAGAGGCCCCTCTCATCTCGGCATCTCCATTAGCATGCTTGGACGCGGAAACCGACTTTGCGACTGCTTTTGACGAGGATTTGATCCCAAAGTATTCGCTCAGCGTGTTGGTCGGCTGGTCGGAATCGTCCGGGTTTCAATGTCAACATCCTTGTCAGACTGGGCGTCATCTTTGGGGATTATATCCTCAGCTGGATGATCGATGGGCTCTTCAGCTGACCCGCCTGGGTTGCCCACAGCCGAATCGCTCTTGTCGTCGTCGACAATGGTCGCCCTTTTCAGCAGTTCCCCAGGGTTCGCGATAATGGCCAGGTACCAGTGGAGGCGCTCGTTGATTGGGACAAAAATGTACTTCTTGTCGAACAAATTCACATTGGCCGTCCACTTCTTCAGCTGGCCATGTACCTGCTCCAATGGGTTCTCCCTCGACCCTGACGGCGGAAGACTCTTTTCAAGATGTGACAGCTTGCGAAAGAAAAAGGTGTTGAAGAAAAAGCACTGCTCGAACAGCTCGGGGTCGCTGACTTTTAGGTTTTCGCTGATGTACCGCATGTAGAACTCAATGATTGTGTCGTTGAGGAACTCGTTCGCGAACAGCCGGGAGATGTCCGAACCAGTGACTGAGATGCGCTTGGCGCCACCTGGTGGATACTCGAACAGACGTGTCTGGTCCAAGCACCGGTATTTGTGCTGAAGGGCCTCGGCTTTCCTGTCGTTGTCGGACAGCACCAAGTCGCCATGCTCAGCGTCCTCGTTCGGCGACAGCTCAGATATGGTAACTCGAGTGGTATTGCGTAGCTCGTACCCCGACTTGTTATAGATGGAAGAAAAAACACGCGGAGTCGAATTTCCAATGGATGGCCCCATAGTTCCGCGTCTCTTGCTGCGGGTTCTGGACACATTCATGCTCGAATCAGAATCGTCCGAGTTGTCGCAGCGGCCTTTTGACGGGCTATCTGGCCTTCCAGTGGAAACCATGCTCCAAATGCTTGACCGAGACGGTGTTGACTTGCGCCTGGAGCTGGGCGTAGCCGCTTTAGACGACCCAATCACTCCACCAAACAGCGTAGGCTTTGTCAAAAACCCAAGACCATCGTTGTCAATGTTGCTGTCGTCCCGCTTACCGAGGCCCGCGCGCTCGTCGTCAGACGAGGATATCAGGTCAATGCTGGACATTTTGGTAAACTCGCCGACGTACCTCTTGTATATGTCAATATCCAGTGGAGACGTGGCAACCGTGCCCTTCAGCAAAGACAAGAGCAGCGACATGATCTGCTTATTGACTGTCGACTCGGTCGACCAGCATAACACAATCTGGCTCAGTTCCTTATTGGGACTGCTCGGGTCGAACGTCGACTCCTCAAACAGCTGTTCCATGGTGTCCTTGGGCATTATGCACAAAATGGCCAAAGCGTCTTGCTCGCGGTGCTCCATCGCGTCGATCTCGCTGGCGTTGAATCGCATGCGCTCCTTGCCATCGCGCAGGCCTGAAATCTCAAAACACTGCTGTACAAACTTGATGTGGAGGCGCAAATGATCTGAAATGGGCCTTCCAAAGTTCAAGTCGGCTGCCTGAAAGTACTTCCCAATCTGAACTCCCTGCAGCAAAATGGATTTCGGAGGTATTGCCTTTAACGGTGCAGCTTGGGCCGACATCCTGGTCGCGGCACGGCCGGCTGGCTTGAGGTACGGCTTCAATGTATTTTGCCCCATTTCCAAGGCGGGAGGCGGCAAGTATGACTGCGACTGCGGGACCGCATATGGGTCGAGCACAGGCTTTTTTGGCAGCAGCTCTTTTATTATAGGGTTGTAGCTATCTGCCATCTGTGCGCGCGACTTTTTCGAGGAAAAGGTGTTATCACTGGTGACAACCGTCTCCTTTCCTTTATCTGAGTTCGCCAGCTGGCCCATCACCTCAGCTGACCGGCGTGTGATGGGCACCACCGAGGGCTTCACTTGTGGAATAGCACTCTCGTTACTTTTGGTCACAGCAGCAGCGGCAGGCGTAGGGTTCTTCGGCCGCAGGCGGTCAACAACCTTGGTAGCCGGGTGGGTTGATTTTTCGACGGTTGGGAACAGCATATGCATTCCAAACCCAGACGATCTTCTGGGCGCACCCGCAGAGGTCATTTTGGTTGGAGTGCCAGGGCTGTGTATGCTCGCCAGTCGCAAGGTATTCGGTCTGTATGGGCTGCTGAATCCGTCCACCGTCCTCTCCACGCTCTTTGTAATGATTGGCGGCACCGGGGTAAGATCGCTAGAATCTGGCTGTCTGAGCGTCGACACGCGGCCCATGGTGACGGTCTCTTCGTCGGAGCTGTTGTCCGAGTTAATCTCCATAATTTGGTCGTCGGGAATTTGCAGATCCTTATTCGTCTTCTCGCTCGCCGCACGAGAGGCCGCAGCAAAGACCGATCCATCGACCTTGGGTGTGTTCGGTTTGCTAGTTCGCCTGGCATACCTAGTGTTAATTAAATCTTCCGGTGTGTAATAGGGATCTGAAATGTCTGACTTGGATTTCGGACTGACTTGCGCAGGGCTCAAGGGTAAGTACGGTTTTGTACCTTCCAGCCTCTTGACGCGGTCACTTCTCCGCCTCCCACTGTGCTGCCGGTCGAATCCGGCGACTTGGCTGATATTTTGAAATCGAGAATTTCCCCTCAAGGCGTTCGCTGGCGAGACTAAACCTCTATGCGACCGCGACCGCTGATTGCCCGAGTGTGAAGACGCATTTGCCGAAACGCTAGGCTATTCGTGAGTCAAAAGGCAAACGCAATCATCAATACGCTGATTGTTTTTTTAGTATGTTGTCTATTATTTTAGCACGTACGCATAAGTATAGCAAAATTTACAGAAGCAAGAGGCCTATAGCGCATAATTAGCATTTATTTGTGTTGTTTTCGAATTCGTACATTTCCGTTGCTTAAAGTTGGTATTTCGATGAGTGTCGGCCGCTGGTTGCGAAGTGGTGTGGTTGAGTTGCTGTTATCACCCTAATTTGTAACAAAAATTGCAGAATGTGTGTTTGAGCAAGCAGCTTTGAATTGTGCATAAAATTATGCATAAACAACAATTTTTTATGAATTTTCAGTATATGCGTGCGACATTTCTCTGGCTAGTTAAATGCGCCAGCTTACCATTGTCAAAATGAAAGCGAGTATTGAATTTGTTTGAAGTGATGAATAGTTGCAATGTGAAAGGTGTTGTTTATGAATGCAGCGGTGTATTAAATCGAAAATTAGTTGAAGGAAAAATGAAGAATAAATTGGTCCTCAACTAAGACAAAAAATCTACGAGAGAATAACTCTCAATCTGCGAGAAATGCAAGCCGGGCCAGGGGTTGATCAGATTGGCGACGTTTGTAATCTGGAAAAAACAATCACGGTTCAATTGAGTGTGTACGCAGCAAGGGTGAGCTGTCGATTCTGTCATTTTGGCGGATGACAAGCTGGTGATGAGCCTGAGCACAGTAAGACTCTGTTCAATGTATAACGATGCTCTTTCTTCTGTCTTCTTTTGCGCTCAACAATAAAACCTACCCGCCCACCAGGCAAGCAATCGAGCCTGTCCGCTTGATGGTTGGAATGTGTTGGCTTCCTATTTTCGCTGATTCCCGTACTAAATAACAAACCAACCGGTTTTCATATTTCGCATGTTGAGATAGTCGCACCATGTGACACAGCTTGGATGTCGATCGTGACAAACGGCAAGGATTATCCCTTGCATGACTTGATTTTATTTGACTTTGTACCAGGCTTTCTTTTCCTTTGCACAAAATTGTTTCCCCAACTACAAGTCCAAGTCCATCCACTCTTCCCTTTGACTCTGGCAAGCGTTACTGGACTTTTTTCTGGATCTTCACATTTTAAATGCAAGGAATGAGATAGAATCATAAAAAAGAAGGAAAGAAAAGGAAATAGAAAAAAAAACAAAAAAAAGAACACATGCGACATCCAAGGGAGACAAACAAGCAAAGCCAGGATTCAAGCCTCGATGCCAGCATGCAAGCTCTTTAGGGGTGTAATAAAAAATAAAAGAACAGTGGTTGATTGTGGTGGCAGGGTTGCATTGGCATGGTTAGTCGATGCGGTTGAAGCTCCGTCCGCCCTTGGGAAGTTCGTTGAGCTTGGGATTCCTCTTCTCAAGGACATTGCGGTCGCGCCCCACAATGTCAAAGTCGCAGCTGTGCTGGTCGTGAAAGCGGTGACCGTCGCAGAAGACATACCCGCAGCGGCACTTATTGACGGTCTGCTTGACCAGCGGCACGCGCGTGCGGCATTGGAGGCAGCGACCCTTGTTGGTCTGTATCCGCTTCCTTGGGGTCAGCATGCCAGATGACTCAACCAAGAGCGGCGACTGTGCGTGAGAGCCGGGGGTTGAGCTCGAGGGCAATTCGGGCGCAATGTTTAGAAGAGCGCTTTCAATGATCGACTCGACGTTGGCGTGCGCGGGTTCCTCTAACCATGATGGCGAGTCGACGTCCATTGCTGAGTCCATTGCGGGCACATTGCTGCTGGCATCCATAGCGGCGGCACTTGTAGAGGGCACCTCAGCCTGGGTGGCCACAGATGCAATGGGCATTTGCGCCTGTATGGCTGCTGAGGCGGCGGCGGTAGCTTCGACTATTTGGCTGGCATCTACAAACGGGGCGAAAAGATAAAGAATAGGGGGGGGAAAAGTCGAGAATATTTAGCGCACAATGTCAGTTCAACAAAGCAAGAAACAAGAGGCAGTGCAGTGCAGTGCAGTGCAGTACAGTACAGTACAGTGGTGAAAATGTGGAGTTCTGGGGAGAGCAGCGCCCATGCCGCCTAAACAAAGGGTATCTAGTCAAATACATGCACCTATGTTCAATGGCTACAAAGTGACATGACGACAGGAGGCAGCTCCCCCGTGGCGCCCTCCAGCCAAGGCCAAGGCATAGGAGTTTTCATATTCAGAAAAAAGACAGTCCTGCTGGCCTCACGTGGGATGGGGAGGCCAACAAGAATAATACGCGCATCCCTATTTCGCCTCCTCCCAAGACATGTGCCTGCCCACTATATGCTGACATGCTCACCACCTGCTCAAGCATGCAGAAGGAGACGCTTGAGCAAAATAAAAGGCATGATTATTGGAGGCTTGCAGCGGCATACGTGTAAGGAGAAAAATATTGGTGAACGAAAGAAAAAAAGGCGAGGGGGGAAAATATGATGACTATTCAAAGAAAAAATTATCACACAATAAAATAATAAACCGCTGGAAAAAAGCATAGAATACAGTGCAACCAACTCTTCAATTCGACAAAATTGAGGTAAAATTCACACGAAAAAATATATATGTAACGTACCTTTCTGCTGTGATTGTAACTTTTGCTGAGTCTCCTTAAAGCACTTTGAGCACAAGTTGTTGTTGAGCGGGTTTCCGTAAAAGCCACACTTGTTGGCGCACAATTCCGTCGCTTGCGAATCCTGATTCTTTTCCATTCTTAAAAAAAGTTGCACAACCTGGTGTGGTATATTAAAGTGCAATAAAAGTAGAGTAGAAGAAAAAAGGTGACAAATCCTGGCAATAAAACTCAGATTAGCACGATAAAGAGCAAATGAGAGAATAAATATAAAAAAGAGGGTAAAAAAGTGAGTTAAGGGGGGGGGCTATAGTGGTTTTTTTTTTTTAAAAAAATGAGAAGCAGAGAAGAGAAAAATGACCAACAAAAAAAGAGGGTAAAGCTGGTTAAATAGTGAGGGCAAAAGTCTGGAAACGCAATTTCCCCTTTCCCCTTTTAAGCTTTGGTTTGGTTTGGTTTGGTTTGGGTTTGGATTTTTTTCTTTGAGCGCACAAAATCCGTCTTACAGTTCAAAATCCTCAACAACAATGTCACGGGTCCGTTTTTAATGTGTATTGACACCCGCTGTTGCCCTTTTTGTTGTGTGTGCTGTATGTGAAACTCACACTCAAATAAAAAAGCTTTAATCTTCGTACCGACACTTATATTGTTTTTTTGCAACCAGACCAATCGCCCTCTTCTTTTCTCTCCCCCGCCCGAATCGCTTACAGTCTCCATCCACAAACAAGCAAAATTGTCTCTGTGTCTCGAATCAAGTGCGCAGAGGGGAAAAATACTTTTGCCGCTATTGGTCGAATATGCTTCTTGTGATCGAAGCATCTGGACTACCTAAGGCCCCAGAGAGGAGAGGAGGGTTTTTTTAAAAGCGAATTTGTTGTCGCTGTGGCAGCCAGCAGCAGCCATTCACATTCACATCAGCCATCAGCCCCCTTCGTCCCATTGCCAAGACCCTTATGTTTGCAGTCGTCATCGCAAAGCCATTTGTTTTCTCCCCCCCCCCCCACCCAAAAATAGTACGAGAGCCAGTTTGCTGCGCATTTCCAGTATCTGCCCTTCACTGCAGATTTTGCGGCCTTTCTCGGCCCAAACAGGGCAAAGTGCAATCACAAAATCCGATTACTAATACAGCAATTGTGAAATGGCGCAATGGCGCAATGGCACTATCGTTGTTGCCCACTGCCTGTGTTATCGCTGATCACGAAATATGAAGCAAAAAATACGATGGATTTAAACTTAAAACTAAAGGAGAAAAATAAATAGAAAAAGGTGAGCAATGCAAAACCGGCTCGTGGCTCCCTCAGTTCGTGACCCGGACTGGCTCAATGTTCCAGACCTCCTCGGCGTACTCTTGGATCGAGCGGTCGGACGAGAACTTGGCCATGCGAGCGACTGACAGAATGGATTTCGTCACCCACTCCTCCTGGTTGCGGTAGGCATCCTCGACGGCCTTGTGCGCCTGGATGTAGGACGGGAAATCGACCGACAACAAATAGACGTCGCCGCCGCGCAGAACCGAGTCAATCAGGGGCTGGAAAATGGCGCCGTCGCCAAAGGTGTTGTTTTGGATCAAGTCAAAGGCAGTCTGCAGCGCCTCGTCCGGCTTGGGCTGGTGGAAGCGCAGGTAGTGGCGGAAATCGCCGACCTCGTGCGCCAGGCAGCCAAAGAAGAAGATCTGCTCCTCGCCGATCTCCTCGCCGATCTCAATATTGGCGCCATCGACCGTGCCCAGGATGATGCCGCCGTTGAGCACAAACTTCATGTTGGACGTGCCTGACGCCTCAGTGCCGGCGGTCGAGATGTGCTGCGAAATGTCGCTCGCCGGAATGAGGTACTCGGCGGCAGTCACACTATAGTCGGGAATGAACACGACCTTGAGCACATCGCCAATCTCGGCGTCGGCGTTGATGACCTCGGCCACCGAGTTGATCAGCTTGATCACCTGCTTGGCCACCCAGTAGCCCGCGGCGGCCTTTCCAGCAAAGATCACCACGCGGCTGACCTCCTTGGCGCGCTCAGTGGGGGTCATCTGCTTCAGGCAGTGGTAGCGGTAAATGACGCTGAAGATGTTCATCAGCTGGCGCTTGTATTCGTGGATGCGCTTGACCTGCACGTCAAACAGTGCGTCGGCGCTGATCTTGATGCCGGTCGTGGACAGGATGTAGTCGGCTAGGCGCTGCTTGTTCTTCTGCTTGGCGGCTGACCAGCGGGTGCGGAAATCGTCGTCGGCCACGTGGTCCTCGAGCTTCTTGATCTTGGTCAAGTCGTTGATCCAGGTGCGGTCGCCGACGACCTCGGTGATCAGCGCGCTCATGTCAGGGTTGCAGCCGTTCATCCAGCGGCGCGGCGACACGCCGTTGGTCTTGTTGATAAACTTGTCCTCGCCCTGGACGGTCACAAAGTCGTTGAAGATCGACTGCTTGATGATGTCCGAGTGGATGGCGGCGACGCCGTTGACCTTGTGCGAGCCGACGCACGCCAAGAAGGCCATGCGCACCTGCTGCGGGTTGGACTCCTCGATGATTGAAATGCGGCGCAGCAGGTCGCGGTCGCCGGGGAACTTCTCCTCGACGCTCTGCAAAAAGTACAGGTTGATGTCGTAGATGATGCCCATGTGGCGAGGCAGAATCTTGTCCATCATGGGCACCGGCCACTTCTCCATGGCCTCGGGCAGGATGGTGTGGTTGGTGAACGCAAAGGTGCGTGTCACGATCGACCAGGCCTCGTCCCAGGTCAGCGCCTCGTCGTCGAGCAAAATGCGCATGAGCTCGGGAATGCCCAGCGTCGGGTGGGTGTCGTTCAGCTGGATGGCCGCCAGGTCGGGCAGCTCACTGAGCGGCTTGCCGGTCTTCTTGAAACGCGCGACGATGTCCTGCAGCGTGGCGCTGCAGAACAGGTACTCCTGCCGCAGGCGCAGCTCCTTGCCCTCGTTCGTGTTGTCGTTGGGGTACAGCACGTCCGTCAGGATCTGCGCGGCGACTTGACCGCCGGTGGCGCCTGCGTAGTCGCCTGCGTTGAACTTGTTCAGGTCGAACAGCGAGTTGGTCTTGCAGCTCCACAGGCGGATGTTGCCAACATTGTTCGTGCCGTAGCCGGGCACCGGCACGTCAAAGGCCATGGCGTCGTAGACGACGTTGCTTTCCCAGGTGAAGCGGTGCTTGCTGTCGGGCACGCGGACCAGGTGGCCGTAGAACTTGACAGGGTAGGTGACATCGGGGCGCGGGAACTCCCAGGGGTTGGGCGAATCCAACCAGCAGTCGGGCGCCTCGACCTGGTAGCCGTTGATGATCTGCTGCTGGAACATGCCGTACTTGTAGCGCAGGCCGTAGCCCCAGCCAGGGTAGTCCGAGCAGGCCATCGAGTCGACGTAGCAGGCTGCCAGGCGGCCAAGACCGCCGTTGCCCAGCGCTGCGTCGCGCTCCTCATCAATGATGTCCTCGAGGCAGAAGCCGACATCGCCCAGCACCTTAGAGTACTCGTTGCGCAGCTCCAGGGCGAGCAGCGCGTTGTCGAACGTGCGGCCGATGAGGAACTCGAGCGACATGTAATACACACGCTTGGCGTTCACGCGGTCATGGTACTCGTTGGTCATGTTCCAGCGCTGCAGCAGGCGATCGCGCACCGAGAAGGCGCTGGCGAGGTATGCGTCGCCCGAGTCCATGTTGGCCGGCGTGCGCAGGAAGGTGGCCGTGAGGTGCATGACGACGGAGTTCTTGATGGTGGCTGCGTCGCGCGAGATCTCCGAGTGCGAGTAGTTCTGGAACACATTATCGATCTTGGACGGCGTCTTGGACTGCGTGCTCGTGCCGCTGGCAAGGAGCTCCTTCAGTGCGGCTCCCGAGACGACGCGTTTAAGCGACGTGGGCTGTGCGACCGGAACATTGGCGTCGTGCATGCCGGGCGTGGTCGCCTTGGCCGTGTTCAGGGGAATGGTAGTGCTAAAGTAGCCAGAGTTGTGCGCCATTTGAGTAGTTGAGAATAAAAAAAAAGAGCTTTTAGCAACAGAAGTTAATATAAAGTGAGCAAAGCAAATAAATAAAATGAAATATAAATGATACAATTGTGGAAAAGAGCAGAAATGTGATGTGCTCCTGCACCAGACTTTGCTTTATATGTGCCGTGAGCGTGTCAAAGCGCCATATCGTCAGCACCAAGCACTACGCACCAAGCAACACGCAACAAGCACTAAGCAGCACGCAACAAGCACTAAGCAGCACGCAACAAGCAACAAGCACCAAGCAATATGCACACGTAGCAAGTGCAAATTAATGCGCGCAGCTCGTTTTTCCCCCAGGCACATTCACCAACCAGGTCAACGTCATTGTCTATTTTGTGTCTGCGCAACAAAATTGGGCTGCGTGTGTGCATTGTGTGTAGATATGGAAAAAGAAGTGGGAAAACAGGGGGAGTGAGCGGCAATTAAGACCATTGTTCGCAGGCGATGAACGCGCGCCCTGGATCATGTGCGTCATGCCGCATCTGCTTACATCGCGCGCCCCTTATCCTGCGCTCCAAAGCAAGGCTTTTTTTGGCCATTTCCGCTTCAGATGCAGGTCCGGCTTTTGGCAAGCGAAAAACAGTGAGGGTTGGTGGATGGCGGTGAAATTAAGGGACGCCGCTGCAAATGCACAGAGGATTTCCTCTGCTGACGCTGGCGCTGGCGCTGGCGCTGATGCTGGTGCCGGCGCTGGCGCTGATTATGATGCCGCCAGCCCTTCGACAAACTCGAACAGGCGGGCGTGCATTGCGCCTGCATGTACACAGAATGGAAGCTAAAGCGCACATATACGCAGCCAAAGATGGGGGGGGGCATTTTTGAAGCGTCACAGCAAAAAAACAAATAAGGAAGCTCTATTCTATTGACGCATGGCTTTTTTTGCTTTAGCAGTAGCCATCGTCCAGCAGAATAGTCAGCAACACCAACGTACCTCGGGCTTCTGTCCATTTGGCTTTGTGTCGGAAAGATGGGGGCTTTAAGGCGTGTTTATTTAGTCGTTGAAGAGAATTTGGCGTGTAATTTGATGAAAATAAAAGCTTTGATGAATGAGAAAGAAAAATAGCCAACAATGAGCAAAAAAGCACGACAACCAGCTGGCGACAAGCAAGCGGCCAGGTTCTTTCTCTGGCTTGATGGCGCGCGAGGGGTGGCGGGGCTGAGAAAGCCATGAAGCGCGTTCAGGCATTCTTCTCCCTCCCATTAACCCCACCCCCCCCTCACCCTAATATATACTTATCGATGGGGGTTGAGCGGTGGCCACGCTTGCAAATAAAACTGATCTTTGTACCACCGAGTTGCGCGCTTGCACGTGCGAGATGGACGGGGTTTTGGCGATTTGCGCCTGCTTTCTGCAAGTCGATCGATGAGTCGATAAATCGACACAGAGCAAGCATTGGCGCGGGACTCTCTGCCGCTCGAAAAAAAGAGAGAAGTCGGCGGCTCTCACACGTCTGAGTATACGGTGGCAAAACAAACCCTGCTGCGCTCGAGCACACTTTTTTTTCTGGCTGGCTGGCTGGCTGGATTTCATTTCATTTTTATTTTGTGACGGGTGCCAGAGCGGAGCGCGATTTATTTGCGCTTGAATCCTGCTTAAATCAAGGTTGGACGCGGTCAAAGTTTAAAAAGCAAATGTCGGCAAAACAGCAGCGATCTTTTGGTGCGTGAGAGCAAGGATGAGGAAGGAAGTGCAGATAAACAGATATGCACGCGAGTGGAGCGAGAGTGTTACGCAGCCAGCCGCAGCAATCTCTGTACCAGCAGCAGTCACACTTAACGTTCTCACACCTAATATTAATTGTAAGATTAACCACAGAAAATCTAGGGGGGAAATAAAAGCAGTTTCCGCGCGCCATCCACACAGCGGGGGGCTTAGATGATCGAATGCAAAGTGCTTAACTACGCGGCGGCCGTCTTTGGCAGACGGCCTCCAAAGATCTTTGATCCCACGCGTACGTTGGTCGCCCCAAGCTCCAGCGCATGCTCAAAGTCGTCCGACATGCCCATGCTGAGCTCAAGCTCAGGCCCGCCCAGGTCGGCCTTGATCTCGTCGCGCAATCTGACCAGCGCCAGGAAGTCTGGGTTGGGGTGCTGGTGCGAGCCCTCGACCGATCCGATAGTCATCAGGCCTAGCAGGTTGAGACTCGCGCATGCTTCGCGCACCGACCGGGCCACCTGAAGAACCTCGTGCTGCTCAACGCCGCCCTTGTTTTCCTCTTCGCTTGTATTCACCTGGATGAACACGTTCAGTGGGCTGGCGTGCCCGGCACTTCCCCAGGCATCGTTCATCTTCAGCGCCTTTGCCCTGCTGTCGATCGTCTCGACTGCCCACAAATTGGGAATGCCTAACCAGGCGCGTGCACAGCAGACAAAAAAACAAAAGTAACACCGTTTGGTTAAGAAAAAAAGCACAACCTCTTTGCAATTTTTTTTGTTAACAGGGCTATCGGACACGTTATCAAAACTGGGGTTTACCTGCAAGTGCCTTGCATTTGTTGCTCTGCAGACGTCCAATAAAGTGCCACTTTATGTCGGATGGCAGCAGGGGTGCCTTCTCAGAAAGCTCCTGTACGTAGTTTTCGCCAAAATGGCGCTGTCCTGCTTCGTAAGCTGCCATGATATCCGACGCCGGCTTGTACTTGCTGACTGCCACAAGCCGTGCAACAACGTTCAACGACCTGCTTGCCAAAACAGCATCGCGGATTTCCTCCAGGTTTTCGCTGATCTCTACCTTGCGCTCGGCGCTGGGACTCTCTTCCATGGCTGATGCTTTTTTGTTCTTGGTTTGGCTTATGGATTTGTCGTCAGGACGCGATGTGTGCAAGAGCCGCGTGTATTTGCTGCAGAATGGTTTTTGCTTTAGGTATCTAACGTTTGTGCGGACCAGCATGCAACCTGGAAGGGGACTGTTTTATTTTTGAATTGAAATAATGAAAATAGCAATAAATAAGCTACGAACAACATTTACTCCCCATGCTCACCAATTAAAAAAAATGACAAATCAGATTTATTTGTAATTGTGAAAAGTGCAATAAAATGGGAATCTAGATGTTTGTTAATAAAAATATTAATCTACTGTAATATTTCTCGCTGTGGTTGGAAGATCGAGTGCTCGAGTTTAAAAGCCTTACTAGCATCCTGGGAGACACTTCCACCGCCAGGCAATTAATTAGACCCAGGTCTGCAACAGAGCCCATGATGGACAGGATGGTGTGGTCAGCTACCAGATTGTATTAATTTACTTTACTTTTTGTTTTATTGGCTTGGTTGATTATTTTGCTGGATGGATCTATTTTTCTTTTGTGGTGAGATCGAACTAATAAAAAATATACAATATACAAATGCAAAAATCCAGAACTACCCGGTTGACAATATGACCACAACGTCAGTTGCTTCATTCCACATTCCGATGCCTGTAAAATATTTATTTAATGCTGTCTAAATATGTATTAAGTGTTACATGCCAAAAAATAATTAAATAAGCACGTATTAGTTGCCATTTTTAAAGGACAGATTCCAACTCGAGTTTGGCATTCCAAAGTACGTCTGCCAATTTACTCGCTCCTTTTATGCTGGTTTTGTTTTCCCAAGATTTTTTCCCAGCTGGCCTTCAGCAGAAAAATTAGTCGGACAAGCTTAGCTCACATTTTGTACACATTCATTTTCAATATACACAATTATTAGTGTGCGTTTCAACATTTCAAATAGTGTCTCTAGTAATGAATACAGTATTGCAGTGAGCGTGTTGGCTCAATCAATGTACATTTTCCGCTCAGAATGCCAATTGCAAAACTGTGGTCAACATCGGCATTTTCTCTTTAATATCAGACTCCAAAAACACCAGCCCTTGTTCCGATGCGAGTGAGACAGCAGTGAACCCATTACCTGTATTTGTCCACAGCGTCAAACTCACTCGCGCACCTTCCAAACTCCCTACCCATCGACTGGTCATGTCGATAAAACACAACACTGCCACAGTCTGAGTCAATATCCATGCCAATAAGATACCTAGCCTCCCACTTCTCGCCATACTGATTGATGTGCTTGCCCAGGGCCAGTAATGTTGCAGGCATTGTTGCCATACCATGCCATTTCCACATCTGCATGCCATCATAGGAGATGCTCCGGAGATCATATCTGCCGCCCTCACCACTCTCGAGGGGAAGCCCACATCAATCCAAGCACTACTCGACCTACGTCAGCTGGCTAGTGAGCAGACACATGAAAGCTGTGCTTCCCACTAGCATTCTCCCGGATATAGGTAGTGGCCATGACAAACTCAAACCTCCAGCTTGAGCTTCATACTGTTTTTCTGCCGAGAAGCACACTAAACGATGGGCACTACAGCAAGCACAAGTGGGGATCGTCTACTGAGGCAGCGGCATTATAGACAATTGCAGCAGCAGCAGATGCTGGCTTGATCCTGAGACAATAAAACAAGGAATCCAAAGCAGGCACCTGATTCAGCACCTCTGTGAAAATGCAGTCAATGGCAGTACCACATAGTCCTGAGTCGTTCACGACTAGCTCAAGATTCCCAAAGCCGTCGATGCCCATATCATTGCCAGCCGAGGCAAACATCTTGGTACCCGTCTGCCATCTGGCCGCAAACCGATATACTGTGAACTGCGTGTGAAATTCGCCAAACCTGCGCCACAGCCAGCAGTTCAACCTTTGGGAACCTTTCGAAATACTTGACTATAAAAACTCTACAATCATCAAAGCACACGCCCAGTCCCTCCAGCAACCACTGCTGTCTCCCTCCCAGCTCATCCACAAGGCACTTCTTGTGCTCTTCCACTTCACCTGCCAAGTCAGCAGCCAACATTGTGTCTCAGCATAGGTACTTAGCGCACATATGCAGCAAGCCAAACGCGTCGCTGCGGCACAGCATGTACACGTTGATAGCAGCCAAGGCATACAACGCCAAGCCACGCAGCACCAGCAGCAGCTCACAGCCAAGGATGCGCAGTAGATAGACCAGGCATTGCACAGTCTCTGGTGACTGCATTTCGAGCCCAGCCACCAGCAGTGAGCCTGCCAGCACACCCATCATCATCTGGATCATTGGAAGCAGACTGCACAGCCGTGTGTTGCGCAGCCCCAAGGGGAAATCCCCACCGGTGCTGGCCGCCCTTGGGTCATTGCCATACAGTGCGCCCAGTCTTCGGGCTTTCCTCACTGTGCTGAACCGCAGGTGCTCACTGCTGATGTCCTCCATGCAAATTATGTGCTCCTGCGACAGCTGAGTAGTTTTCTGCATGCGCGATAGTGCACGTCATTCTCCCCACCAACAAACACGTATTATGATGCAACCATGGCGTTAACATCCATATTCACAGCACTGCTCCAGATGCCCAGACTCTTTATGAGATCTGCATCCAGCCCACACAAGTACCAAATGTAGGCAGCCAGCTGGCCGAGCAGCCCCATCTGGAAGTACCTGAGAGGATCAAACACAAGCACACTGGCATCCGTCCACATGCCCTGTTGTGCGACCATAGCCTGAATTGCAGAGAACACCACCAAGGGAGTGCTCATCTGCTGGCCCAACCTGATGCCCTTTGGCATGATCTCGCTCAACGCTTCATCACTGTCTCTGACGGGATAGAACGCCAGCTCCAAAGTATTCAAATACATGCTCTCCATTTGCCGCAGGAGCGGGGCCACCACATTGCGCACAACATCTTTGGCGTCCACCTGCCCGGAATACATCAGCGCAACCAGGCCCTTTGCCACGTAACTCTGCGTTGGGCCGCTGCTGCTGCCGTTGACCAAGGCCAGTTCGACCACCCACATTTTAATTGCGTCGTCAGCCATCAGTAGCCGCAAAAAGCCGCGCGACATTGCCGTGGCATTGATGATGGCCATGATGGCCGAGACATGTGTGCCGACTCAACGTCAGCTGCAAGCAGCCTGACACACATGGTTGCAATCGTCGGACACTCGGCCATTATTGGCGCCACATCGATCGAATGATACAGGCGTGAAATAATACTTGCCATGGTCTGGGGCAGCGGGCTGCGAATAATCCACCGGTGCGTCGACGCCAGCAGCGACACGCGGCTGATCAGCGCTACACTCCAGTAGTGCACCTCAGCGTCGTCGTCAGACAAGCATCGCCAACATGCGTCGCAGATTCTCTGGCTGCACGACCTCCGCCAGTGCAGCCGGGGCCACGGCCGTCTCCCGCGACATGCACAGGTACCAGAGTGAGCACAGAATCAGATGGTTGGTGTATGCATACTTGCCTGTCGCCAGCCTATGACACGGTTAATGCACCAACCCTGGGCATGCTGTCAGCTGCATCTTGCCGACACCTCACGACACAAACTCATGAAGAAGCCCAATGCCCCACGAGGACATGCCTTGGTCATCCTGGCGGACACACAAAGTGATGACATCGACGGCACCCAACTCCAGCAGCTGCACCATCTGCGGATTCGCTACCTCCGTTGCGTTTTCTTCTGCTGCTGGCAGCCGATACGCTGTGAGAAAAGTGTACAGCTGCATGAGGCTCTCCAGCAGCATGCGCAAAAGCTTAAGCTTAGCCACTGACTGGCGTGCGACACCGAGCAATGCAGACAGAAACGCCAGATCGATCATCCGCCGGTGGTACTCAGTGCGCAGCGCAAATTTCTTTGCCATGGTCACACCTACCAACAAGTGCAGCGTCTGATTGCTGTCTCCGCTTGCTGCCGCCTCAGGCCGAGCCGTTGGCTGACTGCAGAAGTACCTCGCTGAAAACCTCAAGAAGCCCCCAGCCAACTGCCTGCCGCATGTGCCGCTTGGATACTTCCGGGTCCGACACGTCCAGCAGCCCGAGCAGCGTGGTGGCTGCCCGCATCGCCACTTCTTTCTCTCTGGGCGCGCCCATAGCGTCTACCAGCGCCTCGATGCCGCCGGCCCAAACCAACCTGCCGACCTGCTGCGGCATCATCACCAGCACCTGCAGCAACACAGCTGCCCGCAACCAGCCCTCCTCCTCTGCTGTTGAACTTCCCTGAGCCTGCGCGACTATCAGCTGCAGCATCTCTCACCGCATGGCCATATCGAGTACCAGCTCAGACACAGTATCCTGCAGCTTAAAGTTGGCTGAATGCAGTATCAAATGTGCCAAGGAATTAACCATTTCGGGCATCTGAATGTCGAATGCCACCTCATTGTCCGCACCCTATTTTAGAATTATTGGTCCCGGCGCACCAGGCGTGTCGCTGTCGCTGTTTTTGTCTGTGTAGCAGAAATCTAACTCATATTGTGATTGGTCCAAAAGATGCGAAAGTACCTCCTGGTACGTGCCAAGCGCTGCCCCAATGCCAATTGCGAGGTAGTACCGACTATCGTCTATGCTAGCAAAAGATTATTGAAAGTATGTGAAAAATACTAAATTGTAAAATGTGAAATTGGAATTGGAAAGGAAAGGAAAATGATAAAATGGAGCAATTAGAAAGAAAACATTAAAATGGAATCATTTGGCAAAAAATAAAAATCGAAATTTATGGATACAATCAACCTTAAGTAAAATTGGGCAATGTGCGAGTTTAAAAGTATTTCTTGTTTACAGTTAAAGTGATTGGTGGATCTGTGAATCTGTAAATAAGATAGACAAGAGTTAAAAACTTTATTTAATATAATCAGGAAAATATGAGTAAAATGTAAATATTATCTTTTGCAGTTAATTTTTTGGGATCAAAAATATTTATTAAAACAAAAAAAACCTAAAGTGCTGACTTTTTGAATGACCCAGCATTGATCTCGTCCCCAGCTGGCCGCTTAAGCTGGCCATTATCCTCTTTGAGGAGCTCAATCGCCTTGGGATGCATAAACTTAGGAGCAGCATCCCAGTTGGCCCGTCGGACAAATTTCTTGTCTGCCCAGAGCTGGTGGTTCATAACCTTGTTTTCTGGTTCAAACAGGAACCGGCGCATTGCACAAATAAGCATTATGAGCCTAGGGTTAATATTTTTAACACCAAACTCCTCCAGCAAGACAGCATCCTCTTGGATTAAACCCCACCTTACGATGGCAAGGGATGGAGAGTCTAGGAACTTGAAGCCCTGAACATCATCCCTCTCAGTATAAGCTGGGCGCACTGCATCCATAATGACATAGAAAAGACTCTCCAAGTCGTCAAGGATACCCCGAATGGGGTTTCTACTAAGAATGGGAATTCCCATGAAAAGTGACGTCCCTGTAAATGGATCCTTGGCCACCTCCACCTGTCCCACTGTTGTCGCCTTGAACCCCCACTGCTCGGCAACCTCAATGTGTTTGAGTTGAGTTGTGTCAGGGTCATCAGCAGCATCCCTGGAAATGTCCTCAGCAGTACCCCAGCCAATGGCCTTAGCACAGCCCCAGTCAATGACCTTGGCACAGCCCCAATCAATGACATACACCCTGCCATTCTTTTTGACACACACATTTCCTGCTGAGATGTCCCTATGCAGGAGACCAATGTCATTTGCCTGGGCAAGGCACAGGGTCAGCTGCTTGATAAACCTAGGAACCAGCTCGTCCTTCTGATCATTAGTCTTGCCTTTCAGATACTCGGCCATTGACTGGCCACAGTCCTCCATGAGCACAAACTCCAGCCGGTATCCATTGAGGTTGCTAATGAGCAGGCCACTCAAAAATATCTCAGGAATACCTTCGACTGGTCTCTTGTTGAGGATAGCATATGCGGCACCCTCGGGCAAACGATTGACTGGGGTCCAGGAAAGCTTCAGCACAGCATCATGCTTCCTATTGAATTTCCCCTTGAGTAAATGGGCATGGCGACCAACCATGTATGAATGACGTGCTATTGTCTTCTCGACACAAAATGAAGCAACAACATTCTCACCATCCTTGACATCCTTGGAAACGAGTATAGAACTTCTGTCTTCAAGTCACCCTTGTTCTCCACATTGACTTCCTGTGAAAAAATGAAAGAGCCAAGTCTCTTTGAGACATCGCAAAAATGCCCAAAGATGTCCGACTCAAGAGTCAGCAGAAACCAAAGCCGCATGAGGCATTTCTGGATATCTTCAGCTCCGTTATACATCCAATAATCAGTATCAAAGCATATATCACCAAACTCAACGACATACAGTTTGTCACGATAATATGCATGAAGCGTCAAAGGTGTCCATGGAGGTAGAAGACGGGCGCAAACGTGCGGGTTGCCTGCTTATCATTAAGCACATGGCCGTAATCTGCGAGCTGGCCGCGAGTATCCTCTGGGGGTCCACTGAAAGCTGGATCCACCTTGGCCTCAAGTATAACATGGACGGAATTAATGTCCCGTGTTATGTACCGTGGTAAAATGCGATAGCTGGCTTGTGCGGAGTGCCTTGTATGACATCCCTCTGATGGACCATCGCAATAAGCCTGCACTCTGGGATTGGAGTTTTGCCTGCCGGAATAACTCTATTTGCGACACAAACTGCATTGTCCATCGCGTCGAAGAGGAGATAAAATACTTGGCCAAACGAGCTTCCTTAGTCAACCTCATCAATTTCCCCGAGTGCTTTTTGAAAATGTCAGCAATGGGAAAATCGTCGAATTCGTTAATCGCGTAACGTGCATTGGCTACAATGCCCTTGCTATCAGCCACTGGCGACCCCCTGGCTATGTCGAGGAAGAGATCAGGCCAATCCTTGATGAACCGTTTATACCGCTGCTCCACACCCAGCGATTCGACAAAGTCATCGAACAGATAACTGTCTCTTATGTTATCGCCTAGGCATTTCAGAAGCCACTGACGGCGCTTATCACGTACGTGGTCGGTCTCCCATTCCTCTGGTGGCAGGTTTGCCTTGGTTTGACTTTCAGTGGACGTTTGGAAAGTGCCGTCCGTTTTGCTCTCCTAATAAAATAAAATTAAATAGCCAATTTGTCATTTGTAATCAGTCATAATTTTTTTTAAAATTTCAAATGAACAACTGCAAAGCGAATAAAGGTCAAAATAAAACATTGACTGATTCTACTTACTCCTGTTTCGGTAGGTGGAGTTAACCCAGACATTGTTGGGAGAGAGAGAGAGAGATAAATTGAAAAGTTAATAAAATAAAAGTAGAGAAAGAAAAGGAAAAAGAAAACAAACTGTGCGAAATGAAAAAACAAGTGTTAAAAATAGAAGCAAAGATGAAAAATTGGAAATGTGGAAAAATTTTAGCGATAGATTGTGCTAAAAACTAGAAACAATAACAATAAACAAACAATATTATAATATAAACAAACAAAATATAAACAAAAAATTTTGGGCTTTTTGTGCTCGCATTTGGTTGGCTGAAATATGGAAACAAGAAATACTTATATTTACGGACTAATTTCCAATTGCCATTGTTCTCTCCCTTGTACATTGTTTTTGCCTTTGTTGCTTTTTTGGGGGCATGCTGACCCATCATTGAGTCAAAGATAAAAGACAGTTCAGAGTGAATTGTCTATTCAAAGTGTTTGCAGCAGCCAGAAATTAGAAGCCGGGTCATACGAATGAATCATGGACCTCTGAACTAAAATGGAGGTGATCAAATATCTAGCAAAAATATATTGTCAGTAATCAAGTAGCATTTCGACCAAAGCATTTTTAGTGGAAAAACAAATGAAAATGCAATGCTTTTTTTACTATCAGCTTCAGTTTCTGCTTCTTTCCGCTTGTTCTTCACATTGTGCTAGCACAAAACATTGACCGATTGGAGAGTAGCACAAGTATGCTCCACATAATGATGAAAAATATGTGCACTCTGGCCAACAAATACGTCCAAGTATGCGTATAAGTAGACTCGCCAGCCATCAGAACCGTTTTTCCATTTAACCGGTCATCAAAAATACACCTGACCACAGCCTGAACAACCTGCTCGCAGATTATAGCCAACTCTGCACCCAATTTATTCCTGGGCAACATCCTGCCGCCACCACCGCCGTCCACCAAACCGTCAACATAATAGGGTGCCAAGGCACACCATCTGGCATTATCCTTCTGTATGCGACTAGCCTCAGTAAAATGTATCAGACCAGCATTCATCGTGGCAAACACCTCCCCTTCCTTGCTGAAAACTAACCCAGCCATCACTGCAACATTGACCACCATGCCCTGCTTGCCCGCCTGGCGAAAATACCACGAGAACACCCAGGGTGCCAAAAATGGATGTGCAAAAATTAACGTCAATGCTGTTACAGATAAGCTGCATGTCCTTGGCATCCAATGTTTTATCAGCCAGGCTGTGTGCATTATTGACTAGAATGTCCAGTTGGCCAAAAGTCAATACCACGGCCTATATCATTAGCCGGACCTCCCATTGTTAGCGTAGGTTGAATTTGATGTAGATTGTATGGGTTGGCAAGATAGCGCTGAGTTCCTCGTCTGTACCATTGGACAGTGAGTCAACGAGCACCAGGGGGGACGCCCAGGGCAGATATATGGTGTGCAAGTTAGTGGCCAACGGCGGCAAACGCGCCTATTATAAGAACATCCCTATCTTGGAGTAAATTGGAATCAGTCATTAAAATAGGAAAACATTTTGTTTTAATAATGAACAAACTAATATACAAGCCTAGCGTAGAAATATAAAAATAATAATAAACAAGAGAAAGTTGACTGTATGTTTGCATGTCTGTGTGTCTGTATCTGTTATTAAAAATAAGGTGAATAATAGTGACGGGCGACCATGCATAAAGTGCATTTTTTTGTTTCGAGGACTGACCAGAAATATTATCATTGCAGTAAATAATAAGCAAAATAACCGGTTAGCCTCAGAATCTCAAACATCGAAGTTACACTTTGAAAATTCCGTAGTGTAATGCTCTTATAATAAGAGGGTGTGTGTAGAGCACTATGATATAGTGTTAGAGGTGGGGTGTTAATTTTTAAAGGTTTTTATTATCAATGGGATCAAAAGCGTAGCTGAGGCCGACCTCATCTTATATATAAGTCTCATTGCTTTTATTGTGCATTTTACCAATTGAGCACTCCGTTGGTGAGAACTGGTTTTTCTGTAGACAGACTAGTGTCTTGGCGTATCAAGGTTGTGATCTTTGCATATGCACATCCATGTATATACATTATCAAATGGGAGGCATATCAGGGTGTCATTATTATGTCCCCTGATTTGATCCTACATGGTACCACCATCTATGCCCTGTTAATCGGCATGTCGAGATTAAGGGCCATGAAACGAGTTTTCATCAACATCCACTTCCATATCATCAGGCTGCTCAACATCATGAATTTTCTTTTTCACTTTTTCAACTTTTCAATATCTTTACACCTTTTTAAAGGTTACTTTTATTGTCCAAGCATAATGTGGACACCGTTGGTAAAAAACAAGGGAAAACGGCTGTGTGTTTACTTTATTAGGGCTAAAGTATTTTGTGACTAAAAAATAAGCTGGTGAGAGTATCAATCAAGAAAAATATTTTTTATGTGGTAGGGACAAAGAGACGGAAACATGTTTTTTGCGTATGTTATTTTCCCACTAAAGACAAGCTGCAACGGTGCAGGGGTTCTATTGTCACTCAGTGGCACTATTCAGCGTGTATACGCTGTAAAATGGCCTAAAAGTGCATTAGCGGTCTAAAACGCCCAAAGTCTAAAACACCGGTTACATACAAACAAAATACCCACAGCGGCTAGTTAAAATAAACAAGCTAATTATTTAAACACTGGAGCAGCTTACCCGTTGCGTAAAACCCACGAATAAAGCAGCGATCAATCAGCACATATGAGCAAAACAACCTTTTTCTTTTCTCTTCCGCATGTTTTATTTATTACTCTAGTAATAAAATTATTATTAATTGATCAGCAACGATGCGCTTTTTTGCTAGCACAACACTACTTCAAAATTAGAAAGTATGAGGCCGCATGTACCGCAAAAGTATAGAATCTGGAAACTGACCAGCCAAAAAGGAAAACAAGTGCAAACCTAGCAAGAGGGGGGCTGATAAGAATTGCCAAAAGGACAAGGAGGCAGACAAATATGTAGTAAAAGTAAATAAAACATATAGCACATTTCAGCAGCAATGAACTTTGCTCAGTAACATGGGGGTTTTCTGAGCAGCAGAACCGAGACTAGGGCGCCAGGTGCATTCAAGTTTTGTTTAAAAATACAAGGTAAAAACAATCCAAGACCGCACAAACAGCAAGATAAGCGTTGGATAAGACATTAAATAGTGTTTTGTTTAAAAGTGCGCAAATAATAATTCAGATGCCCGTTATTAAGCCTGAGTGGGGGGTAAATAGGTGAAATGCTCTGGAGCATGCGACAAAACCATTGGGAGTAGCTACCTCACTTACAAAGGCCCACTAAACAGGCGGCAATAGAGTATTTGATACCATGAAGCTTTAAAGCTAGCGAGATGCACATGCATCAAGGAAAATTGAAAGTATCCATGAAGGGACCTTAGTGGCTAATAGACCAGCTAGGCACTGGGTATTACAGGGAAAGTCAACTACAACGCTGTAAAACTAGTTGCTAACAATATACTCAGTTTAACTCAAAGCCCGGATAAAGGAAACCTCGACAGCCCGTGCAATTTGCTGACCCACAGTACCTAAAATAAAAATGGATACATATACAACATTTATATAAATCAGGGTGTCACTAATTACAGCATCTCGCGACATTCCAGCACTTAAGGAGACCCGGGATAAACATTAAAACCACAAGAGCACTGGGGATAAAGACATATACGCTCGTTTCAAATGGCTGTTGCAATTCAGGAGCTATTGGAGCAAGCATTATCCTAATAACCATTCATATAATTAGCGCATTGCGCACTCTCTGCTCTTGTCAAATAAAATGTTTTTATGGCACTCGTATCTATCACCCTCCTCTTGGCTGAGAATAAATGGACATGTCTACAGCTGTGCCATTTATTCATTTTTAATACGTATTTTTTACTTTATCGGTTTTCTATATTCTATTCTATTTTGTTCTGCCCAACATGTCTTTTATTGAAACAATATTTTTAGCCTTTACATACAGTGCTGCACAACCGAATAACATGGAGGTAAATGTTGAGATTGATATTCAAGTGACTGCTTTCCGTTTTCATACCGACTGATAGAAGGCAAATATGATCATGGAGTATTAGGCCAGGGAATCAATAATAACATCCAGATATGATCCCCCTTTTATAACGCGCGTGCATACGCAAAGATTGAAACATCGACACACCCAATATTTGGGCTGCTTGCAAAAAAGCCAGTACACATTATCAGTGATTAAAACGGCTAGCGTGTAGGACAGGGCAAAGTCGGGGATGGCACACACACGCATATATATATGTCAAAGCTGATCTTAATTCTACTTTTGATTTTCTTGGCAATAAAAATTATTGCAAAACTCATACATATCATATAGCACTATTCGCATGGTGCTCGACACAATCATAACACATGTAAATGATTTTTATATTCATAATTTATAGTTTATCTATGGTGTAGCACTACGGAACGCCTGTTTTGACCCCCATTCGTGGAGAAGAAATATGAATGACCCTGGTACACAATAAGTCGCTGACAGTGTCGCTGCAGGGCGTTTCTACTGTACTTTCTCGCTTGTTTGTCTCTTGGTCACTTCAGTGGAGCTTTTATTAATAACATTTATTTGAGAGGTTATTTAGCTATTTTGATATTTTCTAATTACTTATTTAAACATGGTTGTTGTTCAGGCATAAAGACCGCATTTTCTTTATTTGATTATCAGTGCACCCATCGGCTATTGAGGATTTGACTGGCACTGACTACTATTGCGGTTTTAAGTATTCAAATAAGATGATATCTCTTTGTATTACATTATAAGCCAGAACTAAACCGGATGGCACAGTATAATACCATGATGCAACAAAAGTTCTGGGTTATCAATTCGAGACGGTGCCCTGGCTATTGTCACGGTCTCTGAATTGTTTCTTTGACAATCCTTATACGCGGAAGCAACTGGTTCTACGGAAAATACGGCGCTGAAATAAGAGTGCATCTGCTTGTCCAATTCAATTGTGTAGTATTCACGGATAGGCCCAACAATGTACAGGCTTATGCTATTTGATAGTTATGCAGGGCATTTCCAGATCTCAGCGCCAATAAATGGCTACTTATAAAGACAAGTGGTCTGAGCTCAAAAAGAGTGCGTGTAAGTGTTTGAAATATGAAAGTATGGCCATGCAGGTCTTGATAATCACTGCGAATAAAAAAAGTCTAAATCATTTGTTGGATGATCCCAAGCTATGAATGCAGAGCGATGTTTTTAAATACAGAAATCAGGCCAATAGTTATAAAAGCAGCTAATCATTTTTTCTCTGGCGTGCTCATTATTCCAAAATAAAACTGACTGCCCACCATCATAATACTTTTTTCTTTCTCTTCCCCCCTCTTTTTCTTCGAGCTTTTATTTGGAGCACTTTCTTTATTTCCCAATGCATGTGTAGTTTGCTGATAGTCACTGCTATAAATCTGTTTTACGTGTTCTCTTTGCCCTTTGCATACATTAGAAGGGAAGCTTCCTTTTGTTTTAAATTTCAACACTTCAAAACTTCAATTTTCTAGTAAAAATTATTATCCTTATTCTTCTTTTTGATCTCTAGCCTTTCAGCGATTTATTTTTATTATAAAAATGAACATTATGCCTTCCAGCCCAATCCGCCGGATGCACAAAGCAGTGCGCGCAGATATCAGTTGCGAGACTTCCAGCAACCCCAAGTCACAGAAGCTGATTCGCAAGCCATCGCACCAGCTGGTGCGCAAGTCGTGCACTTCTACTTTTATTAAGACCACCGGCACTAAGAGCAAGGTGGCAGACGCTGATGCTTTCATTGTCCATGTCGATGACGGTTACTTCAGCAACGGTTCTACACGTACTAGGGTCTAGTTTGCGCTTACCAACATTTGAGTCCACACTTGCTGGCATTGAGGAAACATATGCCCTCGAGCACGAAAATACACGCCGCGAACTCGAGGTTCTCGCCAATACCAAGGCAACAGATAGCCAGGCTACGGCGACACTTGCCAACGAGCTCAAGCACGTACGCCGTAGTATTGAGGATATCGCTAAAGCCAATATGGCACATGCTTAGGTTATGGCGGCTATTGCCCATGAGCTCGGAAATGCATTCCACGCCATTGAGGAGCTTAACAACGCTGAAGCAGTACACGCCCAGGCCAACAAGGCCCTTACCAGTCAGCTCGATGACGCGCACCACACGATTGAGGAGCTCTGCCAGCACGCAGATCTGAGTGAGGCTGCCATTACCAACGCTGAGACGTGCAATAAGGCGTTGGAGGACCGACTCGAGTCTGCAAATGAATCCTTATTCAAGCAGGAACTGGCTAAAATAAATCATATGCTAGCCGACAAAAACAACAAGCTTGAACGCAAATGTAGGCGCTCTAACAAGCTGAATCAGAAGTACAAGAACGCGAGTATCGAAAACACCAATTTGAGCAAGGAGACGAATGATACGGTGCTATTGCTGAAGGCACATCAAGAAAATTGTCAAAAAGCAGCATATATCGTAGCACCGGTGGTAGCTTGCCAATAGGCGCAGGACTATCGATGCCAACCCTGGCATGGTCACACCCATGTGTTGCGCCTTGTGCATGTACGTATGTATACATAGCTTGGCAACTACACCAAAATATTTCCTGGTTGTGGTCAAGCCAGGGAAACCTTACGAACCACGCATTTTCATTTTCACATTTTCACATTTTCACATTTTCATCTTGTAACAGTAAATCATTTTTAACCATTCACACCTGACACCGAAGGGCAAAGAAAAGAACCCCAAATATTTAGCTGTGGAGGCATCGGCTAAGGGGATCCGTCTGTTATGAGTGGGGAGGGATATTGATCGCATTTGATTATTTTTGTCAATAACACGTCTTTCTGCCTTTTGTATTTTTTGTATTGCTTTTTTATTTTCTCATTCCACAGTAATATCTGCGCAAAACTTTCGCATTCAGCAAATTAAAGGCAAATGTCGTTTGCAGCAATTCAATTTAGGCGTTCCACAGCGGCAGGTCGTCTGAATTTTGCAAGTGCAGGGGTAAATTTCGCGCGTGGCCAGACTCTGTTTAGAAGCAGAGCAAGCCGCTATTTATCTTTCTCACCAAGCAAAGGACATCAGGGATCCCAGGCGCCCAAGGGATCTGTTCCACGGCATCCTCGCCACTGGAAGCGTGCAGCTATTGTGGTGACTACGGCACTCGGGATTGGCGGGTATGTCGTGTATAACTACGACACTGCATACTTGGTGGCATCCAGCGCATACCGCAGCGCAATAGTGGCCAAGGTTACGTGCCAGGTGGCATGGGACTACTACCGCAACTTTCCCGAGCTGCCGTTAGAGAACGACCCAAGCATTAGCGCGGATGAGCGGCAGCGGATTTTGGGTGTGCGCTCATCCGTGCACCTGCGTTCAGCAGAGAGACTGAAGAGGGTGCTGATGGTGAATGGCGGTATTTATATCAAGTTGGGACAACATTTAAGCGCAATGCAGTATATACTGCCGATGGAATGGTGCACAACGATGCAGTCGCTGCAGGATCAAAATACGGCCAGCTCAGTAGAGGATGTTGGTCACACCATCCACATAGACACTGGAAAGACTATCGAAGAATTGTTTTCCGAGTTTGATGAGGTGCCCATCGGTGTTGCGTCCCTGGCACAGGTGCACCGCGCTGTCCTGCGCGAGAGCGGCCAAGAGGTAGCAGTCAAGGTGCAGCATCCAATGGTGCGCACGTACAGTGACATTGACATTGCTACGACATCGGTCATGCTAGAGTTTATACACAGCATCTTCCCGGATTTCAAGTTCATGTGGGTGGGCGCTGAGCTGCGCGAGAGCCTTCCTCACGAGCTGGACTTCCGTAACGACAAGACCAACGCAGAGCAGGTGGAGTGGAACTTTGCCGCGCACGCTGATATTCCGCTGGTTGTGCCAAAGATGCTGCAGGCGGCGGAGCGTGTTTTGATAATGGAGTTTATCCGCGGCCAGCGCTGCGACGATCTGGCGTTCCTGCGGCAGCACAGCATTAGCCCTTCCGAAGTGTCTCGCGAAATTGGCCGTGCATTTGCTGAAATGACCTTTGTGCACGGCTACCTGCACTGCGACCCGCATCCAGGCAATCTGTTTGTGCGCCCGCGCGACCGGAAGCAGACCACGCATGGGTATAACTTTGACCTGGTTCTGCTGGACCACGGGCTGTATCGCCAGTTATCGTCGCGCTTTCGCTACGAGTATTCCGAGATGTGGCGCGCGCTCATGCGCGGCAACAAGGACCAGATTATATACTGGTCACATAAGCTTTCGGGAACCGATCTGTACCGTCTGTTCTCAATCATTCTCACCGGTCAGAACTGGGAAACTATAGAGTCCAAGTCGCTGACGGGGTCTTCTACACCACTGCGGCTCGACATAGACACGCTGAGAGAGGAGCAGCCCGATTTGCTGCGCCAGATCGCCGAGATTTTGTCATCGGTGCCACCGGTCTTGCGTCTTGTGCTGAAGACTAACGATTTGTTGCGCATGATCGACAAGAAGCTGTTCGCCGACCAGCCGCCTGCAGTGCAGCAGCACGCACAGACGCGGACGTGGCTGCGCGTGAGCCATTATTGCTTAATTGCAATTCGTAATGCGCGCGCGGCCGATATCAACCACAATGACTCGCGCCTGGGCTTTATAAAGACATCGTCGAGGCTGTCCCGGCTGCTGCTGAACTGGATTAGGTTCTGGGTTTACGACACCACGCTATCCGCGTATAGCGTCTTCTTGACTATCGAGGATGTATTTATTCGCTGGCGTGCGATGCTCACACATTTGGTCACCCATGCATAAGCCATAACTAAGCTGCGCCAGTTGTTACGAGAATCGCATCAAAAAGCGTGCTTGTTTTGTGGTGCGATCATCATATGCCGCTTTGCGGCTTTTTTACTTCTTCTTTTTCTTCCTTTTCGCATTTTTTGTTTGTTATACACAAGTACAATTTATTTTATATTTCAATTTACATTCAAAAACCGCCATGCTCGCTGACTTGTTAAAAGAGCTGAAGAGGGCCAGGGAGGAGAACAGGGCAAACCAACTGCCCCCGCCAGCACCAAAGCGCGTGGCTGTGTCTGCTGCGGAAACAAATTCAATTTACAATTCAAGAACAGAAATAACGAATTTAACTTCTAATTCTAATTCTAATTCGGCAAACGAAAACGCACCAACATTACCCACCGGCGGTGCTGGCAGTGGTACTGTTGACGACGATGACCTGCTGGACTATGATCTAGGGGATCTCGACGACATGCTTGATGGCTTCAATCCAGAGGAGGACAACACGCTGGTGGACCATACACAGGGTTTCCTTGGTTTCCAGCCAGGAAAAATGCCGGCTATCATCCTGCCGTCACAGCCACAGCAAAAGGCGCAGCAGCAATCTCGAGACCAGTCTGGGTCGCAGTTCTGCATATCCGCAGTTGGCAAATCATCCGCAGCCGCCACACTTGCGAAATTCGCATATCAAACACCAGTCCGGCCGCAAAACCAGAGGAGCACTGTAATTACAAGGGATGTGCAAGGAGCAGCCACCACACTTTCCCAATACACGTTAACCACACCCGTCGCAACCACCAACGCAATTGCTACTGCCGCTGCCATTCCCGGTACAAGTACGCACACAAGCGGTGGCGGCAGCAGCAGCGGCGGGAGCCCTGCCAACAAAATTGGCGGCCAGGTGAAAACCATAGAGCGCACCCTCGTCGAGGGCAACCGCCATGGGGGTTCTGCGAGCTCGCGCAACCGCAATGAAATTCCAGGACCTGCTGGGACCATCAACACCCCGGCGGCAATCGAACTAAACGAAATATGCATGCCGACCCAGCGCCCAACACCAGCCTTCAAAACCCCACTTTCCCGGCGCACTCGCGCCGAGCAAGCTTCTGAGGCTGACTTTGAGGGCGGCACATGGGCTGCCATGGTCGACCACCTTAACCTGCCTGCATACACGCCGCGAACTGCGAAACGCGTCCAGGACATGGGTGAAATTGGCATGTCAATTCGCCAGGTGCTGGGTAAAGTGAAGCAGACGCAGAAGGTTTCGAGAATGCTTGTGCAGATTCGCGATGTTGGCACTGGCAGTGAGATGGATGCGAGTGCTGTGGTGGTTGATCCGACAGGCGAGATGGAGGCATCGATACATGCCGGGGTTTTGCGTGATTTGGGCAGGGAATGTACGGCGGGGACATCGGTTATCTTGGATAATGTCGTTGTTATGGTCATGCCCGGTGCGCTGCCGTTTTTGGTCATCACTATTGCTGTGGTCAGCCGCGTGTTTACCGTGCAGGTTGGCGGGTCGAGGTGCAACCCTATTGTGTTGTCCCAGACGCAGCCCCAGATCCAACAATCTGAGATAGGCACTCCGATAAACGCGCCGCGCAGGATAAATGAAAATAATGGCAGCAGAAGCAGCGCAGTTGAGGTTGGTTTGCCAGGGGACACTAGGGATGGCCAGAACGGCCAGAACGACGACATATTGGACATGTTGGACGGCACCGATGCCCTGGATGCATTCGCCGCCGACGACGACATGTTGGATATTCTCGATTCATCCATATAACTTTACATCCAAAATTTCCACTTTAAATGTTTAAATGATACGAAATAGACAATAAAAAGGAGAGGGGTTAGTTGTAGAAATTGGCGCGCTTGAGCTCAAGGGCCTTTTTATACGGCGGGCTGATGGGCATCTGCATCGGGTCCAGCTGGTGGTACGGCTCGTCATCGTCTATTTCCAGCGGATACGTCATATCAGCATCAAACCCGCGCAAATCGCCACAGGCGACAAAGGGCACGATAACGCGGTTACTCCCAACAATAGGCTGATCCGGACCATACGGCACATCCATCAGTGGATTAGCCATATTAGGCACGTAATCCTCCGGTGGATTATACTCCAAGCACACGATAAACGCCTCAATACTCGAGTTCCTCGACGACCTTGGTTTAGCCACATGAACAGTGCGGAAAAATATCTTGAGCTGCGCATACAACAGCGTAACATCTTTTCCTCTAAAGATCTTTGCCACAAAAGTGCCTCCCTTGCGCAAAACATGGGTGGTGATGTTGAGTGCGGCGAGGATCAGCTGTGCCTGGATGTACTCGTCTAGGTCATGCAGGCCTGTGACATCGGGGGCGCCGTCGCTGACAACGAGATCAGCCTGGGCCCCGTCAAAGTGCGAGACTATTTGTTCGGCTGTCGATAATTTTGTTATGTCGCCTTGGATCTGTGTGACACCTGGGAGCGGCGCCATGGCCTGGAGATCAACGGCGACGATTTGTGGTGGCTCGTTGGTGTCAGTGTTGTTCTTTTGCAGCTCCTTACTGAGCACCTGTGACCAGCTTCCGGGTGCGGCGCACAAATCGACGGCTCTTGTGACACCTAAAACCAAATTTAAGTTGAATTGAATTGAATTGAATTGAATTGAATCGAATGCTTTTGGCTTATTCGCATTTTTTTGTGTTATTGTCGTACCTTGGAAAATGTTGAATTCCTCGTCGACCTGGAGCAGCTTGAATGCACTGCGGGCACGCCAGCCCTGCTCCTTGGCCAGTCTGTAGTATACATCGCGTTTGTCCTTTGAAGACTTGCCCATTTTATTGAGTGTATGGCAAATATAATATAATTTGAAATGAAGAAAAGAGAAAAGAGAAAATGAGAAAAGTTCTGGGCTTGAAACGATAAAAAATGAAATAAAAAATTGTGAACAAAAAACCTTTTCCTCCCCACAATAATTCGCAAGCAAAAGGATCAAGCCATCATCGGGTATAGAAATTATTCGGAATATATTTTTTTATAAGGTATTTTATTTGTTTTGTTTTGATTAGTTTATTTTTATATATGAAAGCATAAAATGTCAATGCCACAAAGACAGCTTGTCTCCTACGACGACATATACAGCGAGACAGAAGAAGAAATACTTGCATCACAGCAACAGCAACAGCACAGCAGCAGCAGCAACAAACCCACCGCCACATTGCTAATAATAACGACGACAACTACAGCGACGATGATAGCACAGATGATTCAAAGGGAGACTGGGACGACACCGATCTTGTTCTTGCCTGGGACAACACCATTGCAGAATACCATCGGGAACACGCCCACTTGATGACAGACGAGCATACAGAACTGTTCAACACAGAGACGAAAGCAAAGTGGGGCAGTGGTCGGCAGCACTGGATATTGAACCGGAGACGAAAAAGAAACGACGTGTTTCTGAAAAACAACAAGAGCATATGGATCCCAATGTACAACTATCCTTATCTTCGTCATTGTATAGCGGCGCAGTGGATGTGATGCCGCCGGCACCGCAGTCAGAAGAGGAAGCATTGTATAAACTTAACACAGCGTGGTATTACGCGGGTTACTATGCTGGCTACTATCAGGTAGAGTTTTTTGCTTATGTTTATGCTTTGTATTGTTATTTCATTTTGTTTTACTTTATGCGCTAGTGTATATTATAAAAAAGCCTTGAAAATAATACTGCATTATATTCTAAAATAAAGAAATTGTATGTATGTGTCATTTATTTGTAGGCATTTCGGTCGGGCGTTGGGAACGGAGGCAACACGGACTCTAGCGTAACGAGCATCGCAGCGGCGGGTATCATTAGTGAACAACATCAGCAGCAGCAAATGGAGAAAGAGGAGGAAGTGTAATTGAAACAAGCTCAGAGTTAGCCAATGCTCTTTTTGAAAAATCCTAATAATAAAACTAAATATTGTAGGAAAATAACAATAACCAAAACTACATATCCAAAAAAAACCATTACACTGATTTTTGTTGATGTTGTTCAGCTGGAGCGGGTCAAACCCTATCCCAAAATATATATCGTATTACTTTGCGTTTTCAGCAGCCTTCAGGGAAGCCTATAAAAAGATAAAGATAAAAAGAACAAGAAGCAGTAATAACACCCGCCAAAGTCAGTACACATATTCCAAATAAAAAACTATATTTTTTGTTTTTGTTTATTGCTTGTGCTATTTTGTTTTCAGTTTTCAGTTTTTTTTACCCTTGCTTGCTTCTGGCGCATAATATCGGCATCGCCTTCCATTCTATTCTTAAGCTGAACTCCAGCGTTTCCTTCGACCTTTTTGTTCGATCCTGTCTTTTCCCCCCTCTTCATGTTGCGCTTACGAGCTTCCTCACGCTGATTTCCACGGGTCATGGTTTTATATGTTTTATTTTGGGAATTAAGGTTGGAATTGAAGCAGAAATTGAAAAATTAAAATTAAAATTGGTAGAAAGAAAAAAAGAAAAAAATTAGATAAAAAACAAAGTGAAAAGTGGAGGTTTGTAGAAGTTTGTAAAAAAAATTGAAACACGGTGACAACACTCCTTTCCCTCCCCCTTTTTGGTACTATTTTTATATCTCATGTTCTTTCCCTCTTCCATTGTATTGCACAGTAACATCACAAATATAAAACAGTATTGGATGGGTGAGGGGGCAAATTTTTTTAGTTCATCTTATCCAAGGTACTCGCAGATCTTTTCCAAAAGCTCATTACCGCAGTCCTGCGACAGCTCCCAGATCATGATCCCGCCAAGCGCTCGTCTCAACACATAATCCGCCTTCCAGCTCACTGCCACAGCATCCTCATACGAAATCAAAACGCGCTCACTTTCGCTATACAGGATCGGAGCCTTCGCCTGATCATCCCAATAACTAGCGTACCCAGATCCAGGCAACAACTGCGCGCCCTTCAGGGCCTTGTAATCAAAGGATCCGGGCTCCCAAGTGCCATCAGGGACGCCCACAAAGGGACATCCGAGCCCCGGAAGTAGTGCCGGCCCCCCATCGGGCGACTGCCCCGGGTCCACATTGCTGAATCCACGAGCGTAAAACCCAACGCCCAGCACAATCCTGTGTGGCGGCACGCCCCGGGCAATATAATCAGACACGGTGTCGTGGGCAGAAAGCCCAGAGGAATTAGGCATGGCGGCAAACAAATTCTGCTGATGCGCGGTGGTCGATGACCAGGGTCCGGCAAAATCATACGCCATAATATTAATATGGTCAACAACCTCGGCGATAGCCGCCAGGTCCAAGTGGCGATAGACTGTAGGGGCCGCTGATGTCGCAATGCTGATCTCATAGCGGCCGAACCGCGGCGCACTACCACTGGCACGCTCATCCAGGTGTTGGCGCAGCTCCCTCAGCAATAGCAAGTAATTGCGCGCATCATCCGGCGACCTTGGATTCCCATCCAAGCCGCCCTCCACGGGATGCTCCCAGTCCACATCAACACCGTCAAACCCATGCACGGTCAGAAACTCCCCCACTGACCGCACAAACTCCGCCCTCCCATCTGCATCCGCAGCCATCATTGAGAACCCACCGGACCACGTCCACCCGCCCACGGATATCATCAGCCGCAGGTTCGGATTGCGCCGCCGCATTCTGGCGCTATTGAACAAACCAATACTCCCCTTGACTCCATCGTCGTAGGGCTTATCGGTGTCCGCCCAGGGGTCGCCCAATGCAATGCGGTTGTTTGTTAGGTTGGCGAAGGCGTAGTTGACGTGCGTCAGTCGCTCGACGGGGACATCTAGGGGCGTGTATTTACGGTCATAAATCGACCAGGCTGTGAAGTATCCGACTTTGCGTGCCATTTTGGTTAAAGGATAGTGGTGTGCTTTCTGTGGTATATAGATAATAAGTGTTATTAGGGTAAAGGAAGTGAGAAAGACTGCGAGGAGTTGTCGAGGCGCCAGCATGGCTTTTTAGAGGTTTAAGTTTGAAATAAAAAGGAGTTTATATTGAACGACAAAAAAAGAGGAAAGGGGGGGTGGAGTTGCCTTTCAAATAAGAAAAAGCACATCACGGGGTTCCATTTCCCTCTTCTTTTTTAAACTTTGCGTCAGATGAATATTCTATTTTCCACGTCCTTGATCGCTTCATACATGTTAACAGCTTTATTGATAGTTTTCCCAACAAAACTCCCATTCCCTATTCGTTTATTTTTTTAAAAAGGCGGCCAAGAATTGTCCACACCCGTTGTCACTGCGTTGTTTTACACAGGCACTTTCGCCCTCACAAGCTCCTCTGGCAGCAATAGCATCGGCTCCATGCGGGGAAGCTCGTCTCTGAAAAAGGCAAAGCCAACAATGCCCAGCGCAGCATGCAACGGGTCCGGATGATTCCCGGGACACTTTGCCACACCGCCATACTTTGCCTCACAGCTCAAAGTGAAAACCTCCAACCCACTCGGATCAACCATCTCATGGCCGCCCAAGATCTCCACAGAGGCTCCGACCCAGAACGAATAGCAAACATCCGGCAATTTCCCAATCCTTCCCTGGTACCCCTGGTTGAGCCTCAAAGCGCCCACTGCAGAGTACGCCGGCGATCCGGCAGTGCGTCAAGCTGATCCATGAGCGCCAAACTGGCAATGCAGCAGTAGAGATGCCCTCCGTGGGATTCCTGCAGGGGCGCCTGCGACAAACCACCGTCGTACCCGGTGCACCCAACAATATACCGTGTGGCTGCCCCTTGGTCTACTCCGGACCAGTCCCCGAGAATACGCGACACTGCGCAGGCGCAGTAGATAAACCTTGGGTCACTCTCGGTGGTCCCCAAATGCGGCGCAAACGACCCCGAGGGTAGCTGAAGATACCGCAGTGCCCCAATGATCGCCCGTCGGTTGACCCTACCCAGATCGTCGCCGAGCAGTAATAGCGAGGAGAGCGCAGAGTACGTTGATGCTACGTTGCCCAGATTGCTGGCCTCGTAGGTGCCGGAATTATGCGGCCCGAAAAGACTGCCACCACGGAACCCACAGATTCCCAAGCTGCTGCTGTTGGAGGTTGAGTTGGATGTGGCTGGGTGTACTTGTTGCTCGTAGATCCACTCAATCATTCCATGCCGCTCAGCCTCTGTGAAGGCTGATTCCAGCCGCCCAAGTGCTGCGAGGCCGACAAGGCTGAGGTGCGCGATGGTCATGCGGTTCGAGTCTAGCTGGACCATGGGGCTCGGCAGCATGTTGAGCGCCGTTTTGAAATACCGCACGTGCTTATCGACGGCGAGGTCAGGAGACATGGAATTGTAATTTGAATTTAGTATAGTGTAATAATGTAAGGGAGCGAGCGAGCGAAAGTGAAAGAAAGTGAAAAAAGAACAGAAAGAACGTGAAAAGAAAGTGAAAGAAACAGCAGAAAGAAACACTCTTCAGCCCCCTGCGCAAATCAGATCTTATTCATTTCTTCGGAATATCCCATTTGACATTCACCCTGTGGGTTTGGTTTACAGACAAACAGAGCTTGGAAAAAGAACAAAGTCCCTCCCCCTCACAGGGCTATTTACTAAGAAATCCCTTGACGCCCGACCGGTCCACAGTCTGCACAAAGTACTCCCCGCCGTTATCAGTCCAGCTAACGCACTGGCTCCAATATGGATAGCGGCGCACAGTCAGGATACTCTCAGGCGCATGCACATTGCGGGCGCTGATCTTGTAATCCGGCGTAACAAACGGCCGCAGCGACACAATACGCGTGCCCTCCTTCAGATCAAGGAACATCTGCAGCAGCGTCTGGTTCAGCGCACTATCAAATGCGTAGTTGTTGACCAAAAGCACATCAGCCACGGGCAGCACGCACTGCACATCAGCGCTGTCGCAAAAGTCGCCCTGCCACACGCGCACGGCGCCGTGGCGCAGCCCATATAGCTGCATGCGGTGCTCGAACTCGCGCGCCTGGCGCCGCGCAAAGCGCGCAGGCACTCGCATGATCTCAACACCGCATGCGCGGCACCCGGTTTGCGCCGCCACCTGCAGCACCACGTTGCCGATGCCGCACCCCAGATCGACAAACGTCGATGAAGCGCTGATGCCCGTGCGTGCAATCAGCTCGCTGACCAATGTCGGCAGGATCTCGCCGTACACATTGTTCGAGAACGCCTTGTACTGCCGCAGCAGGTCGACTGTTGGCGCCACCACGCGGTTGTACACTTGCTCGAGCACGTGCACGGCCACTTCGGCCGCAATGCCGGCGCTCCGCACCAGCCCGTCCACGCGTGCGCCATCCAGCAGCGCGTTAAAGTCGCGCACAGCCTCTGCGAACGCGTCGCCGTCGCGTCGGTTGCGCGCGCGCTCAAGCCGCCGCACAATACCGCCGTCGCCGTCTTCGACCACTGCGCGCCGGAACGCCGCCGAGTCGACCAGGTGCAACCCAATGGCGCGCACGGTGGCCAGCAGGTCGTTGACCGGCAAGTACTCGTCGCGCGCCTCGGCCTCGCCATCGTAGCCACGCGGCATCGCCAAGGAGAACGTCTCGCGCGCCGTATTAGCCGCTGGCAGGTGCAGGTCGATCTGCTGCGGCCCGCTGCCAGCTGCCCACTCAAAGTAATCCTCGTACACTGTACTGCTCTGCCGCACGGCGTCGACCGAGCTGACAATCGCCGCTGCTGCCGGCTCGTCGTCGTCCTGGATCAAGGCATTGGAATCGCCTTGCATTTGCTGGCTGAAGTGAGCGGGCACGCTGGCGCTGCGCTCAATGGCGTCGTCCGCAGCCACGCCTGCTGCGTCCCTTCGCCGCCGCTTAACCGGAGATACCAGCCGCCTCTCCGCCACCGCCGTCTTGCGCGGCCGCGGCGTGCCTGGCAGTGACCCCACGCGCTCGCGGTTGGTGTTGACAATGCTGCTGTCCCTGGCCGACATGCCACTGGTCGGCGCCAGCCGCCGCGCAACTGGCCGGACAATATCCCGCGCGCCACTGGCAGCCAATTTGCTCAAGTCCCTATCTGCCTTGCTGTTGCTGCTGGGCGCAATATTGGTGTCCTCTTCTCTCAAACTGCGCGCCAGTGCAGGTGCGGGTGCCGGGGTTGGGCGTTGGTCTCTGGGCTTCTTTGCTGGTGAAGTGTGTTCCTCCTCTTGTCGCCGCCGCCGCTGCTGCTGTCTTTGTACTTTGGTAGACACTGGTGACTCGTGGATGTTTCCATTGCTATCCCGTTTCCGCCTGACTACGCGCTCTTCAACTCGAATGCTGACTGTTGGCTGCGCCTTGCTGCTTCCGTTATTCTTTGATGTACCAAAGAACAAGTCCATGTGTGTGTCTCCCCCTCCTTTTATTAGCTTTTGCTGCGCCAGATAAAAAAAAAGTTTAGAAGAAAAAAGAATGCTGTCAAGTTTAATAAAAATTGGAAGCAATAATAATAATAACAATAATTAGAAATAATAGTTAAAAGTAAAAGAACTGAGCTGAACTGAAAAAAGGGAAGGCTTTTGTCCCAGGAAAAAAAGAAACCCAAAGAAGAATTATAATTTAACAGTGAATGCCGATTCCGATTGTGCGGGCCAAAGAAAAAAAAAAAAGAAACTCCATCCACCCCAGCCAATCGTGATGATATCATATACTCTTCAAGCTTTAAAAAAAAAATCATTTTTCTCTCCTCAAAAGATCACAGGTTGGCTGCAATGAAAGCTGAAAGAATTAACAGAGCCCCAAGATAATACGGCACAGACGCCTCCATTCCCTTAAACACAATATCCCCAGCCATACTTAGCGGAATAGTCAGCGACAACCCCAGGGTAACCACCAGCGGCGAAGTCATCAGCATAGCCTTGAGCCATAAAAAGTCTGATAAAAACGTACCCACCAAGGCATTCACTAAAATCATCCCCCAAACACCAACCGACCCAGGCAGCTGAAACCTCTCCATGCCCGAATAATGCAAGACAATAAACCCGGGCCACAACAAAACAATGTTGGCCAGCCCGACCGCCCCGAAAAACAACGGCGTATCCAGCCGCTCCTCATTGCCAATGCGCAGCTTAAGCAGTGTCGTGTAGCATCCGTATAGTACTGCGCTAAGCAGTGCCAGGGAGTCGCCGAGCCAGGAGAGCGGCATTGTTGCAGAATCTGCCGTAGAAACCCCGTATTTAACTATACTGTAGACACCCAGGATGCTGATAAAGACCGCGATTAGCCGTGTGCCTGTGAACCGCTCGACGCCGCCCAATGCCCCAATAATGAGTGTGAAGAGACCAGATGTTGAACATAGTATGGAGGAGTTGGCCACGCTGGTGTATGCCAGAGACGCATTCTGCGTAATATTGGCTGCAAACCATAGAATGCAGAAACTCACTCCGAGAAGAACTGTCTCACGAACAGTTAGTTTCTCATTTCGAGGGTGTATCGGGTAAGCTTCTGCTTCTGCTGCTGTTGCTGCTGTTGCTGTCGGCATACCCTCGCTTTCTGTCCCACCAATAACCAGGGGTGAGCTCTCGCCACTGTTGTTTGATACTACAATAATATTGTCATCGCTGCGGGATCGTTTGCGCTGTCCAGGTTGTCTGCGTTGCTTGCGTATGTGTGAGATATATGTGCCAATGAGATAGAAGGAGAATGTGCCTGTGTTTATGTATGTAATGAAGAATGGTCGGTTGAACTGCTGCTCGCCAAACAGGTTGCTGACTAAGAAAGATGACCCGACCCAGATAAACACCACGCAGAGTAGCAGCGTTAAACCCAATGTTCGCCGAGTAAGCAAGCTAAACGCCATTGTATTTATATAAGTATATGCGTTTTTATTCTTTGTGTGTGTGTGGATATTAAATATAAAAAATAATAGAAAACATAGTGGACGAGAAAAAAGGAAATAGTATGGACCTGCCATATAAAAAAATAAACATGCATGTTAACACGAGGATTATCACAAAAAAAAAATACAATACCTTTTTTTAATTTTTTATTCTCTCACACTTTGTGATTCCTATCGGCTCGCTTGTTTCTGTTATCATTCGAGCCACAGCCGAATGGTGCGATCGTATGGATTTTTGTGCTATATTTTCAATTTTCAAATTCAACAATTTCAATTCCGCTCTTTATTTTCCCTTTATTTTTTATTTGTCTCAATCATTCAAATCCCATTAAATCCATTCTTTATTTAGTTTTTCTATTACACAATGTCCTTGATTCGCTTTATCAAGTACAGTCTGAAACAATCCCCGCGGCAAAATTTTGAAATCTACCGCAAACTGGATGATGCCAAGTGGGGCAAACTTGTCGGCACTGATGAACTAGGCAACCGCTACTTCTTCAACCCTCAGGAGCGCTACGGTCGCGAGCGTTGGTGCATTCCGGGCGCCAAAACTTCGGAAATGGACGCTAGCCAGATTCCGCCGCGCTGGCATGCGTGGTTGCATCGGACCACGGATGAAGTGCCCAAGGCTACGGCTGCTGAGGATAGTGCATATATGCAGAGACCAAAGTGGATGGCGTACCCGCACTATCAGAACTTTACTGGCTCTAAAAAGGCCAACGTTACTTATAACACGGTGCGCCCAAAGTATGAGGCATGGCAGCCATCCGTTATTGACCGCCAGTAGACAGACGACACAGCTTAGCACATTATATGCGATTGTTTTTTAAATACCAATTCGATTAGATATGTAAAACGTGGTTTAAAAATTTTCAATATGTTTAGAAATGAGGTTTTTGAAAAGAAAAAAGAACAGAAAGCAGAAAAATTAAAAAAAGAAATATAAAAGCAAGTTCATCAGTCGAAAGTAGAGTTGGGTGAGAAAAAAAGATGGTCAAGAGATCTAACGAGATCTGGCATCTTTAGTCGTCCTCATCGGCAATGATGCTGAGAGCCGAGGCCAAGTCCCCGTCAGTCTCTATTAGCGCGCGCAGGTTCTTTTCGACGTCATCGAACCCCATCTCTTCCAGCTGCTCCAGCTCATGTCTGAACCTACTCCTATCGGCCTCCGTCAGCGTCAGCGCCGAAGACAAGGGCAGGGGCAAAGGCAAAGACGGCGCTGGACTATCAACCGACATGGCGCTTGTCTGCGCAACCCTCCGCGAAGCCATCAAATCTCTGATCTGCTGCTGATCCTGCTGCTGCTGCTGTAGTTGCTCCTGCTGCGCCGCGGCCCTCAACCTCGCCGTCAAATCTCCAAGGTGGTCCTGGTTCCGAGATATGGCAAACGGATCGCGTGCGTACGGCTGGCTGCCCGTGCGCGACGAGCCAGCAGCCTGGCTGGTTGAAATATCCAGCCTGGCCAGCCGCTCGGCATTGCGCGACAGCTGATCGGCCAGCATGAACGGATTGCCGGGGTCTCCGGTGTTGCCGCGCAGTTCCCCTGCGGCCGGCCGCGAATTGGCCCTCGGCCGGCTCCTGGCCCACGGGTTGGGCAGCGGCGTGGTGTTGACTTTTGACGCGTCGGGCTTGGTCACGCCCAGCAGCCGCGCACGCCTCCGGTTCAGCTCATCGAGTGGCATCCGCGTGCTGTCCTCGGCGGCCCTCGCCAACGGCTCCTGCACATTGTGGTACATGCGGCGGATATGCGCATAGCCGCCGGGCGAGGTTTCGAGATTTGAGAGCATCCGATCGTTGTTGCGCTTCATCTCCTCCATCAGCCGCGGGTTCTGCGCGGCCTCGAGGCCCTGGCGCATTATCTGCGGGTCCCTCATCATGTGCTGCAGCTCGGGATTGTTCTCTATCGCCTCGCGCATTTGCGGATTCGCCATCATCAGCGTCTGAACTAGCTGGGGGTTTGACAGAATCAACTATATAATAAACCATTGAACAGGGAGAGGGTTTTCGGAGATGAGCGGCCATGTTATCCGAAAGTGGCGGGTGGGATATGTGAGGAATGCAAGGTGGGTAATCAAAAAGGAGTAAGAAAGGATGCGGGCATATGCATGGGGATAAATGGATATTCAAAAGTGAGAAAATAAATGGCGTGCTAAATGAGCAGCCAAACAACTTACCTGGCGAGATTGGTTGAGCCCCCGTGCTGCCGCCGAGGACATTGCTGGTGGAGCGTTGGCGCTGGCGATTCCGTTGACATTGTGTGGGTGGTTCTGAGTGGCTCCCGCCAGCTGAACCAGCCTGAGTGCAGTGCCGCTCTCCGTGATTCCTACACTGAGTAAATAAAGACGAGGCAGTGTGCGAGAAATTTGAGTATGAGTTTGAGAGCTACCATTGCTGCAGGCGGGAAAAAAAGAGGGGGAGCGTAAAAAAGACATGAAAAAGGGAGAAAACTTACCGCACAATTCGAGGCTGTGGTCGTCATTCAAAATGTCGCTTCCATGCATTAATCTCATTCTGTCCACTGGAATCTCTGTGCGCTCAGATAGCAACAGTTTGAGCTGTCCGACCAAGGTATTATTTTCAACTTCCTGTGAAAGCGTCTGTCCATTGGTCTGTCGCACCACCACGGTGAATTTAAGCTGCCTCGTATCCTCCATAGTTAAAACAATAAAATAAAAAATAAGTTTAAAAATTAAGAAAAAATACAAAGAAAAAGAAAAAAAGAGAAAGCGGAAATGTGCAAAGTGGAAGCGGAGGCTTGAAAAAGAAAAGGAGGAAGGCGGGGGGGGGGGAGTAGGGACGACGTAAGCTCAAGTTGGTAAAAAGAAAAATATGAATGCGCGGCGGCTTTAAATTCTACAGCGGTATTATTTCCTTTATTGAAGCCCGATGCACTTGTGCGAATGAACGATCAAAATGGCTGTGGTTTTCTTGTTTATTTTTGTATCTGCTGTCGCTGACTTTTCTCTTGCAAAGCGTTGAGGAAAAAAAAACTACAGCAAAAAAGTAAAAGAAAAGAGCGAGAAAAAAAAGTAAAACTTTATAAAAAAATGGAGTGTGGGTTGGGTTCTCGACTTTTTTTATTTGTTTTTCGCATAAAGAAAAGTGCGCGTGGCCTTCCTCCACAGCGCATACGCAAGCAGGCAGGCCAACCAGGCAACCAGGCAACCAGGCAGACAGGGTTGAATTATCGTTAAACCTTCTTTCTGCTTGATGTGTTTGAATGACGGAATTGTTTGTCCGAAAAATATAAAGTCAGGGTCACGCATGACGGAGGCATCGGGAAATCCAATGTGAAATCCAATGCGAAAGGAAGGGAAAGGGGGGGGGGAACTATTTTACGGCTCGCCAGCCAGCTCGACTTGCCTTGCTAGGATAGAGAAAGAGAGTGAGAAATGGCTCGTCAGGCGTGTGCTTCCCTCCTTCTTTACCCCCCCCCCCCCACTTTCAACTTTGGTAGAGTGCACAGCCAAAAAGAGATTTTTTTAAACATTAAACATTTTTCCTTTCCTTTCTATTTTCATTTGCCCTTGTCTTCATTTCAGCGTAATCGGGTATTTTCTTTTATTTTCTATTTTATTAACATATTTGGCCTCAAAACTCACGAGCAAACCCAGCCACACTCGCACAACTCATTCACTCATTCCTACTCCCCACACACAATGTACAACAGAAATTACTCCTCGCGGAGATACACTTACATCAAGGTTCGTCGCTCTTTCAAAATTGTTTTGTATGCCCACTTGCGTGCCAGTCACCCAGTCACTTAAAAGTACCATTACTAACCCCAGGTTTATCACCATGCATTCTGCTTTTATAGGCCATCATTCTGGGAGACAGCGGCGTGGGAAAGACATCCCTGATGCACCAATACGTCCGGAACACATTCAGCACGCAGTACAAAGCAACCATCGGCGCAGACTTTATGAAAAAAGACGTCGACCTTGGTGACGGGCGCGTAGCCGACGTCTCCTGCTGGGACACAGCTGGCCAGGAGCGGTTCCAAAGCCTCGGCGTGGCTTTTTACCGCGGCGCCGACTGCTGTATCCTGTGCTTCGATGTGACAAATCTGCGCAGCTTTGAGAATCTGGAGAGCTGGCGCGATGAGTTCCTGATTCAGGTCGGGCCCCGGGACCCGGAAAGCTTCCCGTTTGTCGTTGTTGGAAACAAGATTGACATGGAGGGGAAGCGCGCGGTGTCGCAGAAGCGCGCGATGGAGTGGTGTGCGGCAAAGGGCAATATTCCGTACTTTGAGACCAGCGCTAAGAAGGATATTAACGTTGAGGATGCCTTCAGGACTGTGGTTAGGAATGCCATGGACCAGGAGACCGAGGCTGATATCTACAACGACTTTCCTGATCCCATCAGAATCGACGCTGACGACCAGGACAGTCAGGCGTGTGCGTGCTAGCTTGTATCCGTTCCCTCCTTTGTTTGACCGCCTTTCCCTCTTTTTTGTTCTTTTTGCTCGCAGCAAGTAATAGCGTGCGGTTGTAATCCTTTGTTTGTTCAAAATAGTCGATTTTTGTTTTAATTCACCTCCTTCAGCGAGACCGCGGCCCCTATACAAATGCATGCTAGTTGTTAGTGCCTTGTCGAAACGTATAAAAAAATTAGCTGACATGTCAAAAGCACACGCCCCCCCCCCTCCCTCCCAAATAATAATTGAAATGGCACGGGATGTGGAGACATGACGGAGCCCAGTGAAGAATAAAATAAAACAATAAAAATTGCCACCACAAAATGCAAAACGCAAAACGCAAAACACTTTTATTTTTATTTTTTTTGCCACTCCGATTTGCGGCTTTTTATTTCTCCCTCGTCCCCCATTTTTGCGTTACAATTATTTATTTATTTATTTTTCTTTGTGTTTGCTTCAATTTCTATTTTTTTTCTTTTTTTTTCTCTACTATATTTTTTATTCTGCATTTCCTTTGACAACGACCACATCAGAAAAAAAACAGCCAAACCATTACACGGCTCGAGTCCTGCTATTCCAACTTTTTTATATTCTATATTTTACTTACTGTTCACCTTAGCAAACACACGCCCCTTCCACATAGCGCAATCTGCTCTCTGCTCTCTGCCCTCTACTTTGCCTTCTTTCTTCTTCCTTTTTCTTTTCCGAGCGTACTACACAAAAAGAACATTAGCACATCATGGCGCACACAAAGCCAGCACCAGGGGGCTGGGAGGCCCGAATAATCCTCCAACTCGATCAACGTGAAGTTCGCGTAGCCACAGTGGCCAAAGTAATCCACTCGTACAACCGTCTAGCAGGCAAGGTCGGCGAATTCGCCAGCCACTCACGCACCCTAGAGGCGCGATCACGAGAGCAAGGTGAGCGCATGCTGGAGAGCTTCCAGCATAACAGCAGCGGACTCGGCAATGGCAGCGGCGGCAATATGCGCGGGTCCAGTTTGGCGCAGCAGCGCATTGCGGATTTGGAGCGCGAAGTTGAGGCGCTCAAGGAGGAACGAACAGTGTTGTACCGGTCGCAGGGAACGAATGCCCAGAGGCTGCTGGACCTCAGCGACCAGATGCGCGAAAATGACGACCGGATGCGGCAACAGGAGCTGGAAATCAGCGACTCCCATGAGGCGCTCCGGCGGACAAACAGCAAGATAAACGATATGCAGGACACGCTCAAGGAGAAAGACGGCACAATCCAGATTCTCCAGGACGAGATGAGCGCGCTGCAGCTGGAGATAGTCCAAATCGAGGAGAGGTGCGGCCGGCTGCAAGCTGAGAACGACGACCTTGTGCGGAGATGGTTGAAGAAAATGAACGACGAGGCCGAAAAGGTCAACGATGTGACGCATGAGCTGGAGCTGATCAAGCGCAAGTCGGCCGCGCTGTCCCCGCGCCTGGGCATGGCAGCGGTCTTCGAGGACGACCATTACTTTGGCCTGTCGCCGATCAGCGTGCGCCACGGCGGGTCGGTTGCGCCGCGGAGCGCCGTTGGCAAGATTGACGCGCGCATGGAGGAGCTGCACTCCATTGCGCTAACCAGTAATGGCGAGCTTCTGGCGGTCGGCGGCCAGAGCTCGACAGTCAAGGTGTTTGAGGCGGCTACTGGTGACAGTGTCTACTCGCTGACCGGCTGCCTCAAGGGCGTCAACCATGTGGAGATCAGCTCTGATAACTCGATGCTGCTGGCGGCGTCCAGCGACCACACGGCACGCATCTGGAAGCTCGACACCGGCCGCCACTGGAAGTCGCTGACCGGGCACATCGGCAGCGTCGTCACGGCCAAATTCAACATTGATGGCAGCCGTGTGTTCACGTATAGCCAGGACCGCACCGTCAAGGTGTGGGACACGCAGCGCGGGCTGTGCATAAAGACGCTATTCACAGTGTCCAGCTGCCACGACATCGCCATCCTGGACAGTGAGGGCCATCGCCTCGTCACCGCGCATATGGACAATAGCATCCGCATTTGGGACACCGTGTCTGGGAAGAAGCTGCAGGAGGCTGCTATCCACAAGGAGCAGGTCATGTCGGTGTGGGCGAACCGCACTGGCACGCGCGTATTGACCAACTCGTGCGACGGTACGCTCAAGTTCGTCGATACCGCGACGATGGATGTCCTGACTGTTATGTCGGCCTCCGGGTATCGCCCCAGCCGTAACTGGGCGCGCGCGTCGCTCAGCCCTGATGAGCGTTATGCGATGGCCGGATCCATCGACGGAAAGCTCTATGTGTGGGATGTCAATAGCGGCGACCTTGTGCGCTCACTGGATATCCACAAATCGGCTGTGTGCGACTCGCTATGGGACCCGACAGGCGCCCGCGTGTACAGTGCTGAGAAGGGCCGGTACATCATGATGCTCCAGTGAGAGGAGATAAAAATATATAAAATGTAAAAATATGAAGAGAAGAAAAAAAAAAAAAAAAAAAAAAAAGTTTTTGGGGAAGCAGTTTAGATTTTTTTTATTGCGGGACCACTTTTAATTTTATTCTTATTTTTTATCTTTTATCTTTTCTTTTCTATTATTTCTGCCTTTTTTCATTGTATTCGCGCAAACATAAACTCGTCAAACAAAAAGCCAATTACCGACCAGAAAAATAATAATAAATAAATGTTTTCTCGCTACGCATTCACCAGGGCAGCCACATCCCTTGTGGTTTTCAAAACAACTACAGCAGCAGTACCAGGCGCAGCCACATCATCAACGATGTTCCGTCGGCTGTTTGCAGACAAGCCGCCGTTCGAGACCAGCGGCGAGCAGCACATTTACGAGAAGCTGCACAGGGAGCTTAAACCGACAAAGCTTACGGTGAAGGACTCGTCTGGAGGTTGTGGCTCAATGTATGTTGTTGAGATCGAGGCTGAGTGCTTCCGTGGGAAGAATCGGGTTAATCAGACAAAGATGGTCAATGGGTTGTTGAAGGAAGAGCTGAAGGAAATGCATGGCTTGCGCGTGCTGTGCAGTGTTCCTTTGGAGTAAAGTAAAAAAAGTCAATTTCTTTCTTTCATTAATTGTTTATTTGTTTGGATTTATATTTTTTTTATCTGTTAAATTACACCTTTTCCCTCTCTCTCTTTTATTCCTCACTCGCTCTTTTGAATTGGCATTTGGCATTTGGCATTTTACATTGCATCCAACCTCCAAAAAAATCATAATAAATAAAACAAAGGGATAACAACAGACATGAATACTGGCTGGGCACGCAGACTACAGAGGCTCGATGCCTTCCGAAAAATGGACAGCTCCTACCAGGCCCGCAGCTCCTCTGGGGCCTCCTCAGCGTCGTAGTCATTCTCACCATGCTCCTCATGCTCCTCGGTGAGCTGCACAACTACTTAAAGTACGAGCAAGTGCAGACATTTTCAATCGACACAAACATGAGCCACCCTCTGCAAATTAACTTGGGCGTATTCGTGGCCATGCCCTGTGCGCTGATCCGCGTAGATGTTCTGGACGTCAGCGGTACGCAGAGAAACGTGCATTCGAGTATTGCGCTCAGGACTGTGCATCGGGAAGAAGCATTTGGCCCAAAACAGCAGCAGCAGCAGCAGCGGAGGGTAAATACCATTAGAGATATGCACGTGCACGACATAATAGCGGAGGCCGGTCAGCAGAGAAGAGGCTCTCGGGGGAGAACCCCGTTGCCAGCGAGGCCAGCACCGATGGTGGATCGCATCGAGGATGCCGCGTGCCATATCGAGGGCTCAATGATGGTTGGCAAAGTCTCTGGGCTCCTCCACATAACGGCGCACGGCCACGGCCACGGCGGCGCATACGTTCCGCAGCAAATGCTTAATTTCACCCACCACATTGACGAGCTCTCATTCGGCGCCCTATACCCAAACCTGGTCAACCCATTGGATAACACCAGGCATGAGGCGGCAGACCACCATGCGGCGTTCAGCTACTTTATCTCCGTCGTGCCAACCACATACATTGACCCGGGGATGCGTGTGCTGGAGACCAACCAGTATCAGTGAACGAGTATTATCGGTCGGGAAGAGCTTGATGGCGGGCGCGGCGCGGATGCGGAGGCGGAGGCGGACACTAAATTGCCGGGTATTTTTTTTGAGTACGGGATTGAGTCTATTTCGGTCACGGTTAGGGAGAGGAGGGATGGATTTGTGGGCTTTGTTGTGCGCTTGTGTGCGGCGATCAGTGGGCTGTTTGTCACCGCCGGTGTTATTCACCGGATAACCGTTGGCATGGCCCAGTCGGTCACAGGTAGCCGAGCCGCTGGTTCGGCCGTTTTGCCATCGAATGGGATTCTGGCCCAGCCCGGTGCTATTGCAAAAAGGTAGCTTTGCCATGTTGGTTGGGTTGTATGTAATTTTTTATTTTCTGTATGGACGGTTAAAAGTAAATAAAAAAACTCCCCCCCCCTCCCTCCCCACAGTAGTTTTATTTTATTAGAACGCAGCTGTGGTCGACTTGTGCTCCGGTCCTCTGTCTGTGCATACTTCAGCGGCTCTCTACAAAAATAAAATAAAAAGGCACACTGTATTAGCTGTTGTGGGGCTTGTGAAGAGGTCTCCCTTAGGTTAGGATCGAGTTGAAGGATAAACTTTTAGAAATAATAACAAATAAAACTTACGTCCGCTTCGACCACAAATCCAATACATTAGGCATTGCATCACGCTTGGCCTCCTCCTTGGCATTAAATGCTCTCATAAGCTCCTAAGTGTTTTCTTAAAAAAATTTTATTTTGCAATATGTTAGTAACGTTGGATATTGATAATCTCAAATATACAAAAACTCTTTCACTTTCACAGCTCTTCTGAATCCATTTTTGCTCCGGGTCTGTTATCTCGTTTAAAAAACAATTTACCTTTCCAGCCTCTTCGGATCGCATCTTCATTCCCATACACAGATTGAGTTTGCTCCAATGTCTGCCGCAGCTGCGTTTCTCGCCATAGCGGTAGTAGTTGCTCAGCTGTTTGCCAACTGTCAGGCACGCAAACCACTGGTCAAATGCCAAAGACGCTTTGCATGTAAAGTCTTCTGTCAAGTCGTTGCTCCTGTGTGTTGCTGGAGTCGAGTGCCTTCCCAGTCGATCTGCGTGCTGCTGCTGCTGGCTGGCTGGTTATTTCGGTCGATGGCGACAAAGAAGAGAAAGAAGATGTAGTATCTGACATTATATTTTCGTGTTTATATGTTGAGAGGGGAATATACAAATGGAGGACATGACAAACAAAGGAAGAAGGAAAGGAAGAAGATCAAACCCACCTACAAAAAATACATAAAAAAATGCTGAAAAAGGTCCATGTTCCTTTTTATCAATTATACAAAGCGGTAAACAACAGGCTCGGCTCAAGCCGACTCGGCTCTGTTTTTGTTTAGCCCTATTTTTCCCGAGCCGAGTCTTTTGTGGGACTTCAACTTTGAAGAAGCGGAAAAGAAAAAGCACACATGGCGCAAGGGTCTTTTTCTTTCCGCATCTGCAGACTTTTTTTACTTAGCTCTCGTTTATTTATTTATTTATCTTTTTTTTTTTTTTTCTAAAATTTCCCTTTTTATACTTGAAAATACATACCAGCCCTCTCCATTTAATTTTAACTACATTACCTTCTGTGCATCACGATTCTTTGAAATTTGCGTTCATTATCCGAGAGAAGCAAAATACATAATGGTCACTCCAAAGCAAATGCGCCCAGCGCAGCGCTGCGACATACTCTGTGTGCTTGTAATTGAAAGCACGCAACACATGCATAACCTATTCCACGAGCTCTACGACTCAGTCATAACCAACCTGATAAACCAACTGCGGACCCCCGTCATCGTAGATGCATCCGGCAAAAAGAGCCAAACAACCAAAGCCACGCCCTGCGTCCGGCTCGGCGTAGTGTTCTACGGCGACTACTACCCGTACTCAACGCGCACCTGCAGCACCCAGTACTTTACGTCCAACTACCGCGAGTTCACAAAGGCCATAAAGGCGCATAAGTTCTGCGAGGGTGGCCAACTGCGGTGCGCTGTCACCGACGGGCTTGTGGGCGCCCTGGAAATGTTTGATGATTTCGCCGAGTTCGATCCCGAAGCGCACCTGGCCAATGTGCAGCAGCGCCATGCTATCCTTGTCTCCTCCACCCCGCCCTACATGCAGCCGTGCCAGGAGAATGTCCATATGCGGTACGATGGATTTGGCTTGGATGCCGTGGCGAAGCGCATGCGTGAGCTCAAATTGTCGTTTTCGCTCATTCAGGAGCGCGGAAAGAGAATAGAGCAGGTGGAGGGGTTGCTTGATACAGCGAATATTTCGACAAAGCCGCCTCTTGAGCTGCCCAAGGCCATGTCGCCGAGCTTTAGCGTGCGTCTGATGGGAATTGATTTGCAGATTCCGCCAGAATTTGCCGAGCCCGTTGCCCAGCTAACGGCCATTGCGCCTGCGCCCGCGCTTGCCATTCTGCCGAATATCCAGTTGCAATCCGCCCCCCAGATGTCCGCGCCGGTACACATCCAGCCTCAGCCACAGGGCCTAACCCAGTCGCAAGCGCCCCCTGCAATGCACCAGTCACAGTCCCAGCCACAGCTGGTGCCGCAGAAAAACAAGGCCGACCCCGAAGCTCATTTGGCAGAGTCGCCCATGGCGGCAAAAAAGCCCAAAGTCGACCCTGACCCTGCTAGCGCAGCAGTGACTAGCCCGAACACCGACGATCAGCCAAAGTCGGCGCGTGGGAAAGGTCGGGTCAAAACTGGCAATTCTCCAGGAGCTGCTGCTGCTGCCACTTCCCGCAAGGCATCGAAACCGCTGGATTCCCCGGCTGTGTCTGCTAAGCAAATACCTACGACTCCGCAGAGCGCTTCTGCTGGTGGACCAGCAAACGCTCAGCAGCAGCAGCAGCAGCATTCTTCGGACCCGAACGAAATGGAAGTGACCCCGAGTTCCGAAACTGCAATGTCCGTAAAGTCGCCCGCAGGACTTCAGCAGCAGCAGCAACAACAACAGCAGACCAACAACGGCTCTGTTGAACAAACAGTAGCAACGGTGCCCAACATCGTCCAGCAGGCCACCAACCCCTCTTATGTCGCAATATTGGCGGACTTCAAGAGCAAGGGTGCATCGGACGAGGACCTGCGGCTTCTGCTAGTGCTCATGATGGAGGTGCAGAACCCGGCACGTCCAATTCCCGAGCGTATGGACATCAAAAGGAAGCTGGAGATCCTAATCACCAAGCTCAAAAACAACAGCACAGCTCCGGACAACAGTGCAACTTCAGGGATAATAATGCAAAGCCCGCAGTCAATGGACATCACGATGGCAGCACCGGCGAGCAACACTGCTTCTGCGTCTCAGCCGCAGGCCATGATGTCGCCTGCTTCCCAGACTGCCGCTTTGCCCACAAATATCATGCAGCAGCTTTTGCACCACACGCTGAATTTGGTCCGCATGAAGTTGAATATTGATATTCGACAAGTGTTTTATGCCCTGACACCGGAGACCTTTGAGGCGCAGGTGCGCGAGGTCTGCCGCGACCAGCCTGAGGTTCTCGCTAATATGAATAATCTGAAGGCATCGTTTATCCAGATCAAGACAATCCAGATGGCCCAGTTACTAAAGCAGCAGCAACAACAGCAGCAGCAAGCAGCAGGTTGCTCAGAACCAGCAACTCGGCTCCCCCAATGGTATGCAGACGGCCAGTATCAACCTAACGTCTCCCATCTCTCTTCAGACCAATGCCGGCGCGGCTCAACAGCCCGCAGCCCAGACGCAGGGACAGCTGTGGCAGGGAACGCTGGTCTGGGAGTCAAAGCAGGGCGAGAACCAGAGGCATGAGCCATCTTGCCTGATTGTCGCTACAGGACACCCCGGCATATCCTACTCTGCGCTGGAGCTGAAGCTCCCCGACTGGCCAGAGAAAATGCGTGTAAGCCAAATTGTCAATGCAACCGAGCAGTTTGCCGAGTACTGCATTCAGTCGAAGATTCAAATGGTTCAAATCGGCGCCCACGCAAACGCAACCGCAGAGCAAATCAAATACTTTGACGATTTTTGCACAACCTTGCGGGAAAAATCCGTCTACGCCCTGGTTCGCATCGGCCCATCGTCAGCCACCCTGCCATGGAACGGTATTTTCTTTACGTACTACCGCGGCAACCTGGTCGCGTTACCCTTTATGAACCGCCCAATTACCACTGCTGTGATAGCTGCTCTGTCCAGGTGCACGCTGAATAACGCGGCGGCGCCTGCTCCAGCGATGATTTTCAATTCGAATCCTGCTCCTGCGCTCAATGGGCATCAGGTCGGCGCGACAAGTTCTGGCGGAGGAAGTGTGCAGATAACCCCCCAGCAGTCTTCATTGGGCTTGCCCATGTCTGCGGCTGCGAACGCGTCGATTTTGGCTCGGAGTAACTCGGCTGGTGGTGGCGGACCCGTAACCCCAGTGCCTGCATCTGCGGTGGCCCAGCAGCAGATAATGAGCCCCATGCAGCAGTTTGCCGCCCAACCAGTGACTGAAAGCCCGCTGACCAGCAACGCAACCCCGAACCAGATCCATATGGTGCTGAACTTTTTGCAAAATCATTTGTCTCACGAGCAGATGGAGACTATCAGAGCCATGCCACCCTCAAACGGGATGTTTTGGTAACCAGGCTTTTTGACGAGATCAGGGCCAAGCAAAGGCTGTCTCAGCAGCAGGCGCAACAGGGACAACAGGGAAAACCGCAGCAGCAACAATCGCAGCCGCAGCAGCAACCCCAACCCCAACCCCAACCTCAGCAGCAGCCACAGCAACAACAGCAGGCACAGCAGCAGCAGCAGCAGCTTCAGCAAATGGCTATACAGCAGCAAATCCAAAATTTTCAAGCCCAGCAGCAACAGCTGCAATTCCAACAGACTTCTCAGCAGCCCCTCGCACAGCTCGTAGCCAACCACCAGCACCAGCAAAACCAAAATCAGATCTCGCAGCAATCGCTCAACAATATCGCGGCGTTGAACAATGCGATGCTTAGCTCGGCAGGCCAGCAGAGTAGTATTGCGGCGTTTGCGGCCCAGCCACAGAACTACCAGCAGCTAATACTTAGCCAGTACATGCAGCAGCAGCAACAGGCACAGGCACAGCAGCAAGCCCAGCAACAGCAGCAGCAGCAGCAGCAGCAGCAACAACGTCCTTCTTAAATGTTTTTATATCTATTTTAATTTGTTTTTCAATACTTTATTGTCTTTATCGAGTGCAAAGCATTGTATTTTAAAAAGAACGAAATTGTGATATTCGACTAGTGCAACGAAAACCGGGCAAGACCTGCAGGAACCGACTTTGATTCGGCGTCATAGGTCAAGGTATCGCGAATGTTATTTTTGGGCGAGATCTTGCTCTTAAGAACCGAAAGCCGCTCGGCAAGCTCAGGCATGTTGTAGAGCTTATCGAGCTCTACAATGATCTGGTCAATCTGTCGGTCCAACCGTGCATTTCCAAGAACGCCCATGGCAATAGCGTCTTGCAGAATAAACGTAACTGCCGATATATCCCGCAGACTGCTCCACGCAGTCATAAGCAGCTCCTCATAAACGACTTGGTCCAGGATCTGCAGCTTATCAGCGAGATTCATATGCGTGCGGCAGTAGTTGTAGATAAAGAAGGCGATCTGCGGCTCGCGGAGCTCTCGAGACACCCGGATGGCCTCGGCAAAAACCAACGGGCTGGGTCGTGGAACAAGTACGTTCTTGGGAGTAGATCTATTGGAGAACAGCAACTCTCCATATACAAAGCTCGACAGCGCAGTCACCGAGCGACATTGTGAGAGCTGGCTAAGCTGGTTCTGCTCAATCTCCCTGTCCCTACTGCGGTCCTTTTCCCCAGGCAGCCTTTGTCTGCTCTTTGAATCCAACTCCCCTTGTTTGAAATCCTGGTAATCCTCGTATCCTCCTTAATCCGGGCAGCGAGGCTTGATATTTTGTTCGGGTCGCTTTGCAGTTTACCCGCCGAGTATGCCGATGTGCGCGGGCCCTCCCTGAATAGCGATTCGGGTGTCAGCTCTTTGAGAAAAGCAGCATCCCCATCACGTCCGCGACCACTACCTTTAGTGCCACTGTTCTCGTCCCAAAAGAGCGGCGCCGGGCGATCGCTTCTGTACACCTGGGTGTCCTCAGCCGCCAGATCAGAGAGAATGCGCTCAAACTCATCCATCGGATCAGACTCCTGCGACTTGTCGCTGGTTTCTGTAATCCCAGGCCCATATGGCTGTGATTTGTAGGGTGCCTTGATCTGCTTGTTTCTGTCAATCGCCGTAAACAAATCATCCATACCAATATCCTGGTCATTGGCATCATCTTCCATGTTGTACTTTGTATTGTAGGATCCAGACTTCTGCGCACTGTTATTTTTTGGCCTGGGTTCGGCGTTGGCTGGGTCAAAGTCGGGCAGTTTGAGCATTTTGAACACTGCATCGAGGCCGCTTATTGAATCGCTGGATTGATGCTCCTGTGGATCCTTTTCTGGGTTAACTGGCTCCTTGGACTCAATGTAATTGGCATCGGCAGCGCTATCTCTTTTCTCAGCGAGATTGGCCGCGCTGACTGTTATCAGCCGAACTGAAGCTGCTCTGCAGTGTGCACGCAACATGGATAGCTGCATTGTGCTGGGTGCGTGTCTCTGTGCTCGCCGTGCGGCTGCCACCGACCGTGAAAAAACGTTCATAGTATACTATTGTCGATACGACCGGGGGAGGGAGGGATAAAAAAATAAAAGTTAATTGAGAAGAGAGTGTAAAAAATGAAAAATGTTTATGGAGAGAATAAAGGAGAAAGTCGAAATTACTTTTTAAAAAAATCCAGAGTATCTTATTGATCAAAAATCAATCAAGTGCAAAAGGATTAACGAGAGATCGATTTAGCACAAAAAAGACACCCAAATGATGACTGAAAAAAAAATGCAAAAAAAAATTAAAAAAATGAAATGAATGGACAGCTTCCTACGTCAGACCTCTACTGGCCCGAGGCACCCGATCCAGACGCCTCTGCCTCAGAAGAAACATTGTCGCTGTCCTTGGCTGATCCCGGGCGCGTGCGCTTTACAGGAGACCCCTCTTCCTGCGGGCTGTCGTCCTGGTCGCGGCGTTTCCGGCCAAAGAACTTGTTAACCTGCGAGCCAAACCTTGACGTAAACTCGCGAACAAAGTCCTGGCGGCGGTCATCCCAATGCTGTTTGGTATGGCGCAGCTCAGCTTTGAGATCCTCGAGCTCACCAACCAGGTCCTCGCGCGTGCCTAAAAAGTTCTTCTTGATGTGGTCGCGAATCACCGACACCTGCTTCTGAATGTTAAGCTCCTGCTCCTTGAGGAAGCCGACGTTGAGCTCCTTGGGGCTCATTCCGCGCTCGAGGTTGCGGCGCAGGTACTTGTCATAGTCGCGCACAATGCGGGTGATCAGATCGGATGTCGACACGCCGTCAGTGCGTTGTGTGGGCAGGAAGCGGCCCTGCGCCTTGACAAAGGCATACACGTCGTCGCTCTCAGCACTGGCGTAAGGAAGATCATCGTGGCAGACGTAGTCGATCTATACGGAAACAAAGCGATGGAAAGAAAAAAGGAAAAATTTATCAAAGTCCACGGTGGTGTTAGCAATGGGCAAAACAATGTAATAATTTTTTTTCCAATGTTGGCATGCGTGCTAGTCAGACGATTGCATGCAGTGCTCACTTGCTCCAACGACATACCAGCAACGCTGCAATGTTGCAATGCTGCAAATGTATGTGATTCGGGATGTACACATATGTGCGGTAAATTGAGCATTAACAAACGTACCTCGTGTAGGTCAAGGAAATCCTGCGTGACGATCCACGGGGCATCGGGAATTACTTCATCAACCCAGCGGCAATGACGCATAGACTCGTAGCGCTCACGATCCGACTGCACAGTCTTTCCCTTGCGTGAATGCGTGTCCTCGTCGTTGCACATACCGACCATCAGGTAGACATTGGGCAGCGACTTCTTCGCCTGCTCCAGCGCACGCATATGCCCGTAGTGAAGCAGGTCGTAGATGCCGTCGCAGTACAACCGTACAGGCCGGTCCCGCGGCGCTGGGTTAATGGGGTAGTCTTTGCCGGTTGGCATCTCGTACGACATGTTGACCTCCAACGGTCTGAACGACTTTACGACGTTCGGGTCGGCGTCGCCCAGACCCATGGGGCTACCGGGGTCCATGGACGATGGCGATGCCGAGCGCGATGCCGAGAGCTTGGGCGAATTGGGCTCGCTGACTGCCTGTTCGTGCGCGCTGTTGCTGATGCTGTTACTTCTGCTGCCGATTCCCGTGTTGCTCATTTGCTAAAGAAAAATTAATTAATTTAAAAAATAGTAAGTATAAAAATTAAAAAAGCAAAAAAAAATGGAAAATGGAAAAGTCAGGTCGTCGGAGTATGTATAAAAAAATCCAGCAAGTGACAAGAGAAGCAAAAGGGGCGAAACTTTGGAAAAGAAAAAAGATGCCAAAGGCACAATAATGAAAAAGGCGCCGAAAATAAAATTGGCGCGTAAAATGGCTCACTAACGCAGGGCAATTTAATTCTTTGTCGGACATTCCAATAAAGAAAGAGTGTGTCCGGCTGACCGATGGCAACTGATTGATCTTAGCGAACCGCAAATAAACCGCTTGCTTGACTCAGCCCACGTTTCTGTTATAATGAAAAATACTGCTTGCTTATTGTGTTATACTAAAAGAAAAGAATGAGGCTACAGATATCCCTCAAAACGACATCCTTCCCCAGATAAAGTGTTTAGAAACTAGTGGCAATAGACCACTATGGTTGACGATATTAATCAGTTCGCTGCTTCTTTTGAAGAGAAGAAGCTGGGCAGATGGATTCTTGCGCACACGCTTGCTCTTGGGCTTTGGCTTGAGCATTGCTGTAGAGTCAGCTGAAGCTGACTCTGACGATACCTTTTTGCGTGAAAAATAGGTTTTGAAAATCCCCGCTTAAAAATCTGGACTTTCACTATAAATGACTTAAAATTCTAAAAAATACATTTATACCAGTGTACTGAATTTGCTTTTTTCTTTTTTTCGTTTCCTTCCGTTTTTTATTTATCCTAGTGCACTTTCTATTTTTGAGCTTGTTCTTGCAATTCGAATTCAAAATGTGGAACCAATTACTTTTACTGACGACGGCATTCGGACTGGGATATATTTTTGCCACCCGCAAGGCACAGCCTAAGGCTGAGCAGCCTGTCAATGACAGCCTTGCAGACAAAGCAACTGTGGGTGCCTTCCCTGCGCAGAACAAAGCCGGCGCCATTGTTATCGATGAATGCAGTAGCGGCAAGAAGAAGAGCAAGAAGAAGAAGTCAAAGAAGAGTGCAAAGATCGCTCCTGCTGAACAGAATTCGATGGAGCCATTGCTACCAGCAGCAGCGCTTATTGAGGACACCAAAGACTCTATTGTAATCTCTGAAGTGGAAGACAACGATGGCGACGACGACAACAATAGCATTAGCATTGAAACGATTGACCACAAGGCGAACGAAGTTGAGGACTGGGAGTCTGTCGGACAGCAAGGCGTCCCAGCCAAACGGAGAGAAGCTAAGCCGATCCCAATTCACCAGTCAGCGTGGGAGGAATTAGCCCGCGATGAGGACCTCAACGCTGAGCCCGAGCAGTCTGCCTCCGCGGCCCGCGTCTTGAGAATCGGCGCAGCGGCTCGGCCGCCACCACCGCCTCCGCGTGCGCGTAGAGAATACGTGCCACCGGCACCATTAACTAGGAAGCAGCGCCAGAACCAAAAGAAGGCTGAGATTATGCGAGAAGAGCGTGCGGTGATGGCGGAAATTCAGGAGCAGCGGCTTAAGCAGCATCAGCGGAGCCTGCTTGATGTGCGCTCGCGTGAGCAGTGGAGCAAGGTGAAACGTGTGGAGGCTAGCAAACTTCCGGCACGGTCTTCGTCCAAGATGCCCAATAGCACGGCCTCGGTTGTTGATGGCATGCTCATTTGGGACTGAGATTCAGCCGTTTTGTATTTTATTTTGCACGTCTCTGGATATGCGCATTTTTCATTCAAATATTTTGACTTTCAATATTAGTAAATTATATGAACTTGCATGTGTCAATGGTATGCTTAATTATGAGCTTAATTATTTTATATTGTATGCGTCAGCTGTGGCAAAGCAAAACAAATTTCAATAAAAATTTTTGTGAAAACAATTAGTGATATTTCTGTCTCTCGGGAATCTGTTTTCAATAATCTTGAAACTGGTGGCTTCGTCATATCAACAAAATCTCTGCTACCAATCACCATATTGACAACAATGCATTTGTTTTGTTGTATGTTGTGAAAATAGTCATATTCGGTTTGGTTTCCAATTTTCAGAATAATGTTTCCTCTTTCACAATTTTACATTTTTGCATTATTTTCATCTTCATCATGAGCGACTCTAATACCTTCAGCGATATGCTTGCTTATATGCCGACCAACCTGCCTACTTCGGATGTGTGCCCCAATGTTATTGGTGCCGACATTATAGCCATGGCCAACAATATGACTCTGGGGGAAAGATAGGCCAGACAATGATGGCTAGAGCTGTAGATCTGCTCAACAATGGCGTGTTGGACATGGGTAAGGTCAAGCATTTCATCTGCAACCTACATGTAGGTGCGTTCTACGGCTCTCCTGGAATTATGAATAGCAAGTACAGCTGGTACTCACCTGAGCTCTTTAGCCAGATAACAGATGCCGTGCAGAAATTTGCTCTTGAGCACGGCTTGCGAGTTCTCATCATCTGGGGGCTCGATTCAGTGCGAGGCGCCAACTTTGTCAAGGGAGCGGTCATTTTCCCGACAGGTATTGCGACTGCGGCAACCTTCAACCCACAGCACGCGTACAATGCCAGCCGCATTGCCGCCAAGGACACTCGCGCGGCGGGCGTTCACTGGGCATTTGCTCCTGTCTGTGATCTGATCTTCAATAAAACCAGTCCCAGACTCTACGAATCGTTTGGCGGGGATCCGTTCCTTTTTTCTCACATGACTGCTGCCTCAGTCAACAGATACCAGGGCGACTACAAGTGCGATCGGTTGCGCGTGGCCGCTTGTGCTAAGCACTTTGTCGGAGGCTTGAATGTCGACAAGAATGAATTATCCAGCTGCAAAATAAGCAAGACTGAGCTTTTCGAGTATTCTATTCTGCTGTTCAAGGCAGCGATTAATGTCGGCGTGGTTACTATGATGGCAGACTTTGGTTCTATCAATGAGGAATGAGTGACCAGCTTGGATTACTATCTTCAGCAACTGCTGCGCGAGCAGCTTGGCTTCCAAGGCGTTTTGGCTGCATACGTCCCAATGCATTCCAAGCATAAATTTGAGCCGATAATAAGGAAGGGCGCTGTCGATACAATAATGGCTAATGACCATAAATCTGATTTTATCGTTCGTGCAACCGAAACACTGCGCGAAAACCCCGATTTTATTGCAAAACTAAACGTTTGTGTCGCCCGCATCTTGCAGCTCAAGAAGGACTTGGGTTTGTTTGAATTGCCATATGCCGATCCTCAGCTTGCCTCCATTGTTGGCTCTGCGCAAGATATTGAAGCTGCACGCAATGTTGTGCGTGAGTCAGTCGCTTTGCTCAAGAACAGAAACAATGTGCTGCCACTGAAGCTGACCGAGCGCGTGCTGTTCCTCGGACCAACATTGAACTCCACTCGCTACATGGGTGGCGGATGGAATGTTCATTGGCAGGGACCGTCGGAGAATGAGGGCGACGAAGTGTACCAGGGCTTTGGCGACACCATCCTCGAGGGCGTTCAGGAGATTACCGGTTGCGAGCCACTGTACTTCAAGGGCGTCGACATTGACAGAGATGAGCTTATTGACATCAGTGCTATAGTCAAAGCTGCCAAGAAGGTTGACAAGATCCTCATCGGGCTCGGCGAAAAAACTTACGCTGGAATGGAAGGAAAAATCGACAATTTGAAGCTGCCACCAAATCAGCTTGACATTGTGTACACCATCGCGAGGGCCACCCACAAGCCAATTGTTGTCGTTGTGGTCGGGGGGCGTCCGCGCCTTTTAGAGCGAGTGGCAGATATTGCAGATGGCATTGTGCAAGCATATTTGCCCGGCATCTACGGCGGTCTGCCCATTGCCGAGATTCTCTACGGAAAGGTCAATCCGTCGGGCCGTCTGCCCTACACGTACCCAACCACCAAAGCGCAGGTATTGGCCACCATTTGGAATACAGCTCGTGGCGACTACAAGCTACAGTGGGAATTTGGCTACGGAATTGGCTACTCGCACGTGGAGCACACCAATTTCACGCTGTCTAGCAAGCTGCTCACGCTTGCCAGGTCAATTACTGTTTCGGTCAGAATCACCAACCATGGTCCCTATCCACAGAAGGAGCTGGTGTTTCTGTTCACCAGCCAGCCGAGCATTGAAAATAAGAATATTTATCCCCATTATCTGCGGATGTTTGCCAAGGTCAAGTTGAGAGTTAACGAGACTAAAAACATTGTATTCGAGCTGCGCGCTGAGGACTTGGTATTCTGGGCCACAGACTCGAAGCAAACCATCGGTCCGGCTCTGGTGCTTGTAGCCATCAACCCGTACACTCAACAAGACATCAAGGCTGAAGTAACTTTGGATGTTGGCGCCGACGCAGCATTTGCTTAAATGCGCACTTTTAATGACCATGGCAATATTTTCCAAATAAAATCAATATTGGTATTAATATTAATATTCAAAATATTAGTAAACATTTTTATCTAAGTCGTTGCTTTTGCCCTGGGGCGATTCTCAAATGTACTTTTTCCGACGTTGAGCGAGTGCGCGATGGGCTGCAGCATCTTCTCCACAATAGGCCCGAGCTTGGCGTTCTTGCTGTCAGCTGTGTTTGCTCTGGCTATGGTGTCGCGAATTCGCGCATGGACGCCGTCAAATGCCGCGGCAATCTTCTCGGCGCGCTTCTGGCGCTCAGGTGTTGGCGGCAAGCGGATCAGTGACCATAGGTGGCGGAGCATCTCAGTGCCCGCACCGTGGCACTCGGCGACAGCCAAGTTGATATCGTCCGGTATGCGCAGCTCCTGTATGCGATTTGGGCGCTTTTGTAATGCCATTATGTGCGCCGAGTGCGAAATAATGTCCATCGTCTTTTGCGTGTCGCCGCAGTTATCCAAGGGGCGGGATATATTGAAGCTGACATGTAGTGGGGCACATGCAGAGCCTGGATCGGTGTGACCCAAGTTATGAGATCCCTGGCTCTGCTTGGAGTCGCTTGCCCCCTTGGATAGACTGGTAAAGTATCGCGTTCTGTCCTGAATGCTCAGCTTGATCTTCTTTTCAGGGTGGGGCGTCTCGAGGTCTTCCAGATGTGTCGCCTCCTCGAGCGTTTTGTCGACAGCCTTATGGTCGTTGTCCGTCTGCTTGCGCTTGCTGTTGAGCACAGACTGCAAGACCAGCTCCGAGTGGTGGTTGAATCTCCGAAGGAGTGACAGCTTGTTGTCCATGAGTGCCGGGCGCATGGTAAAGTCGGGCGCATTCCCTGTCTCCACGCTATCCTCCTCTGTGCGCGTCAAGTCAAGCAGCTTTGTGAGATGGTCCAAGTCGTACCTCGCGGTGTTGTTGAACACGCTGTCCTCTTCCCGCATGCACTTGTCAAAAATGTCGTCCCGATTGCCTTTTGCGCTGTCCGCCGACCGCCCGCGGTTGAAGAACTGTGAAGCGACAAACTTTTTCCAAAACAGCTTCTCATTGACCTTGTGTGGCACATTATCAATGTACGCTCTCTTGACCTGTGGGTATTCCTTGAATATGCGCCGGGCAACATTGGGAGTGATCGTGTATTTGAAGTCGCCCGAGGCCTGCGTCATTGGCGCAAGGTCAAGCCATGTGGAGGACTCGCCCTTGCGCAGCTGGGACTGGATCGCTTGCGTCTCCAGTATGTGCTTGCGCGTGCTCCAAAACTCGTCTTCAGATATAAGACCCGCAATGACCAGCGTCTTGTGGAGCTTTGCCAAGTCCGAGTTTTTCGACAGCGCCTCCTGCCGCAGCTTGATTTCTTCGACAGATGCCGGTACAGCGCCAATTTTGACTTTACCGTATTCGGAACCGCTCTGACCTGTTGGCGCTGCAGATCCAGACGCTGACGCAGCGCCAGAAGCAGCCGAAGAAGAGCCTGCAGTGCCCTGCTGGTTGCCGGGGGCAGCAGCAGCACCAGCCCCAGTGCCCGTAGCAGCTCCTCCACCCGGAACCTGCTGCTTCTTTGGGGTAATTACAGCCAGCTCGGCCATATACTTGTCGCGGTCGGCGATCGCCACGTTCTTGTCTACAAGCTTCCAAGTGAACGTGTGCGTCACGTTGGGCGCAGTGTCGGGCGCTGAACCTGGGGACACCGCGCTAATGCGCAGCATCACCTTCTTTGCCTCAGCCTTGCTCACCTGCTGAGAGCTAAAGTTCTCGTGCAGCACCTCTGCCGCTGGTGTCTCTGCGCCAGCCTTGCACCAGGCCAGGCGCTTGTTTGTAATGTACAAAGTGCCCTCTTCTTTGTTGCACAGTGTCTCTGAAGAGTGCTTAATAATTTCACCCGGAAGAGTAAGCATGTTTCAGAGCTTTTAAGATGGTTTTTATAATATAAAAAGTGATTCAGATGGTTTGATTTGTAAAGTATGCAAAAAAATATGTAAAAAATTTGTTGGAGCAAATATCAAAACGCTGCGCAAAGGGGAAAATCTTGCGCATAAAATAAGTGTGGACAAAATGTAGCCACTTGTGGGTAATATCACGTGAATGTATAATAAAATAAAATAATTGTAATTTATAGATTTGTAGATTTGTCGATTACAATAAGATCGCAAAATCGTATTTTTATTTAAGCGTGGGCTTGAAAAATACAGTTCTTGCAAAGTTCGTTTTTATCTTTGTTTCGATTTCACTTTAATTTCACGTTATACTTTTTTCTATATATTCCCAATGGCGTGCATTGGTCTACGAGCAAGCAATGGTCTGCGCGGCCCGCTGCTGCAGTCAGTTGCGTCGACGTTCTACGCGAACACGGCCAAGAAGACCGGTCGGCATGCCCTGCAGCGGGCATTTGCACCCGCAAGCGTGGGCTTTGTCAGACACCACTCGCAGCCCCGGGAGCAGCACTTTGTGGTCACCGAATTCGGGCTTCTTTCAGACTTTGTGCCTGCGCCCCTGAGCCAGCAGCCGTCCATTTTCAGTAAGGCCGGTCTGACCAGCGTCAAAACGTACGTGGTCGAGTACGCGCGCGAGGTCTTCTCTTGGGTCACCTTGAAGTACTATTTGTCGGGATGGAAGACCAAGGAGTTCGTGCCGGCGGCTGAAGATCTGTACGGCGTGATGAACGAGGCCTTTGCGCAGGGCAACTTGAAGACCCTGGAGGCCATCTGCCTGCCCACCATGTATGCGAGCCTGAAGAACGACATTAAGCGCCGCGGCAACGTGTCCTTTGAGTGGCGCAAGATCAGCTCGGTGAGCCCGCCAAAGGCTTTGCAGATTCGGTGCGGCCGCTTGACGTCCGAATTTGCCGTTGGTCAGGTCGTCGTTCGCATCGACCAGGAGCAGGCTGTGGTGCCTGTAACCGCGAGGAAGGGATCGGGCGCCGCCAATTTTTCCGCGGCCAAGCCCGTGCGCGTCACCGAGTACGTCGTCTTCCAGCGCGTCGTTTCCGACGCTGCGTCTCCCTGGCGCATCTACGGCAAGATGAACGTGCCCAAGTGGGATCTGCAGTCTTCCAAGAACTAACAAAACAATAAAATTAAACCTTTCTATACAGCACCAATTAACAATAATGATGAAACTGAAATCGATGGCAAACGAAATATATTGTCAAAAGTTTTATATAAAGAAACATACGTGGAATTAGGAGTATTTGACACTTTTACTTCTATTCACTGCTCTTGCTTCTGCTTCTCCTCGGCGCGCTTCATGCCTTTAAGCTTCTGCTTGATGTCATGGTAGCAGCTAAGGCAGATGTGCGCAGCGAGCTTTGGGCGTCCGCATCCAGAGCACGGAACCAGATCATAGCGGTTCTTCAATCCCTTGCCTGCCATGCGCTTGCGCTTTTTCGAGTGACTCGTGCGCTGCTTGGGAACCGCACGCAGAATCATCTCGCCGAGGAGATCGCTGAGCATACCGAGACCAACACCAAGTGCCGACATCATGCGTGTCCGTGCAGCCAGACCGGCCGCTGCCGTGGTGGTCGTGGTCGTGGCAGCGACGGCGGCGCTGATTGTGTGAGAAATGCGCGGCAGCACGGTTGTGCGCATGAGTGACCGCGTGGATTGAATGGCGAACGACATTTTGAATGGTGAACTTTAAGAATTAAAAACAGCGTAGTGTGGAGCAAGCAAGGATTTGGAGGAAGTAAATGAAATACAGATAACCTTGAATTTGCTTCTCCCATTAATAAAAGTGTTCAAAAAAATTGAGAGATAAAATTACCAGTGGCTGTGAAATGGAAGAATATCCGTGATCAATTAACAGCTGCCCAAAATAAATCAGCAATTCGAAAGCTCAGCCTGATATGCATATGCACATCAAGAGCTCCCTGCTTGAGCTGACGCATGCTATCTCGGCACACAGCCAGTGGAACTGCGATCACCTTTTTTTCTTCATTTATTTTGTTATCATATATACACGCATACATATTATTATAAATTTCCTTTTCGAAAACCGGCAATGCTATCTCAGTGGCGACAATGCACTCTGCAGGTGCAGCGGCGGCACACACCACAGCGACCCGCGCACCTGCTACTCAGCTTGAGGCGCACATTATCAAGCATGTCAGCCAGCGAGATCCGCCAGCGCTACACAGAATACTTTGCTAAGAACGGACACACCCTGCTGGACAGCTCGGACATAGTGCCGAAAAGCGACTCGACCCTGTTGTTTACAAACGCCGGCATGGTGCCCTTCAAGCAGTTTTTTCTCAACCCGAGCGCCGCGCCCTACAAGATGGTGACAACCGTGCAAAAGTGCGTCAGGGCCGGCGGCAAACACAACGACTTGGATCAGGTCGGGTACACGCCCCGGCACCACACGTTTTTCGAATGCTGGGCAACTTTTCGTTCGGTGCGTACGACAAGCGGAAGATCATCCATATGGCCTGGCAGTTTGTCACCGAGGAGCTCAGGTTGCCCAAAGACATGCTGCGTGTCACGGTTCTAAATACTGATGACGAGGCGCATGCTATCTGGAAAGACGAGATCGGGGTTGATCCTGGGCGGATCGTTCGATGCGGGCCAGAAGACAATTTTTGGAGCATGGGGAACGGTGAGGGCCCGTGTGGACCGAGTTCGGAGATATTTTGGGACACTCAGGATCCTCGGTACTCCGAGAGTGACGACGAGCGGTGGCTGGAGATCTGGAACCTGGTTTTCATGCAGTTTCATCGTGGCGCCGACGGGCAGCTTCAGCCGCTGGAAACGCCGTGCATTGACACTGGCATGGGCTGGAGCGGGTGGCGTCAATCTTGCAAGGGAAGAAGAACAATTATGACACAGACGAGTTCCAGACCATTATCAAAGACATTGGGCATTATCAATCAAATACAGCAGACGTCACCCAGACACCATACTGACTTACAAAAGGATTGTCGCGGACCATTTGCGGGCAAGCGTCTTTTTGATCGCTGAAGGAGTGTATCCAAGCAATACAGGCCGCGGGTATGTCTTGCGTAGGATCATCCGCCGCGCGGTCCGCGCCGGTCGTCTGCTGGGCATAAAGGACACAGTGCTTTCTGACCTCTACCCGAGCCTGGAGGCAGCCATGGGTGCGGCATACCCCGAGATTATCGAGCGTCGCGAGCCAGTCATTTCTGTGTTAAAATCTGAAGAGAAGGCGTTTTTGAAGACTCTGGACAAGGGCATGGCACTTTTGGAGGGTATTTTTGTTGGTGAATCAGAAGACAAAGTCTTGAGCGGAGTGGATGCGTTTGCGCTCTATGACACCCACGGCTTCCCCGTTGACCTGACACAAATCATTGCCCATGACCACGGATGGGATGTAGATATCGAGGCATTTGATGCGATTCAGCGCGAGACTCGGGAACGCAACAAGACATCATGGAAGGGCGGTTCAGCAAAAAAGGACGCTGTTGCCGGTGAGATTGAGTCTGTTTGCCTCGAGTGGCAGGACGCAGCAATTAGCAGCAAGTTCTGCGGGTATGAAATTGACCCCGAGTCCATGGGTGCAGGCATGGTGGGCAGAGTTGCGGCGTTCAGGGAGCTATCCAACGGCGACGCTCTCGTAGTCATTGATCCGTGTCCATTTTACGCGACAGGCGGTGGCCAGCAGGCTGACGCTGGCACAGTCACAGTTGCCAGCGACCATGACACAGCTCATACGTTTTCTGTCAAGAACGCTGTGGCCCTGCCGAATGGCCGAGCGACCGTTCTGCAGCTCGCGGCAGCTGCTGACAAGCAGGCTCTTTTTGATGCTGGGCAAGAAGTCACTGAAATCGTCGATATGAAAAGGCGCTTTGGGAGTGCCGTGCATCATACGGCAACACATCTACTCAACGCTGCGCTGCGCAAGGTTGTGGGCAAGTCGGTCATGCAAGCTGGTTCACTTGTGCAGCCCGACAGTTTGCGCTTTGACTTTACCAGCGGCGCCCTGACGAGCGAACAGTTGAACGAGATCGAACAGCTCGTCAACCAGGCTGCCCTAGACAATACAAGTGTGAGTGTTTTCCAGATGACACTGGATGAAGCCAAAGCGCAGGGTGCCGTGGCCATGTTTACCGAAAAGTACAATGCGGAGAGCGTGCGCGTTGTCGAGGTTCCTGGTGTGTCGATGGAGCTGTGTGGAGGCACGCATTTGCATCGACAAGGGCAGCGTTTCCATTCCAGATTGTATCCGAAGGTTCTATAGGCGCTGGGACAAGACGCATAGAAGCTGTCGCTGGCTCGGCAGCTTCGCTTTGGCTCCAGAAGCAGCTTGGTTATGCCCAGGCCACTGCGCGCACGCTCGATGTGGTCAAGCTTAGTGAGATGGAAAAGAAATCCCGCCAGTTGTCCGCAAAGCAAAAGGCCTTGCAGGACGAGTCGGATATGTGGTTGCGCGCGGCAGCTATCAATTTGCATCCCATTGCTACGCACTCGACGACTTTGGGAAAAGCCAGCACCCCAATAATCATCCATATTCTTCCGAGCTCTGCCAACAGCCCTGGATCTGCAATAAGCGGCGGCGACGCGCGGATTGTCGCGGAAAAGGCATGTCATTTGCGTGATACTCAACCTGAGTCAGCACATGTGGTTATACGGGGAATGCGGTTGCACTGAGTGTGGATGCCCAGCGCGTCTCTGGCATACAGGCCGGCGTGCTGCTTCGCGAGCTGTTGCTTAAGCTTCCGGGAAAAGGTGGTGGTCAGGGCACTCTTGCGCAAGGAAAGCTTAAAACAGCTGTTTCTGTGGCCGAGCAAATAGAAATGCTGTAGATTATTATTATAATCGCTGATAATATATTGAAATATGTTTTGCTAAACGAGCATTAAATTCTCAGTCATATTATAGCTAATTTATCGATTTGTATCGAGTTTATTTACTTACTCTTTTAATTGGTTCAAATTATTTCAAGGTAAAGATATATTACAGCCAGGGTTTGCTACAGTTACATTGGCTTGTTCAAGCCTTATGTTGTTTTAAATATTGACTGTGAAAAATTAATGCTTATTTGTTTACCACGTAAAAGAACGTATAAAAGGGACGAGATGGAATGCTCCGTCCTTTATTCACGTAAAGAAATAAACCTTTTTTCTATTATTAACAACTTATAACTGCTAATATGCGCTTTTATTTGTTGCAAGTTCAAAAAAATCTGATTTAATATACTTAATGGAAATATAATTGTTGAAATGTAAATGAAAATATTTTTAACTATTTTTCCTTTTTTTTCTATTTTCATTCATTTCAATAATTTATTTCTAATATTTCAGCTTGTAAACTGGCAACTCCCTGCCAGTTGGCATTAGATCATGCCAGTTGCTGCCGCTGTTGTCCCGCGGCGGATCAGTGGTGTTATTGTCAAGAGGATTGCAGCTACCATTGACCCTGTATCTCCTCTTTCTGGCGTCCTGTGGAACCAACTTGGCGAAATAAGTTTCAAATTCATACCCCAAAAATGATCCTAGTAGTGCTCCTGCTCCATGTACTTCTATTGGAATATAGGAATGTTCTATGAACGTGTAGATAAACTATAATGATATAAAGTATATTTAATAAATAAATGCTATGCACTGTGAAAGGTAAAAAGAAGAGAGCATATTGCTCTGGTCACTGTGATTTATTGTTTGTGTGGCTAAACAGCCAAGACTGGTTAATCAGTCGATTGCCATCAACCAATATTCTCCTTTAATCAATATTCTTGTGGTAAATAAACACCATGGTATGTTTCTGGAATGTGGTTGATCTCAAAGAAGCTGTGCTCGAATTGTTCTACGACCTAATGATAGGCGACTCTGATATATTTGGTTCTCAGATGATCTGCAGGATTCTTGATGAGTGTAACTGCTGCCATGTTGTCATTGTAGTACTGCCACTTGGCGGTTGGCTCGGCTTAATGACTTCAATAGAGCAGTGATGTTAACGAATAAATTCAATAAACGTACTTAGAACTATATTATAAAAACTAGGAAAGGAGAAGAGAGCAAATTAATAAATGTTGTTGTTTTGCCCTTTTTATGACTGTATCTTTTCACTCATAAAGATAAGGGCAACTGATGGGCATTGTGTAATGAGGAATTATGCTGGTTATAATAAATATTAATAGATATGAGACTACGAGAAGAGCTAAAGAGCTCACTATTCAGAATTCGCTGTACATGTAAAATATTATAAACATATTTCATGCGTCTGTGCTGTCACGTGACTCAGCCTTCATTTTTGATGTCACACACGTAGTCTATTAATCTCAGTAAGACAACATATTTGTTCATGCAACTATCATGTACCTCAACTGTAACATTTTATTTTATTTTATTACTTTTTACTTGTTCATTTTTCATTTTATAATTATTTATTATTTATTAAAATTATTAGAAACCAAATCCAAAAAGCTAAAGCAAGTTTGGATGGCTTAAAGGTAACTGCATACATGCGTATCTCCAAAATATCACTTGTTTAAACTAGTGAGAAATATACAACTATATCTATCTGAATAATAATACACAGCAAATAGTGGTATATACTGAAGCTGTCCACATGCCATCAGCAAGCTCCTACAGTCACCGCCATTATCCTGTGGTGGATTGCTGAAGACATCACCATTGGGTGTAATTTTTGCCACATCATATTTGTTGACTAGCTGCCCATAGCCCCATGACTCCACATCCACAACATTTCACTCGTCTTGTATTTTGTCAAACCCAAGTTCTTTGAGACCAACCAGCGACTCTTGGCTTTCCAGTCGATAAAGCTCAGAGTCAAGAATCCATGGTAGATACTGCTCTGTAAAATCGATAGTAGAGGTAGAGCCATACTTAGGACAAGGCATGACATAAGGGGCAATGGCAGTATCAATAATGGTTGCAGAGACTGGGGCAGAGAGGGAATCAGGTACAGGGGTAGACATGGAATCAGAAGTATCATCAGACAAACATTTAAAAGTGGACATGATAGACTAGGCTATCTATCCTAACTCAGGCTTTTGCATAATCCTTGTTTTCCATGGCTTACCATCTGGCACAGCAAAATTAGAAACAACATAACAAGCCCCATTGACAACAGTGTGAATGCACTGATTTACAACAGCCCTATCTACGCAGATAAATGATTTATATGCGTAGGTAGACGAAAATGAATTGTCAACAGTGGAAGAGAAAAAAAAGCATATGTGGAATAAGTAGTGGGGAAAGGGGTAGAAACAGGGGTAAAAGTGTGTTGGGGCAAGTGTGGAATCTACAGCAGAAGGAACGTCGACATATTTATCGTCAAAACTGGTATTAAGAAACCTTCCAATGTGCTCCGATATGTCACATTTACAATCCTCCTCGTTTTTGCTGCTACAAAGCCGCATTCTCTATTACAAAATACAAAATAGTACAACGAAATCACTAGTATTACATCAAAAAATCAGGAAAATGTGACAAATAAAAACAGTGCATAACTGCAATACAATACAGTACAATATAATATTTACCTTGAAACCTGACTGCTTAGAGTCGGACTCTAGCTTCCGCTTGCACTGGGTTGCCTCAATGATATTTTTGCTGCCCAGTGGTGGCAGGCCGCTATTGCCCGCACCCATCCTGGCCGACTTGTGGCCGTTGGGAATTGCACTCATGTTCTATGGCAAAAAATAAAGTATACAAAAAAATATTTTTGTGAAGCTTTTTTGTTTACTTTAAAATGAGTACTTATTTGAAACCTGCAAATAAAAATATCAATATTTACCAAAACCATTTTAATGATAATAATGTTATTGTTGCTGCTGCTGGTGGTGATAGTGATGTGCGTGTGTTTGTCTGCGCATGTGTGTTTTGCTGTGTGTGTTCTGCCATGTATGTGCATGTGCGTTTTTTGCTGTACAAGTGACTAAGTAGACAGAAAGATGTGGTGATAAAATATTTTAGTTACGAGAAGCAAATGTGTGAGGAAAAAACCGAAAATACAAAAAAACAAAGCCAGACAAGGCTACACTGCCCTTTTTATTCCTCCGCTCTTGGATCCATACGCCAGTAGCAATACTTTTTTGTTAAAACAATAGGGTGGAAGTCAGGACGTGGCTGAATACAAAAATTATTGATTATTTTGGCATATTGTTTCACATAAAAACCAATCTACTTTTTTTACTTGGCGCTTTTGTGTCGCAGCATTTTTTTTACAAATCCCGTATTCAACAATAACAAACATTCATACGTTTTTGGCTCTGTGTCCATATATTGCTAATTTTTCCTGACAGGTCAAACATGCATTTTGTGTAGAAACAAGACTGTCTCACAAATATAAACAACGCTTTACAAGTCCTCTGGTTTTCCCAAGCAAGTATTCGCTGCTACAGCATTTGAAGCATCAATACCAACTTGATAAATATTTTAAGGCCTTTTTTACCAGTACAAATCGTTGAATAAAGTTATGTTTACTTTCGCAGTTTCTGGTATAATAGTCAGTGCTTAAATCAATCGCTGAATTGGGTGCTTTATTCTGCCATCGTGCTGGCAAGCGCATGCTTATCCGTATGCGAAAATCAGAAATGTAACCAACAGTAAAATTCAATTATTGCGCTCATTGTGAGCATGTGGAGATCAATGCATGGTGCCAACTCCCGTTTTTTTGGACTTTGGCGCATCAATGTCATTTTTTCGAAGCATGCACTATTTCTCTTTATTCATTTTGAAACTGTTTTTTTTTATAATTTTGCACCAGGAAATAATGTTCTATTTTCTGCAAGCCGGAAGTAAATTTTTTTTTTCTTGCCATCCCGGCTATTTATCAATGCCCTGACATCAATTAATAAAAAAGATGCATACGGAATAATTTTGTTGCCGAAAAAAGTTACCGCTTGTAAACCACTCCTTGCAAACATCTATGCTTTCATTGTGAATTAAATTTTTTTGTTGAATTTAACATTAAAAATGCATTTTTCTGGGGGAATATAGTGGTAGCTCTGGACTGACCAAATGCAAAAAAACCCCTCCCCAAACGAGTATATTGGTCCAGCGGCTGGACCATGTAAAAGTTATTGCTTAAATGCACCAGATCTGCAAAAGTTTTTTTTTTGCAAAGTGCGCCCATCCAACAACAAAAAAAGTATTACGTTATGGACAAATAAAAAAGAAAGCAATTTGCACTTTCTTATCTGCTATTTCTATTTCCTTTTTTTCTGTTGATTTTTATTATAAACAAACACTATGGTGGTATTTCCAGCCTCTTTCGGCATAAGGCTTCTGGCATTGTCCAGCGCAGTGTGCGCCTCGTCCGCGCACCAGCACGTGTTCTCAGCTCAGCACCACTATTCAACAGAGCAAATGCCTGCATCCAACAATGGAAACAGCCGCTACGCCGAGCCAAGCGTGGCAAAAACATCCCAATGGACATCGATAACATCAATGGATGCCATTCCCAACTACCAGTTGCGAGTCAAAAGCCCCCAGCTATGCGACACCAACGTCACGCAGTACAGCGGATACTTGGACACATCCGAGGACAAGCATTTTTACTTTTGGTTTTTCGAAGCACGCAAGGGCAAGCGTGAAGACGCACCCCTGATACTCTGGCTCAATGGAGGGCCCGGGTGCAGCTCATTCACGGGGCTTTTGATGGAGTTGGGTCCCTGCAGAGTCAGCCCAGGCGGCAACGACACGGAGCATAATCCGTTTGCGTGGAATGATCGCGCCCATGTTATTTTCCTCGACCAACCGACCAACGTCGGATTCTCCTATGGCTCAGATGTGTTTACCTCTTTGGCTGCTGGAAAAGACGTCAATGCTCTTCTGCAGCTGTTTTACGAGGGGTTCCCGCAGTACGCAAAGAGCGAGCTCCATGTGTTTGGCGAATCATACGGCGGTCATTATGTGCCTGCAGTGGCCAAGGCTATTCGCGAGTCCAATGACCGAGTGAAAGAGAATAGACACGTGGCGCAACTGCAAGGAGTAGATGATTCTGAGGATCTCCGCATACTTCCGCTTGTCTCAATCGGCATTGGCAACGGCATAGTTGATCCGCTGGTACAGTACAAGTACTATTCCCAAATGGCGTGCAACTCGACGTACGCGCCGGTTCTCAGTAAGGAGCAGTGTAAGTCTATGGATGACGCTTATCCGACGTGCGCGCGGATGACCCGGGCTTGCTACAAGTGGAGGAACGCCCTGGCTTGCGTGCCGGCTATGATGTATTGCGGTAATAAGATCGAGGGCATGTATATGAAGTCGGGCCGTAACCCATACGATGTGCGGCGGGATTGCGAGGGCAACGACCTGTGCTATCCGATATTGAACGATATTGACACGTACCTGAACCTGCCCGAAGTGCAGAGGGAGCTGGGAGTCGAGGTCAGCAAGTATGCGTCTTGCTCGGATAAGGTCTACACGGGGTTTTCGCTCAACGGCGACTTAATGAAACCGTTCCACCAAGAGATTCCGCCACTATTGGCTGATGGAATTCGTGTTTTGGTTTACGCCGGCGACGCTGACTTTATCTGCAACTGGTACGGAAACAAGGCGTGGTCGATGGAGCTGGAGTGGCCTGGAAAGGATGCGTTTAATCAGGCGGGCGACAAGGAGTGGGCTGTTGGAAGGGACTCGGCTGGCGAGGTGCGCAGCTACGGGAATTTTACGTTTTTGCGCGTGTTCAGTGCCGGCCATATGGTTCCCTACGACCAGCCGGCCAATGCACTCGACATGATCAACCGCTGGCTGGCAAACGAGGAATTCTAAATGGTTTTTGTAAATGAATAAGTAAAAATCCAATAACCCAAAAACAGTATCGTAAAGTTTATTTGAGTACGACTTCCATATAAATGTTCAAGTGCAATTTAAAAAAAAACAAAGGTGAGATGTATCTCTTGGTCGTTTTTAGCACAGGGATGCTTCATAAAAGGCTCGCGGTCCGTTCCATCCAAAAATGCGCACAGTCTGGAGCGTCATCGACTTGCTGCCCCTGGCACCACGCAGCATCTTGATGTACAAGTATTTGCAAGCCACGCCCTGGGGCAATACCTGGAGCTGCCTGTACCCTTCCTCGTGGGCAAGCCAGAAGTAGGCAATAGGCAGCGGATCGCACATCAAATTCTTCTGCTGAATCGCATCTCCACTATCACCAGCAGAAGCAGAAGAAGTAGAAGCAGTGCTGTTCTGGCTCTCAATGCGGGCGGCCAGCTGCTCGTACTGCGCAAACGTATAGTTGTTGTACTGTTCGAGCTCCGAGAATGTGCATCGGCGACTGGACGCAAAAAACATAAGCTCAGTGCACGGCGGGAACCTGGACAATGACGCCTGGATCATGATGCGCTCAACAATCGTGTGCCTAGGGAGCCCGTTTTCCTCCACAAAAGACAGCTCCAGATTGACGTTTGTCGCGCGACTGGTGACGAATGCCGTGCTGTTGGACAAGAATATATTGTCCAGCGTACCATGGCCGGTGTCATCAGCGTTGCTGCATTTCATAGAAAGAGGGCGGATCTCCGAGTGCACGGAGTAGAGTCGCGACTGCTCGCCCTGCATGCCCCGCAGCGTGTGCATTTTGATGCCAACGTATGTGTCCCGGATACTGTTATTGCTGTTGACCGCCGCCGGATGGTAAACGTAGGGTTTCCACGTGCGGTCCTTAGCCCACTGCTGGCGCACAGTCACGCTGACCTGTGCCCCACCCCTGGCTGGCCGCGCACTGGCTGCAGTGGCACGCGCCGCTGTAGAAACATCCGTCGCCGCCGATCTGTTGTTGGCGGCAGTCATCTCGTTGAATCTGGCAGTGCGTGCGTGGAACGGGTTTCCCCTAAAGTTGGTGACAAACCAGTCGTCGAACTCCTCGCCGCCCTCAGGTATGTCCGCAAAATCATCCGGGCCCATGCCGTCCCACAGCGCCTGCTCCTCATCATCCACGTCATACTCGTTTTCGCTGCCATAGCTATCATTCATATCCTCATCAACGTCGTCAACGTCATCATCGTTGAACATCACGATGGCGTTGCGGGCGATGGGCGGGGAAAAGTCGCCGTATCCGGAATACCCACTCTCAGCCTCAGCCTCAGCCTCAACATCAGCCTCAACATCAGCATCATCGTTCGTGTATCTGTCTCCCTCTTGGCGCACCAACGCCACCGTTGCTGGTGCCAATGCCGCTCTCCTAGATGACAGAACATTGTTCTGCAGGGGCCTCCCATGCTCTGTGTTGAGTCTCCGACGTGTGCGTGGCGGGGATGGGCCCTCACCGTTATTCGTGTTGTAGACATCGCGGCTGCGCATATTGACAAATGTCCAGCCATCCGTCGCGCTATTGACCTCCAGCTCATTCGCGTCTGCTTCACCGCTGTCAAACCCAGTCTGCGCCACCACAGAGTTACGCCCAACCCTGGATGTCTCCAACAAGCTTTGCCGCCGCCCATCCATCTCTGACAGCACCCTGTACATATCCATGCGAAGCCCCCTTCTGTTAGTATCCAATGCTGATAGGTATGCTGATGTGTTAGAAGTGTGGGTGGACAGTGCCCGGGTGGTGGAGTGGTCCTGCGTGTTGGGGCGTTCCGATAAGCGCGTGTGGATAGGCCCATCATCAGATGTAGGCAATAGCGATTCTAATAGTCCCATTGAGGCTACGTTGCCCTCTTGTAGTGGGGTTTCCCTTAATAGCATCTCACCAATGCTCTCGCGCACTACATTTCGTAGTTCGGGTCTTAGCTCCTGCAGCCAGTCAAGTGAGGGTCTTCTGTTGCGTGTGGAATTGGTTCTTTCAGACATTGGAAAACAAAAAATTAAATGGAAAAAGTGCAAGTGAAAACAAAAAATAAATGAAAGAGAAAAAGGGGGAAATGTGCGAGCCGAGCGATATATAATTTTAGCTTTTGCTTAAGTGCATGAAGAAAAAAAAGCAGTGCTCAAAAAAATTCTTCTTTTCCATTGGGCCCAATGCTTTTCAGTTGTGCTCCTAATTTTTCTATCTATCTTGATTACCATTTGCATATTTTTATTTATCTTGTCCTTGTACTTGTCCTCAACAAATACACACACACACAGCAATAATTTATACGCACAGCAAAGCTCTCTAACCAACGGAGAGAAAAAAATAGCAATGATTTCTCGCACAGTTATTAGCAGAGCATGCAATTCCCGCCACTTGCTCTGTTCGCAGACGCAGCAGCTTTGCCAGCGGACAGCAACGCAGCCAACAATCCGATCCATTCAGACAAGCGCAGTCACCAGCGCGATTCTGGGCAAAATCCAACAAGCGCTAGCCTCAGCGCGGCCCGGATACAAGCCCTTGGCAAACACCGGCGGCGCCATGGACAATGTAATGGACCAGCTGCAGGATACCAGGCCACGCACCCCAGATACGCGCAAGCAGCAGCATAAAAGACCAGGCGACAGGAGACGGCGCGAGCAGCCCAACACAGTAGGCACAAGCGAGCATGGTGCCTACCGGCCGGCAGACCCCATGATGGCCATGCCCAAGGTCTTTGGGCCGATCGAACAGCCGGCCGACGCGCAAATCGCAAAGTTTGTCATTTTCGGTGCCGCCAACGCAGGTAAGTCCACGCTGGTCAACCGGCTGACAGGCGCCAATGTCTCGATCGTATCCGCGCGCCCACAGACTACGCGCACACGCATAATGGCGAGCTCCACAGTGGGCAGCAAGCAGTTGGTGTTTCTCGACACCCCCGGCGTTGTCAGCCGCCAGGCGCTGCGCCGCGTGGCGCGCACAGTGGTGACGTCGCCGTGGCTGACTCTGGGCGAGGCTGACTTTGTCATCCTGCTGCTGGACGCCTACAAGCTGACGCAGAAGACGGACGAAGTCGAGAAGTACCTGTTTGCGCAGCTGAAGAGCAACTCGACGGTGCCGGCGATCCTGGTTGTCAACAAGATCGACACCGTTGAGGACCAGGAGAAACTCACGGAGAAGGTGCGCGAGTACGTGGATAAGTACCCGCACATTGTTGCCGGCCCACTGTTCATATCTGCGCTGGGCAATGTCAACGTCGATGAGCTCAGGGCCATACTTTTGGAGCGCACGAGGCCTGGAGACTGGGTGGTGCCGGCGCACGTCAGCTGCGATATGTCCGATCTGATGCGCGCCGAGGAGCTCATCCGCGCCGAGTGGTTTGCGCGCCTCTCAGGACACCTCCCCTATGTCGTGCGCCAGAGGAACGCCGCCTGGGAGTACGTCGACACGCCGCTCAGGCAGACCACGTATAGCCGCGGCAATGCGGGCGCTGCCGAGGATGCTGAGCCCAGTGTGCGCGTGGTGACCCGGACGCAGAGGGTGCTGGTCATCAAGCAGGAGCTTGTTGTGTCGACCGGCGGCGAGGCCAAGATCTTGCTTGGCGCCGGCGGCCAGAACATCAAGGATATTTGCCGCGAGGCCAACGCCAACATTGTCGCGGCCATGGGCCACCCCGTGCGCTTGCATTTGCAGGTGGTCGTTGAGGTGGACACCACGCACCGCAAGTAAATGATTTGTTTTTTTTTAATAAATATTGCGTGGATTACAAAAAATTAATTTAAAATTCATAATTTAAAGCGCCATAGCCTAAACCATACCTTTTGCGCCATGCACCGAAATGATTGCAACCGCTTGATGAAAGCGCGCACACGCGCAAGGCGGGATTCAGTATTAATATTTTGACTGGTAAATTGATTCAGCTACTTCCCCTCCTTTTTTGCACAAATACACAGCTTCTCCCTTTCGCCTTTATTTCTACAGCCCAAAAACAACCATTCTGCAACAATGTCGTTCCGCCGTGGTATGATTTCATTTGCCGGAATAATGGGCGTCGCCGTACTCCTGCGCTGCACGATCGTTCCGGACGAGGAAAAGATTCTCCGGAGCATGAGCGCCGAGGTGCGCGCCGACTACGAGCGCAACAAGGATAAGCGGAGAGAACAGCACGATGCGATCATGGCCCAGATCATTGAAAACTCAAAGTCAGATAAGCCCATCTGGGACGTGACGCCGCCACCAAAACGCGAGTTCATCAGCAAGTAAATTTTTATGTGTGGATTTTATCTGATCCTTGGTGATGATTATAATCATCAATAGCGGGGTGATATTTTGCCTGTGGCACAAACGTTTGACAATATTGTTTTTTGTCTTTGTGGCACATTGAAGAAAATAATGAGTATATAAATATCAAAAAAATTCAAGTATCCTGCGAATCGACACCTTTCCTTCACATCCAGATTGCATAGCAACCTGGCAGGTGTTTAGAAACTAGAGGCAATACAGCACGATGGTTTATGATATTAATCATTGCGCTGCCTCTTGCAAAGAGAAGCTTGGGCTTGGGCAAAGTTTCGGGCATCGCTGTAGGCCCGGTCGGGTTCAGCCAACTCGAGTGGTGCCTTTTTGCACAAGAAACGGGGAGGCCGCTCGCGTGTAAGCAGGGCGTTGAGGATGGTCCAAAAGTTAAGCGCCGCAGCCATGTCGCCATTCCACTTCTGTCTGCCTGATGGCACTTTTTCACCATCCTTAATCTGCTGCTGCTGCTGCTGCTGCTGAGTCTCTGCCAAATGATCGCACTTACCCTTAAATTTCGTTGAAAGACAGTGTGTTAACGCCCTTCGCCAAATGCAAGAAATTAAGTGCGTAAACACAATACCAAAGGTTACCCTGAAGGTTGTGGATTTGTTACAGTGCAGTTTTGTGAGGTGTGGCACGGCTGTTTTTTTCTAGTCCGCCTTTTATTTTTTATTGATTTTGCCGGTTCGGCTCATAAAACATGAGAAAAAAAACAAGAAATGTAAAAATTGTTTGTTGTTTTTTTTTTGATGCCGAACAGTATTCAAAAAACGTCGCGACATTTACCGAGAAAAAATATAAAGACTGCGAGTACGTCCCGCCCGGAGCAGGGGTGTGATAGGCATGCGCATATGTGCGAGTAGGTGGGCGGGTGCGTATAGCAATTTGGGTGGCGGGATATGGCATGGCAGAAGAAAAAAACCATCTTTTCACCCTCTGGGCGATCAACAGGTTGGATAAATTGCCGCCAATAATCGATTTGCTGTCACTTTTTTTTCACTCCCCTTCTCCCGATGTTGTTGTTTGTGTGCTGAGCCAAAAAAATCAGTTCGTACTCGTTCAACCTTTTTTCCCCTTTCTTTCTCTTTCATTTTTTACTATCCACTTTTGGTCTCTTTATTCATTTTTCTTTAGTTCGCGCAGTTTTTTGTTAGCTAAATCTTTAGAAATCTTTGCAAAGGTACGTTTCAAAAGAAACACCACTACCACCACCAGCAACACAGCCTACACGAGCAAACTAAATTCATATTTATTTGTCTTGTCTCGTCAAGCTTGCCATGAAATGTATTTCTTTTGTTGGGTTCTGGCAACTGAATAACCAACTAACCAACCAACTTTTTGTTTTTTCTTGCTCTTGTGCTTGTTCATTTCAAACTGTAGCGGTTGAAAACGTAATCATCTCATAAAATGGCAGACAATAAGGGCCTCGATATCAAGAGCGACGACAAGAACGTCGACACTGCGCCTACTCCGCAGAACACCCCCATTTTCACGGCCCCGCTCGCCGCCGCCGCCGCCGCCGGTAACTCCGAGGACGAGGACGAGGACAGCGCCCCCCGCGTGAACAACCCTGCTCTCCTGAACATTCTCCAGGGCCGCCTCGGCTCCCTGGTCGGCGCATCCTCGGGCTACGTCGAGTCGCTGCCCAAGGTTGTGCGCGAGCGCGTCGACAGCCTGCGCTACCTGCAGCAGCAGCACGTCGCCATCGACAAGCAGATGCATCTTGAGATCTACGAGCTAGAGAAGAAGTTCAGCCAGCTGTACGCGCCCCTGTATGAGCGCCGTACCGCCATTGTCGCCGGCCAGGCCGAGCCCACTGAGGAGGAGAAGGTTGAGGGCGCGAAGATCGCCGATGACGAGAACGAGGACCACGAGTCGGGCATCAAGGAGGACGACGATGACGAGGAGAAGGAGGCTGCCGCGGGCATCCCCGAGTTCTGGCTTACTGCCCTGAACAACCACCCGCAGGTCGCCGAGCTCATCACCGAGCGCGACCAGGAGGCCGTCAAGTTCCTGCGCAACATCAGCCTGGAGTACCTGACCGTGGAGCCCGGATTTAAGCTGCTTTTTGAGTTTGCCGAGAACCCGTTCTTCTCCAACTCTGTGCTCGTCAAGACCTACTACTACGAGCAGTCGGAGGTCTCGGGCATCCTTGAGTTCAAGGGCGCCGAGGGCACTGAGATTAACTGGAAGCCTGAGAACGACCTCAGCGTCACCATCGAGACTAAGAAGCAGCGCCACAAGACCACCAACCGCACCCGTGTTGTCAAGAAGACTGTGCCGAGCAAGACTTTCTTCTCGTTCTTCACCACTGTGGCGGAGCCCGAGTCCGATGATGAGTCAGAGGGTGCTGAGGAGGTCCGTGATAGCATCGAGGTTGACTATGAGCTCGCTGAGGAGTTCAAGGACAAGATCATCCCCAATGCCGTCGACTGGTTCACCGGCAAGGCCCTGGAGTACGAGGGTATGGAGCAGTATGATGACGAGTTCATGGACGACTATGATGATTATGAGGAGGATGATGATGAGGAGGACAGCGATGAGGACGATGACGAGGATGATGGTCTCAGCCGGTCCGTCAAGGAGGCCGCCGAGCCTCCTCAGTGCAAGAACCAGTAAATTTTCTCTGTAAGGGGGGTCCCTTTTCCTGCTTGCTGCCCGCTTATTTGGGGGGTTTTCCTCATCTTTTCTGAACCTATTTTTCTTCCAATATAAACCAACGTCAGAGCTCCGAGTTCTGCGCCTTCATTTTTTCTATTATATTCTTTTGTTCGAGGATCTTGCCGCTTGGACTTTGAAAACCTCTCCAAAAGAGATAAATGTGACTACATTTTTTTTATAAACAATTTTTTTCGGTCAACAACAGTAAAAAAATTAAATAAAAATTAAATAAAAAAGTAATTGCCTGTGCTATCTCTTCTCTCTAACGTTGATTTCGAAACCTCGCTTTGTGGATTCGGGTTTGTAATTTTTTTTACTGGATCAGAACCTCGCCGTAGTGCTCCAAAAAGTACACAGCACTGGCAAATACGCTCACGCCATACAGAACACTAACGTTGGCGCCAAACTTTTCTGCGCTAAAGACCTCTTCCCGGAGGAAACGTGTAATGGCCCATGAGTTGTTGTTGTAACTGCCGCTGCCGATTGCCTTGTCCATTTCAATAAAACCTGTGCTAGAATTAAATTGAAGAATTTAGAAGAAAAAAGGTGTATGAATTCAAAAAGATATAAAAAAAGTTCAATATTATCTGCTAACCGCAAAGGCAACAAACTCGACGATTACAGTGAGAATATCATTTTTTATTTTTTTCTCTAGTGAGCTTTTGCTGATTGGCTTGGCTATCATAAAATATTTGTGTAAAGTTGCACTGCTTGTCTCAAATCATACGCAGAAAAAAGAAGGTCGCGGCTCGATTCGCGAACTGATACGAAACACAAAAATCACGAAGCAATATAAAAAGAAAAAACACGCTCATATATATATTTTTTTTTGCCTTTCTTCGAGTCACCTTTTCTCATTTTTCTTACCACAACAGCAAATTCACAATCTCGTTTATTTTTTTCGTTTTCGTTTCAGTTCACATTTTACTTTATTATTATTTTCTATCTTTCTTTCTTGTGTAGAGTTTGACGCGTTGAGATTTTTTGCTTTCCTTTTTATCTCCGTTGCTAGTTTCTGCTCTTTGCTCTTTGCTCTTGCTGCATTTCACACATTTCGTTTATTCGACGCGTTTTTATTTTTCTTTCTTTAAGAGAGTCCCTTTTTTTCTTGTCCCTGCCAACATATATTAGTTGCAGTACTTGCGCTTGCTCTCTCTATATATTTTTGCTTTTGGAGCGCACAAGGCGAGCTTTTTTTAACTGACCAGATTCCTTTGTTTGGCAGGGCTTTTTGTACTTAATTCCAAACAACAGAAGTTACAAAAGCGGACGCACGCGCACAGCAATATTGGCCCGGGATTTTATTTTTGTTACATATTCTGTCCCTTTTCTCTTTCTATCCGTAGTTGCTATTTTTCTATTGCTTTGCTGCAAAACCCTGCCCATTCTCGCCCTTGCATTTTTCTGCGCCTCCCGGGGTTTCTATCTATATTTTTCATTCTAAAAAACACCATCCTACTTCAAGCTCGCTAGTCTGATGATGACCGAGCGGAAACGGCGTTCAGAAGACAGCCGAGAGATGGACACCCAGCCGCAGTCGCCGATAGCCAAAAAGAGGCACACAACCAGGGAGGAGGACTACCAGTCAATGTCTGCTGACTTTGACCAGAACGCCGCCATGCTTGATTTGGTAAAGTATCAACAATGAGGACAACGCTTATTGACCCACTATGCGTTTCTTTTATCTTCTTTTGCCCTATTTTTCCTGCAGAAAAATCAACAGAATGCTGTTTACTAATAACAATACCCTCGCGCCCATTCTGTAGGATTCAATCCGCGAGTTTCAAAAGGAAGCCATCTGGCGGCAGATGCAAGAGTACAAGCGCGACGCCACCCGGGCGCAAAGGCGAACTGTCGATCTTGAGCGCCGGCAGCGTCACTGGGTCGAGCATATTGGCAGCGTATGTGAGATCTGGGACAAGGCGGTGCATGAGCTCGATGTCATTGTCAACGGCTCTGATCTCGCCGCCTCAGCCTCGCAAACGCCCTCTGCTGCCAGCCAGCAAGAATCGTGGCTTAATATTCTATTGCCAACTAGACTCCCATCAGACTATAAGCAGTCGACCGACGGCACATCCAACGACAACGCAAATACAAGCGACGCAATTCAGGAAACCACCAGTGCCGTATCGAGCCTCGGGCGTTTTAACGCATCAGTGGCCAATGTCCTTAAGCAATTGCAAAACAAGGGCAACGACTCATCTTCCATCGACTGGACATCGGCCGTTGACCGCTTGGCCCGAATGCGCGCGTCCCAGAGCGAGGTCGACGACTTGAAGTCCCAGGTTGCCCTGATGTCGAGGCAGCTGTCGGAGGAGCGCGACCTATTGGAGCTGCGGGAGAGTGAGCTTCGGCGCGCGCTCAAGCGGCTGGATCGCAGCGTGTGCCTGACCGTGCGCTCCCCCAACGACCCCCCTTTGCCCGCCACTAACGCAGAGCCACAGGCTTCAATCACATCGTCTCTGGGGAGCAAGATCAGCGCGCAGTCAGAGGACGATAAACAGACTGCCAGCTCCGCGCCTGCGTCCGATGCCACCAACGCAACGTCGGCCACTAACGGCTCCGCGCTTGCGTCAAACTTGCAGGTGCAGCAGGATAAGGCCGACTACAAGATGCTCGCCGAGCGCCGTTTGGCAGAGATCGAGGCCAAGGTTCGAGAGAACACGGTGCTGATTTCGCAGGTCGACGCTCTCAAGCTCCAAATTGCCTCGGTGCCTGACCACATTGTCGCCGAGACCATCTTTTACAAGCAAACCCAGTCTAGCCGCGATTACTACAGCGCTCAGGGGCAGCGGCTGCAGGCCGAGGTTGAGCGCCTTTTCGCAGAGATTGCCGAGCTAAAGTCATCGCGGACTGAGTTTGAGGAGAGCATACTGACAGAGTCCACGTCTCAGCGGCAGTCCCTGGAGGCCGAGATGCAGAGGTTGCAGAACGACCTTGTGCGGGTGCGGCACCACCGCGATCAGATACAGCGCGAGCTTGAGGAACGGCGGGCACAGGACTCGGTGGAGGACCAGAAGAGCTCTGAGCTCAAGCTCTTGTCCGACGTGCGGCGCGGACGTATGAACGCGCTGATTTCTGAGAACAAGCGCCTTTTGGCGTACGTTTCTGTGCTAAAGGGCGATCGCGCAGCCTTCGAGGCGTACACTGAGGAGGACCTCAGCAAAACCACAGCCGTAGTCGACGAGTTGAGTGCCAAGATGGATCAGATCGTGCGCCGCGAGAACAAGCTTGCCGCTCAACTCGAAGCGCTCACAGTTAGCAGCGCAAGCGCCACCGATGATAAGACAGACGCCGTATTTTCGACGCAGGCTACTGCCAGCTCTAAATACACCGAGCACTTTGTTGACAAGCTGCAGTGCTTGCAGCAGGAGACCGCGGCGCTACAGGCGCGCGTGCGCAAGTATGAGGAAATTTTGGGCGGCGTCTTTGTCGACGAAAAGGGCGCGATCATTGAGAGTGCAGCGCTGTCTAGAGGCGAAAAACTCGCAGCCAAGCAAAAGATGATCGACGACCTAGCCCTCGAGCGTGACAGCCTTCTCAAGACATCTGAGATGATGGAGCGCGAGCTGCAGACGATCTGCGAATCCTTTGCGAAGCTCGAAGAGCAGAATACAAGCAAAGTGTGGGATCTCAGCCTCAAGGAGCAGGCCATCGCGCGTGTCGTTGCTGAAAAGTGCAAGTACGAGGAGAAGTTCATTGGGCTCAACAAGGACCGCGAGTCCCAGCGGCTGGCCAACCAAGCATTGCGCCACCAGAACACCAAGCAGCTCGAGCACATCAAGGCGATTGAAGAGCGTGACCGTATGATGAGCCACCAGATGTCACTCATGGGTAATGAGGCTCAGCAGGCGACATCGGCATGGCAGGCGACGCAGACCAAACTCCAGGAGGCGCAGCATCGGACGCAGGAACTCGAGGAGCAGGCTAAGGCCCTGGAGGAGCGTGCGCGCATTGCCACTGCGGCGCTAGGCGAGCGCACCGAGGCTCTGGCGGCTGTTGAGCACGAGAAAAACCGCGCGCAGGAGGCCCTGGAACTGGCTAACCGCCGGGTCAGCGAAGCTGAAAAGGTCACTGACCAGACAGGAATGGCAAAGCTGTGCGCGGACTACAAGGCCTTGCTCAAATGCCCGACGTGCCAGACGAACTTTAAATCACACGCGCTTCTTCGCTGCATGCATGTTTTTTGCAAGCAGTGTATAGACTCGCGTATCGAAACTCGGCAGCGCAAATGTCCGTCGTGTAGCGAGCCGTTTGGGGCCAAGGATGTGCGCCAGATTTACCTTTAGAATTTGATTATGAAAATAAAAATGTATTGATTTGAATCCCTTTTTTATGTATATATTTGTTTATTTAATTGGTTATGATATGTCCAATTTATGCCATTTTTGAGGGTGTGTGTGGTTTTTCTATTGACATTTTTCAAACTGGTGGTTGAGATGTTTTTTGTTAGAAAATTAGTAAGCGATTGTATGTGCTGAACGCCACGCATTTTTGGATATCGGAACAAATAGAAGCATGTTTGTCAATTGTATGACAGGTTAAAGGGGTTATTCAAAATGGCGACATATTTAAGGAAAAATATTTCCCTTTTTTCCTTTTTTCTTCACACAGGCTGTCTCGCTTGCTCTTTTGTTTTATGACTGTTTTTAATTCTCACACTTGTGGCTTGAGGTAAATTGTAACAACCGCGTGGAGGTTGCACGCTTTTTACACAACCTTTGACGCCCACTTAATTATCCTGGTATTGGAACCCACGGCATAGATATTATGAAGGATGATATATCTGACAATGGATCGTATATCCCCGGTTGATAACAGAGGATTCAGCAATCCCTGTCCCAATCTTATTTGTCCCCTTATTTTGTGTTTGTACTTTCTTTGGTTGCTGTCGTGCAGTGTTTGACCTTATATTTGCATTGCCTGTTGTTCAGCAGGAATGAAAGTCGCTTGGGCAGCTTGTACCAGCTTTGCAGCATGGTTTTCATCCGGAACCAAGCCCTTTTGTTAAAAGGGGGTTAAAGTGAAGAAAGCACCAGCCTATGCTGTAAGTGCTCGGTTGGCTGGTGGGGCTGCTGGTGGCTCAGTTGGTACAAGGTTGTGAGGGGTCGTTGATCAGCTTTAAAAATGTTTGTCCTATTTTTTAGTCTCTCTTCCGCAACCTCCTGGAGAGTGAAAACAAAGCTAATGAGAGAATAAAACAGTCTGCTTGCATGCAAAGGTCGAGATTTTTTCTAGTCGATGCATGCCATGTTATTTGTTGTTGCGTATTATATCTTGCGACTATTTGTCAGAACCGACACACACAAGAGTGTTAGGTCTTTTGAAGATCCCCTTTTGCGGCTGTTGAATGATGATATCAAATTGCAACAGATATTTTACAAGATTGACTATAACCAAAAAATTGCTACAGGCAACACAAATAGGCAGCCAACTCTGGCAGCAACTGCAAATAACAAACCCGTTCATTATTCGTTATTTTGCACTAGTGTGTATTTTTGCTCGCTCGAATGGTCTATTGTTTTGCAGTTAACCTTATTTATTCCTATTATTCAACAGTACTCGAATTTTTCATTGTCGCACCCATGTCGGTTACACACAAACTTTAACTCAAAAAATTAACACAGCGGAAAACCCCGGCAACGTGTACTTTGTATGAAGCAGCCTTATAAAAAGGAAATGATGTGCCATTTTATAATTGAATCCTTTTTTGTTGGATATACATGCTAAAGTTAAAGTATTTACTTTTTTTGAGCAAAGAATTTGACAATTCTTTTCAGGCTACCAAGACAAACAAAAGCATATGCTTTTAAACATTTATTTATAGAATAATAAAGAGTAAGGAGCCTTTTAACGGGTTAATCGATGAGCTTTCAACCTAATTAAAAACTATTTGTTGGGGGGGAGGATTTTACGAATAAAATAAGAACTGTTTTCTTTAAAATAGAATAATTGGCCATGCTTGCAAATGGGGTTTCCAAGGCAAATACTTCATCAGTTTTTATTAACTTTTGTTTAAAAGCAAATCGATAAAGTGCAAGGCCGCCTTATAATAAAATAACGTAATTTTAAAACACATCTTGATACAAAGCAGCCTACAAAAGGGCGGGAAATATTTAGCCGACGGCGTTGCAAGCTGTGCAAGCTAATAGTTATTATTAAAAATGGGAGTAATAAGCTTTTCAATACAGTTTTAACGGGTATAAAAAGACAGCCTATTTGCTAGAAAACAAATTGTACGACCATCATCACCAACTTCAATTACTCCAACAACTCCAGCTTATTGCTCATTTGATACTTTTTACATTTACATTTTATTATTTACAATAATTGATATAAAACCATGGATTCTAATAAAATATATCATACATTTACGCTTAATCCAAATGTCCAATTGATATTAATTCTGACAATTTAAAAATAAGAGTTCTTGCAGAAGGAGGAGATGAAACAATTGATCAATTCGTTATATTTATGACGGATGAAATAGCACAAAAATTACCAAAACATAAACTTGAAGTTGATTATTCTCTAAATTTTACATTCACAGCTAAAGATGGAAATAATGCTGAATCACATACAATTCTTAAAAAAACCATTAATAATTTTCGACCTAAAAAGGGTACCCTGCCTTTTAAATGTGTTATTACATATAAAACGAAACAAAAGTTGTATTAAGTGGAAAGATATTCTCGAAACCGTAACGGGGGACCCACAACCCAGGCCAGTAACCTGGGCTAAAACCCGTTGGCGCGGACAGATACATTGGACAGATGCGAGATGTCAGCCGACGCTCTGATCCAATCACATCAATTGCAAAACCGCGTGTGGTGTTCATGATTGAACCTATTTTTTCCAGAAAATAATATCAGCAGATATTGATACAATTTTGAGGTGTATTAAAATAGTATTTGCTTTAGTAGTTGTTTACATGTGAGCGATGCTGGAGATGCCGTGCACTTGCCATAGTTTGTTTTTTATATATACTGAGTGTATCCCATCATGAAGACAGGATATTCTCAGTTTTCTAATAAACCTTTATTTCCACATTTTAGCAGTATTTCTTGTGACTGCTCAGTTGCTGATTATTGGGCCAAATTTAATAAAAAATATCCGTTACAAAGTTATTTATAATGCCACGCTTTATTTTTCTATTTCCATTGCAACATGTACAACAGTGCATAAGTTAATATTTGCCAATTATTTATTTATTAGTATTTTCATATTTAATATATGTATTTTGATCAATTATTAATTAATTTATTATTCAATCAATTTGCGAGCTCTACACACTTAATTGCAAGTTGGTTTTATGCTCACAAACAACAAAGGCTTTCTAAATGCTGGAGTAAAAGCCCAAAATCACGTTGTACAACCGAGCTAACCGGATCTGTTATCTGTATTTTCAGTTATTTTTGCGCTTTGCTTTATTTACCCACATCTGTCTCAGATCTGTAGAGAGTGCACAGCGTGTCCAAGGAGTCCAAAATAAAAGGGATCATAATGGCGCCAGTGACGTACACTGGCACATTATAGTTAAAGAGTAGATTGCGTGCAGACCTGTTGAAGACAATGGCGCTAACATTTCTAAAAAATTCAAGTTAACATTGATTACAAAAATTGCAAATTAATTAGATCAAATAATCAAATTACTAGTAACATCATTTGCCATTTGTCATTTGTACAGAGCATTATAACCAAACTGGTCAAACACTAAAAGTGTTACAGCTTTATCTTTTTCATCACAATTACAATGTTCATTGTTTAAAGTTAGCTGTTGGGAAATTTAGCAACTTTTAAAAATTACTATCCTAGTTATGTTTGATCACGTTCACAAAATATCTGTTTGAATGATGTTTGAGCAATGTTTGAGCAATGGTTCCACGTCTTTTTCAGTAGTCTAATGATGGAATAAAAACATTAATGGTAACTCTTCACATTAACCTTTATTAGCTGCCACACTCCCCCTTTTAATTTATTTCTGTTCACACGAATAACAACACCAACATTAACACCAGCATCAGCAAATTTATTGTTATATTTATTATTAAAGTTTGGCTTGTATTGATACCTGAAATTAGGCAATTCAAGCGGCCAATGACTCTATCCGACTCGAAGGCATGTGAATTAAAAATTAAAAATTTCAATTAATTACACTGTCAAATAGCACGTAAGGCTTGTGCGCTTATGTTTTCACACGACTGCGTGGCTTATTTTAATTTAAAGAAAACTTATTGCACATAACAAATGTATAGCCATCAATATTAATCTTGACTCGGAGGCAAACGTTTGGCAGGTATATAAACAGGACTAATGTCTCATCAAAAGTACAATCAAACCATCAACCAACCAACCAACAAATAAACCTAAACAACACTTCAATAGCTTCATTTTCAAAGATGAGATTCTACGCCATTGCCTCCCTTGCTTTTATTGCTGTTACTCTGGCGCACGCCGCACCTGCTCAATCAAACGAAAACCAAATTCAGGATATTTCAAATGCCATCCAGGCGGTCATTGATAACATCAACGCAGTTACCAATATCAAGCGCGATGTGGCATCTGCAGAGCTTGCCAAAAGAGGTGGGGGAACCTTGGAGACTCTCTTGGGAAACCTCGGCAAGACTGTGGATGGTCTCCTGACAGGCATTGGACTGAGCCTCAGCGGCAAGCCTTAGAGGCTTTTGCACGGAAAAAACCTCCATACATATGCGGTACTTGTGCTAATATCACAACACACGTTTTGATGTTTTATCGTAGTAGCATTTTCAATTACAGTTAATAGATGTCTTTTAAGTGGTCTTAATTTATAGACAGTTAAGAGAACACCTTAACTTGATGAATACACAAACTGATTCTTTGAATAATAGAAAACAAAAAACAAAAATTAAAATGAGAGATGGATGGTACTAGGAAGAGCCCATAGTCTAAGCAAAAAATATACGCACACTAGCACCTTGTTCTCCGTCCCATACAAACATATGTCTGTAGGACTAGTTCATAACCAAAGTCACTCATTCATTTTTCTTATATACCCAAATGTCTATCTACGAATACGCGCTTGATTCACCAAGCGGAGTATCCCCGATGAGCTGCATAGCCGAGACAAAGTCTTCAGACATTTTGCCACACACCTGCTTCCGTAGCGCACAATGGTCCCCCGACGGCACTTCCATAGCGACGAGCTCTGACGACAACACACTCCGCATATACTCGCTGTCAGAAACCGACCTCTCGCTTCAGACACAAATACCACACGGTGAGACACTCACCGCCCATGCCTGGTACCCGTACATGAGCCAAAGCGACCCAGCCACCTGCTGTATAGCCACGGCCACACGCGACCAGCCGATCCATCTGCGCGACACGAATACTGGGAGAGTGCGTGCAAGCTACACAGCTTACGACCCTCATGAGAAGCTCATGACCGCCGGCGCTATGCAGTTTGGAGCAGACGGCAGGGGGATATTTGGCGGATACCGGGGATATGTTGCAAAATTTGACCTGCAAAGGTCAGGGCTTCCCGTCGACCAGGCGGCCATGACGCCTTCAAGGCGCAGCAAGGATGGGGTCAAGGGTATAGTGTCTTGCCTTGACGCTGCTGGGCCATCAGGGCTGCTCGCCTGCGGAACGTTTTCGGGTTACCTTGGGTTGCGGTCGCAGTGCAATCTGGCAGATTCGCAGTGGGCATGGGTGTTCCCGACTGAGTACGGTGGCCGCGCGGGGGTTGGCCACATGAGGTGGTCACCGAATGGGCGCGTTTTGTGGGCGGAGTCGCGCGGCGCAGCAAGACACATTGTGGCATGGGATATCAGAGATATGCGCGGTCCACTGGCAGTTATTCCCAAGCCAGCCGGGCCAGCAATGCGTGGAGTGGCGGCGCAACAACGGATGCAGTTTGACTTTGACATGGGCGGTCGCTTCCTTGTAACTGGCGAGTGCAATGGGCAAGTTACTTTTCATGATACGTGGAATTTAGATGCTGCGCCGGTGGTACGGGTCGTGGCTCATGATGATTTAGTCTCTGGGGTCAGTTCGCACCCGTATTACCCGATGCTGGCCACTGCCTCGGGCCAGCGCCATTTCGATAATGACAGCGAGTCGTCGCCGCTGCCGCTGCTGTCAATCGACAATAGCTTGAAAGTGTGGTCTGTTGCCGCGTCGTATTGTCCTTATGAAGAGGATAATGACAACGGCGGCGATGCTGCTGTTGAAAAATAAGACATGATGCACAATCATGCACAATAAAAAAACGAAAACCCTGATTTTTCTGTCGCATCCCCCACCTAGTTTCCTGTTTCTGGAAGAAAAGTAAAAATCAATGAGGTGGAAAGGGTGTATTTGCATTTCCGTTTTAACTCTCTATTTCTTTGCTTTCCAACTCTAACCTTGTTACTATTTAATGTTTTTTGTCGTTGCAATTGTAAAATTATTCTAATTCACACCATCAATGAAGGAGGTACATTGGGAAAAGCAGAGCAAAGGAGCAGCGTGGCGAACAAAATACGTCCTCCAGTTGAGTTGGTTTTCAGACTAAGCATTCCGCATAACTAAAGCAAAGCAAATGCACACGCACTTTTTTTGAACATTTTGTAGGGTCGCATTTTACCAAGCGAAATGACCCGCCTCAGCCAGTTCATGGCTGACTGTATGAGTGTCGGCGCGCTAAGAGTAAGTCACAGAAAAAAACAAAGAAAATGAAACGAGGCAGCCTAGACAGACAGACAGCACCAAATATACACGCTCACACGACTTCACTCGACTAAAAAAACCAAACCCATTAATATTTTATTTCTCATACATTACACATAACATATAGGGGTTTCAGTATTTCTCAGTCCACATTCGCAGCCGCGAGGAAATTCTGCTGCGCGTGTTCCGAGCTGCCGCGCCGACCACTGACCAAACGCCGATATCGAGCTCTACCATTTACGACAGCATTGACAGAATCCAGGCTACTGAGGAGTCCAAACACATTATAGCGGCGGCGCGCGACACCATGGACATGCCGGCCGACCTCTCAGACCAAGCCTTGGAGGCCGACACGCAGGGCATAAACTTTCTTATTGCTGGGTACCCGCGGTACAAATGCCCGTATGTGTGGCTGCGCACAGACCACCAGGAGCTAATAGCCGTCGCGGAGAACCAGGACCTGGAGAAGGACGTCCCCCTGAGGCTCGAGTCCATCGACTGCTGGCGTCAGTTTGATATTCGACCGTGGGATGTTCTGGTCGAGGTCATTTGCACTGCGCTGAAGCCGCCGCCGGAGAACCCGTTTGCCATTGAATATGCGTACTTTGACCAGATCACTGTCGAGGAGAGGGTGGTGTCGACGGGCGCAATGCTGGAGTTCTTGCGCAGGGTTTATTTGAGGCATTATTTCTTTAGCGATATTGTGTTGGCGGATATTAAGAGGCTCCAGCATTTGCATTTCCGCGATATCAATACGCTACGCGAGTTCCAGCAAAGCTCTGTATTCCGCGAGGGTGCGTCAGCTCATGCACATGCATAGATATTTGAATATTTTAGTATGTATTTGGTGCAAGGAGAAAATATAATGCACTGTTGTAAATGGATTTTGGAATTTCCAGACATTTATAGCGAATGTCCAGATTTTTAAGGGAGGATTTAAACTACAATCTTGTATCAGGATTTAATAAATCTTGTTCTTCCAGAATAGAATCCTCCTCTTTTCTTAAAACCCAATTTTATAGTTTAATATACATTTTTAGTACTGCTGCTGTTTTCTGGTATTTTTTTGTTATGTTATATTTTAAAATGACTTAATAAACGAAATAAAATTCCTTGCTGCGCACAGTCCCTGCCCACGGGGACTTCACCACCGCACCCGCCAGCGCCACCAGCTGCCATTTCCGGCTATCATCACAATAGCAACAATATTAGAAACAGAAACAGCAGCAACAGTGTCTGTGCACACACTATAGGAGAACTAGGATATACCAATTTTATTTAATGCTACTTGTCACTCCTGGAATTATCATGAGCAAGCAGTTTTTTGCAGGCCATCATCTCCCACCTCGCCGACTGCACATTCGATAAAGACCGCCTGGCTGACTTTGTAAAGATTATGCACGAATGCTACCAAGCGAGCAATAATTGGCAGATATTTCTTATTTTTATTTAATATGTAAATAAACAAACACAGCATATTTATGTTTATCACTATTATAATATCTTGGCACTAGAGCAAAAAAGGGCTACTTTTTATCCGCAGCTTTGTGCTTTATTTTGTGACGTTATACATTTGGAAAGGGTATGGAAACTATGCAAAAAATAACTTTGTAAAATATAAGCTTTATAAAAGTGTTAAAAAAATCGGGTTACAAAAAAATATAAAGTACGCCCAGATGAATTTACACGAAATGTTCATTTGTGCCTCAAAAAGCTTAATTTCATGTGAAAGGTGTGCAAAGACATTAATGGTGCCTTTATAAATAATATTATATTATATTATAAAAAGCAAATGTAACTATTTTTATTTTTTGTTAACGAAGCAAAGGCAAAAAGCCAAGTAGTCTTTTTTTTAAAAAATGTGTTTAAAAATAAAGTATCTACATAAGAATTTGTATTAAAAATTGAATACAAATATATATATAAGAATGCAGTGGCATTACATGTAATTACATAGTATTAGAAGCGGTTTTGCATTTTTCCATTTTTCACACTATTTTCAAATCAACTCGATCAACTTTATATTTATATTTATATATTTTTATGCCCATTGGCACAGAGGCGCTCCTCAGCCTCTGCAAAATGCACTGTCCTTACTTTTTAACAGTTCTAAACGCGCATGTTCTTACCGTCCATTGTATTACAACAGCCACATATGAGCTCTCACAGTACATCTTTTTACAAGAGCTGGATAATGAGGGTTTTAATATTCTCAATCATCTAAATCAATATTTTAAGGAGTGTTTCATCGCCCTTTGCCTCACCCCTAGGGACAAATCATGCAGCAACAAACTGAGCAATGCAAATGGGAAACCCGTCGACAAGCACAGGCACACGTTCACCAAGGAAACCAAGTTTGAGTGTCCATATCTCACTGATGCGGCCTCTGTTGCTAATTATGATGGTCCAACTATTCTGGCGGCGTATAAATCTCATATATCTCAGCGCTTTAACAAGCAGTTGAAACATATGGTCGACATAACACTCGACGTAAAAAAGAAATGAACGGCGATACAAGACACTTATGAAGGAGGGTGGCCATACCAAAAAGATACAATAGTGGATTAGAAAGGAAATCAGAATTCCAACAGGCACAATGGAGAAATCCACTATCTGCTACAACCAGCAGAGCTGGGAAGCAGATCGACACCAAGCATATTTTAGACCCTGTGGTTCGCAATGGGATAGAGCGCCTGATGGAGAGGATATTTGACACATACCCCAAGGATTACAGTTTCGGCGACAAAGGGCTCCAGTATGACTCTGTTGCTAAGACATTAAACTACATTGGGGCTTTCGTTGAGATTTTCCGATTTTTAAATCTCAGTAAAGGTGTGCGTTCTATTTCCCTTTCTGATGAGGACGTCTATTGTACCGGGATTTACTACAATTGACAAGCCCATTCTTGCATAGTGTATTCTATCCATCACAAAGAGCCAACTCAAAGCGCTGCACAAGGAGAAGCTTTGCCTAGATATCAAGATTCCTGAGATTCCGCGTCTGAGGGATCTTGAACGCAAGTCACCAGAAGAAATTTGGTCACTATTTTGTGATATATTTGTTGGCTGGTTTTGCTCGATTCTTAAAAGGACAAAAAACTACACAAGCTTGGAGGGATCATTCGTACGGATGGAGTTGCGGTTGTCGTATTGCTTGACTCACCCGCAAACACACAGAGGAAGAGGATCAAGGCAGAGAGTATTGCACGGTCTAAGAAGGGTTCTGGCGATGCTGACAACGACAACAACAGTAACAGCAATGGCGGCAAACTTGCCAATAGTGTACCCTGCAGTAATAAGGCTCCTCCTCCAGAGTACATTGATAATTTGCCAAAAAATGGCATTCATGATATTATTGACAGATCAGTTCTCTGTGATACTGGTCGACGGGGTATCCTTTATTGTCTGGGTATGACAGCAACTACAAAAAAGGGGAGGCAAATATTTTCCGCCATACCAAAAATTCTGAGACTAATAAGCGTCGTGAACGTGTGTTTCGTCGGAACCGTGATAACGCAAAAAAGATATTTCAGCTTGACCCAGCAAAGCTCGCCAAGGCGGAAACAAATGGTTGACATACATCCGTTGAGGATGCTGAGCGTGCGCTCAACCACCCTGGCTCCAGTACACTTGATTGCAAGTTATATATCGAGTACCTCCTTGAGCGCCGTAAAGGTGATTTTGTATTTGGAGAATATTATCATAACATGCAGACCCTCAGCAAGAGTCGGAAACATAACGGCACAGCAGCTCAGCTGACCCCTGCACCGCAAGCTCCGCTATTTTTCCTCTGTTAACAGAAAGCGTGCCGACGTCGAACTCGCAAAATCTTTACGTGCAAAACGTGGACCATATCTAGTCCCAAATCTTGGTAATTAGGCCCCAGGTATGACTCGTCACCATGGGCCGATTTGTGGCAAGGGGCTGGGGGAGATGCTAATAGGCCAGTGATCCACTGTTTACTTGATCGATGAGGATTGCACTTCAACGTTTTGCCCAGCATGTGAGAGCAGAATGGAGAAATTCCACAAAATTGATGATCTTCGTCTGAAGAATTCCAAGCACAAGTACCACGTCGCAATGACAGCACCAGTATCATCATCTAATTTTATCGCAGCTGCAACCACTTCAGCCACTGCGTCTATCGCAGCAGCAGCCACCGCTGTTTCTGTTGCAATTAAAACTACCACCACTGCCGCATCTATTACAGAAAGTGCACAGCAGAGTTGCAACCAGTGGATGCCTATTCACCCACATTCTGCTGATATCATCCGATGGATAGGGGAGGAAAAGAACTGGTCCAAGGGCAAGATTTCCCGCGAAATTAAGCAGCAGCTGTGGGATGAACTGGTTGAGCGGAATCAGGAGTAGTACATTAATCTCCAGCCCACCAATAATCTCAAGCACATTGTCAGGCTGAGCGGCTGGTCGCAGATCAAGATTGGGCATAAGAGCAGACAAAGGATATGCGGTGAGTTGGCCGCACAGCAGCAGCAGGTAGCCACAACAGGCGTGAATATAATTCCGGCGGTAAAAAAACCTCGCCAAATTTTATACCACGACTTGCTCTAGTGCACAATGGAAAACTACCTGCAAACCTTCAGGGCCAACGGAACCAAGACCAAGGATGGCGAAAAAGTGCCATCAGGCAGACGGAAGTGGAATAATCGCGATATGGCTGCAATTCTTAATTTTCGCATTATTCTCAATGCCCTGCTTACAGGCGAGCAGGCTCCCTGTTTCTTGCACAAAAAAGCATCGTCAGAGTCGGCTCAACCTGAGTCTACAGCGATGCTCAAGCCCAAGCCCAAGACCAAGCTTGTGCGCAAGAATCAATCTGCCCCTTCTTCTCTTCAAAAGAAGCAGCGAACTGATTAATATCTTCAACCATAGTGGTCTATTGCCACTAGTTTTTAAACACTTGCAAATCGACATCCTTCCACAGATTGCATAGCAACCTGAAAGGAGATTTGTAGTCTCATTATTTTCTTTGGTGTATTTAAACATTAATTCCAATTTATTTTATTCATCAAAGAAAGTTAAATGATTGCCCAAGGTAAGTACCATTTCAACGGGCATCTGCGTTGTCATTGTTGGGGCCCTGGGAGTTAAATGTCGTCAGTCGCTGCATGAGCCCCTGAATGTCTACCGCCGAGTACTGGTAAGATTGCGAGTTCATGTCCTGGGAGAACCCAATACCGTTATCGACAAACCCACCCACAGCACTGCCCATGTCGATCTGCTGGGACATGAACATCTCGAGCTCTTCGTTGCTCATTCCAGTCAAAACCCTGCCATTGTGAATATCATAGCCCGGGATAGCCGAGTTGTCAAAGGGAATCGCAGGAACATTGTTACTAGTGGGGGCAGGTGCGTTCATATGGTGCGACAGCGCTGCTGCCAGCCACGCGTTGTCGTGGATATTCAGCGGAAGCTGCTGCTGTTGCAGTTGTGATGGCAGTGATGGAGGCGAGGTCGATGATGGCAAACTCCGAATACCCTGGTTTATCGCAGCAGCCGAAGCAGCGGTTGCAGAGCCAAGCTGGCTGGCTACCGATCCAATGCTCGCAGCAAAGTTGCTCAGAAACCCATTTACATCCCTACCACCCTCACCAGCCGAAACCACACCGCCGGACGAATCGTATGCATTTGAAGGGCCGAGCAACGCCGCTACCACAGCCTGTGATGCTGCTGTCGATGTTGCAAGTGCTGCTGTTGAAGTAGATGCGCCCTGCGCATTGTTATTCTGGCCGCTCAGTTGCTGCAGGAGAACAACGCGGGCTCGCAACTCGTCCAGACGCTGCAACTGCTGCAGTTGCTGGGTTCCCGTCGGCTGTTGTGGAGGATTGGCGGCGAACGGTTTCCCGGAGCCTTGGACGGAAACTGGCGCTTGGTTGGCTGTATTGGGTTTTCGACCACGACTGCTGCTGCCGCCACCTCCGCTGCCCTTGGCAACCTTGTCGGCGCTACTAAAGGCGCGCTTCATGGGCCGTGGCGGCGCCTTAGCGCCAGACTCATCTGTTGCTGCAGATAAAGATCCTGCCGCTGATTTGGTTGGCATTGCGCTCATCGGCTGTTTTGCAGCACCGGGGTTTTCGTGAACCATCGATAGTTCTGTGTTGTTGGGGGTTTTGGGCAAAGATCCGGTTATGTCGTAACCCGGTGAGTTGCTAGCTATGGAAAGTGGGGTTACGGTCTGCCCGCTCCACAGATTGCCGCCCAGATCCAGCCTTCCAAATGCATTGGCCTTGGCTGACACTGACATGCGGCGATGGCCGATGTATGGCAATGATACCGGAAGAGTATTACCAGCTAGCATCTGGCTGTTAAGCGATGCGTGGTAGGCTTGCATTTGGATTTGCTGCTGCTGCTGAATATCCATGTGCACAGTGGACTGGGATTGCTTTGAATTGCTCCCATTGTAATCATCATTAGACGCGAGGGTTTCGGGCGGACCGTACGTGGTCTGCTTGATAGCCTCGTTGAGAATACCGCGTAGCTGGCTGGAGTTGTACGTGAAGCCAAGGAACGAGCTGCACCGTGGGACAATCCACGGGTCCGCGTCGCTATTATGATTAATGGTGATCCCGGGCTCCCTCGTTGCCACGGCTATTTTCTGCGCTGCCTGCGTTGCTTGCGCTGTCTTGTCAGTGATCGTGATCCTCTGCTTCTTGCGCAGATTGAAAACATGGTGCAGCATCGTGATAATGGCCATATTGAAGTGGTAGTACTGATCAGAGGCTACATGCAGATTCAGGTGGACCTCGAGGTCCCGGCGCGACTGCTCGGCGATGGCAGTGTTGTCGCTTATAGCAACATTGACATGGATGGATGCACCCTGCAGGGACCACACCCCAACCCTGGGGTCCCAGTTCTCAACGGGTACATTATCCAGGGCCCAGCGAATAACATCCGCCTGGTTGTGTGCGGCGTCAATGCACACGGCCTTGGCGCGATCAATGTGCTCTGGGCTAACATTCTCATGCATGTAGCTCGGCAGCTCCGAGCGATACAATATGATTTTGGCCGCGTAGTACATCAGATGAATGTTAAAGTACGTCGCACAAATGTTGTTCACGCCATTTGCACCGTCTCCAAGATTAGTGAACGCGGTCATCAGCAATTCAGTGCGTGGCGGGAACTCCATTCCGGGGATGAAGCGCGCGCGGAGCTCTTCGAGCTCGCAGTCGAGGATCTCGAACATCGTCCGGCGCGCAATCTCACCGGTGCGCACGGGGCGGCGCCGGCGGTTGACGAACTCAGAGATCCGGCTGCACACCCGGTACAGTTCGACCACTTGCCACCAGACATCAGGAAAATGGCGAGCGTTCGGGTCCTTGGGCGTTTCGCTGGGTACCTTGCCTGTGATCCACTCGTGGTCGTGCGAGGGGAGGTCGACGACGCAATCGTCGTCGTGGACGGTTGCTGGGCGGGAGGCTACGATGACGGAGGTGCGGTCGCCGCAGTAGACGTGCCACCAGAGTCGCCGCCGCCATTCAGTGTTCGCCCATGTCTGTGGCTGCTCGTCGACATTCTCGTTAAAATCTTCCTCGTCGACCAGGTGCAGGCGGCAGCGCTGTGCCAGTCTCGTGGCCATTCCTATTGGATTATTGGCACAGAAGGGGGGAAACGTATGTAAGAAAATATACATAACGGATTAGTAAGTGCATTGCTAATTAATAAATGCACAATAGTTGCATTTCTGCAGGCAATTAAGCGGAAAACCAACACCCGGATTACCATATTGCAGTAAGAACATCATGCGGTATATACACAAATAAAGAGTCAGTGATATGAACAGCAGCAACATCAAATGTGCAAAATAAAAAACTTACCAGTATACGACCACGCAGACTCGCCGCGGCCACAGCCCCACTCGTAGAGCGACAGCATCACCATGCAAAAGACAACATCGGGATCCGGACGATCGACTAGCGTGGAAATGAGCTCAGCCGCGCGCTTAGCGTACTCGCGGCCAGCATTATACCGCGGCGTGCAGCTAAACTCCGGCCGGTTGCTAAACCGCGCAGCCAGTCCAATCATCGCACAGACGATGAACTCGGGAAGCTGGCCGCTGTGCAGGCGGCGCACAAGGCGGGTCCATGACACGAGCGGAGCTGCTGGTGCCATGTGCGTGATGGCAATCTCCATCAGCTCCTCGATGACCGCCAGCGCCGGTAAAGGCGGGCCGACGCCGGGGTGCAGAGCCTGGTAGGTGAGCTCCCGCGGCAGGCTGTGCACAGTGGGCTGTGGGATGTACCCTGGAGGAATGCCCGTATTAAAGCCATAGCTGTAGCTGTGCTGCATTCCGGGAATCTGCATGCCCAGGGGGTGCGCTATGGCCGGGGCGGGTGCCGGCGCAAATCCAAAACCCAGGCCAATGCCCCCGATCCCCGTGCTAACCACCGGGTCGTTCGGCGACAGGCGCTCGACCAGCGGCTGCAGCATCTGCTCCATCGACTCGAGGCGCTCCTCCAACTTATCAATAATACTGCGACGCACCCGCTTTTTGCGCACCAACGGGCTGTAGTGACAGGGTAGCTTCATCCGCGTGCAGTGCAAGCACGACGGCTTTGTACCATTGCATTTGACCTTTTTGCGCCGGCAGTTGTCGCATGCTCGCATTAGTCGGGCCAGTTTGCTTGGTCCATCATACTCGCACTCTTGCTCGTCGTGGTCATCGTGCTCCTCCTCGTCGTCCTCGTCATCATGGTCGTTGTCGTTGTCATCTTCGTCCATGTCGTGGTTACCGGCACAATATCCATTTCGCTGCCGTCTTCGGGTGCATCGCGCCTCAATTTGGCTTTTGCAGCCACTGCCGATACTTCCTTGTCATCGGCTTTGCGCATGTTTTGTTCAATAACCAGTTGCAATCTATTGATGTCCTCCTTCCGCTCGATAAGCCGCTCTGATCGCGCTTGTTCTTTATATATTCTTTGAAGAACGTAGCTTGGTGACAGTCCGCGAGTCTGGTATTATAGACCAATATGGTTGCAAATGCTAATACAGAACAATATTCTTTTTTTTAAAAAATTATTTTAGAATAGCTGAAGAGGAATAAAAAATGAGAAAAGATATCACAAAAAATTGTATTGAGTTTGTAACACACACAAGCATGGACCTCCCTTTTTTAATGATTTCCCATCTTTTTAGACCAAATTTCTTATCCCAAGCGGCAATCCCGCTGTTGTATTCTGTCGGGAATTTCTAAATTGAAAGTGTGCAAAGCGGAGAGTTCAAGCGATCGGCACTCAATTTTGCTCCTTCTGCATTAATATTGCTGCCATGACAGCCGGTTTTTCTTCTGTTTTGCGTCGGAGCCGCCGACGGGAACAAGTTACAAAAGGCCGCGCTCTTTGTTCATTGGCGTATACCAGAAAGGTGCTAGCAAAAGCAAGCTCGTTCAATGTTATTTTTGACCAACTAGAATGTTCTCAAATAATGATGTATATTTTCATTTAAAGTTTTTATTTTGGGTTGAGAACCACCCATATCGAGTTTCAACGTTGCTCACACGCATGAACACATGAAAGTCGCCAATGTCATGGTAACTAAAAAAACACCGATGATTTAATCGACGCTCTAATTTGAATTTACCAGATTAAAGAGCCGCTACGCACCCACGTGCAATTGCCGTCATCGTAGAATTTGAGTTGCATTGGCCCCCGCTTCTATTAATTTGTACTAATGTCAGATTATAACCAAATCCCTACAGATTAATACAGACATGCTATCACATGCACACATACACAATATGTTATTTCATTATTTCGCCATTTGTTTATTTTTGTAATTGTACTGCTCGAAAAACACTTGCTTTTGTGCACAGTAGCAAATAAAAAATTAACTGGTGGACTTTTTCAGCCGATCCGAAATTTATTATATTGTATTTCCACAAAAATTTCTCGAGTGGAGGGTGGCATTCATCATGCGCGCTGCACACGTGATATATGCAACGCAAGGGTCAAAATGCGCACGTGAGCAACCAAAGACAAAATAATAATTGGTTTGCAGTTTTTAGATGCCAATTTTGCGAGTGTCGAATGGTATCAACCCGCGTAATGGGTTAAAGATGCAACAAGGGGTGCTATGTATGATATTCTTTTGTGCACAGCACATATTTGCATGCAACCCCTCTTCATTTGACTCTTCTGCCCGAGCCCAAATTGCTGGGGACAGGGAGATAGGGAAATATGTGAGACAAGACGTGGTGGTGAGGGGGAGAGCAGGGACGAAAAGGCAGTTTCATCCGGGATAAAATAAATCACCAGCTCGGGAACGTTTCGGGAATGAAAGGAAAAAACAAATAACAGAAGCCAAATAAGAGCAGTTATAAACCCGTCCTCGCGTGTTCAAATATAGAACTATTACGCCCCCCGCTTTTTATTTGCAATTAATGTTCAAGCGCAGCAGCAAAATGCACGAAATCCAAAAAATAAATAATGCAAGGCAGTTACAATGGCATCCACTGTTTTATCGCATTGAAAGCAGTAACACGGGGGAACTAAGAAAATAGTATGTGCCAGGGGGTGGGTGGGGAGGACATGGTATGGGGGAGGTAGCGTAGCTGGGGGGGGGGTAGACGGGCGGACAAGCAGACAGGCAGTTGGCCGATATAAGGAATAGAAAGTCGAAAATATGAAAGCTACAGGAAAAAAACAAGAAAAAGGTCCAGTCAAAATAACAAAATCATTCCAGCTATGAAAAAACAACAATGAAATCAAGACTTCGAAACACTGCAAAGCTAAATGCGTATCAATAACTGGATTAATGCGTGTGCAAGAAAAATATAAAAATATAAAAGGGGGATGGTGGCGCTGGCAGCTATCTGCAAGTTGGCGCCGCAATTTTGCACACAACAAAGCAAGGCAAAACAAGCATGTAAAAAATGTAGGCTCAACCAAGCCAAGCCAACCTTAGCACAACTTAGCTTAATTTGGCTCTGCGTTACAGTATTCTGTCTGTTACCTGAAAAAGAAGGCATGCATCTGGGGGCTGCTGCAGGCTGCGTTTTTGTATGCTGAGTTCAAATGTCACTTGTGCTCAAGCGAGCAAAAAAATGGCGGTCAAGGTGTTTTATATTTTTGAAACGCAGGTTACTACTTTGGTGATTATTTTCTGCCCTTCTTTGAATGCCTATTGGCAAGTCATCCCCTTTCTCTCCATCCCTCCCTCTCGTGCAATTTCCAATATTCATCATCATTTTTCGAAAAAATTGCTATTTTAGTTTCTAGTATTTCAACCTACTCTTTATAGAAAAAGCCTTCGTGGATTTGCACAGACCTGCGCATAACCTGGTATCACCAATTATTGGCACAGAGCTTCACTCTACATACTTATTCCAGTACTTTTTTGTTTGAAACCGCAAATTATTGCTCAGTTTGAAGCCAACAGCACATACAAACAGCTGCTTTTGAAATTAGGCGAGCAGACACACTCATACGAAGTTTTTAATTCGTTCCCAATTAGGGAAAATTCTCCGAGCAACTTTAAAAAACAAGCCCACCGGTGGTGCGTACAGCACTACCCTTGCATTATATCTTGGGAGTTCGTGGGCATTGCTTGCATTTTATCTTTTTTGTTTCCTTTTGTGTTCACAATTAAAACTTTTCAGGTCGTCTAATTTTCCTCTCGCATATTGGCATCCCGACATTCACATATACCCACGCTCAACAGTTATTCACTTTTTTATTTCCACTCCATCCCTTCCCCCCTGTCAATTCCTCTTTTTTCTTTTTCATTCTTGCTTTTTTATTTTTTAAAACACAGCCTCTCTCTTCGTTTTATTATCATTTATAATTACTTATTTGCTCACTCACTGACTCACTTCCATTATCAAGGATACTCATTCTAGTCCTTGGTTTTTAATACTCATTATCAGTTCAGTTGTCTTGCTGGTGCAGTCTCCTCGCCCAAGGACTCTACTCCGTTTAGTACTGGTTACTGTCAATAATCAATCATTTTTTCTAACTCAGAGATTTGCATCTTTTTCATTTTAAAACCCACACCGCAAAAAACCAGTCTGTTATTTCACCAGTGTGCTCTCTCGCTCACTTGCACACCACAGATACACAGGAAGACAAAAAACAGCACATTTTCAGTATAAAAACGCAAACACAAAAACTAGTCTTGTCAGCAAGTCAGACACTAATGCAACACCAGAGTGGCGCAGGTGCGCCATCGTCGTCTTTGCCGTCCTCCTCTACGTCTTCACAGCAACCACTCATATCGCAGACTTCAACAATGTCGAGCAGGGCATATCAGCAGCAGCAGCAGCAACATCATCATCATCAACATAACAATGTCCCTCGCAACCCAAATGAGGCTGAGCCCACCCCACCCAGCTCAGCCGAGAAAAAGAAAAAGCGCCTCACTCAGGCGTGCCAGCATTGCAGGTAAGAAAGCTCAATGCTTCCAAAAAAGCCTAGATTATTACTCACAATACTTGTAATGATGCATGTTTACAAAATGATGGGGGAAAGTATGGAGGTGCTGGATCCTCTTTTTTTGAAAAGCCATATTTCGTACCCAAACTAGTTTTTCCGGCCGTCGCTTGTGGGTGGTTAATAACACCTTCCTTGCTGCGCCAAGCAAGTAAAAAAATAATTAATCGTCCGGTATATGCAGCACTGTTTTGCATTCTGGTTTGTGCATGCACTCGATATTATTTTATTTTGGATGTTTTTATTGGAGAGGCTTGTAACTCTCAAATGCAAATATCATCTTGCTCTACAAAAAAAGAATTTTTTATATTTTCCACGCTATGCAGTGCTTTTTTTATCTCGCTCTCTATGCAACTTGCATCTACTGTGCGAGTAAAATAAACTAATGCATTTATATTCATGCAGACTTATTTTTTATTCCCATTCGCAACAAATACAATATTGTACAATAAAAAAGTTTGTCGATTAACTTGTCATTCAATTCACATACTATAATCAGCTGCTGGATTTATATATTTTCACTCATACTCCCTGCTGCCATTTCCCCTCTTTTTTCCATTCAGTGTGTATCCCATGTTCAGCACATATCTCAACTGCAGCAGCAGCAAAAATCCAAATTGTGATTTGTTCTTTCTTAAACTAGTTGGCGCTTGTGCACGGTGCATACATTGCGCATATCCAAGCAAGGGATGCCTTCCCACTCTCTCTCGCTTTATTTTGACTCCCTTTCAACGACCAATCCGCCTAAAATGCAGATACGCTCACTTGCGTAGAATCATCAGCAGCAGTAGTAGCTGTGCAGCAGCAGCATCAACTACTCATGTGGACATTCCTATTGTAGGTGCCCAGACAATATCATGCACCATTGTTCGTTGATAGAATTGGGCACTTGGCGTATGATGTTCTCTGCTGCGCGCTGTGAATATATTTGGAAATGCCAATTTATTTATTTTTCCCCAGCCATTTTTATTAAGAAAATGTCTATCGCCCTACTAGTTGCTTCTACCATTCATACTATATCAGCTGAGGAATTTCCATTCGACCAATTTCAAATCAATTCTTTATTTGTACGTTGCACTTGTATTTGGAACAGTACTCTAGGAAGAAGAAGATTCGCTGCGATGGACTGCGTCCGTCGTGCAACAACTGTTCAAAGAGCAAGTCTGTGTGCGTATACATTCCCTCAGTCAGAAAGCGCGGTCGTAACAGCCAGCGCAACACGCTAGCAAATTCTCTATCTGCCAAAACGCCCTATGATCGTCCGATGCATTCCCAGGTAGAATCGTTGGCATTGCTAGCTGGCCACGCGCCGATGATCAATGGAAGCAATTCGGGCGTCGGCAGCAACAATGTGATTCGTCACCAGCAAGGCCAGCTGGTGCCATCGCAGCAGAGCCAGAATGTATTCCACATGAACAGCATTGCGCCCCCGGTGCTCGCCCAGCATCAGCTTGCACAGCCATCGCGCCACAATCAGTTTGGCATGCCGCCTCCGCCTCCGCCTCCACAGATATCGCGGCCGCAGATTAACCCACTTGGTGTCAACTTTATGCATGATGGGCCTATATCGACACTCCTAAAACGCGACCCCGGTTTTGGCAACAGTCTCTTGGAGGAGGCCATGTATGACCAGGCCAAGCAGGCGCAGGAGATGAGCTCGCATTTCTTGCTACCATTTAATAACCTGCACTATTCGACGTACACACCCAACAGCAGCAACGGCAATAACAACTCGCAGTTCAACATACACCCGGAGTCCAGCAACCGCAATGGAGAGTACAACAATGGCAGCGGCAGCTCCAACAGAAGTGGCAATAGCAGTTATATGGGAATGCCCGGATTTGCGCTTCAGTACTCAAACCGGACGCCATCGGGATCTAGCAACGGATACCCTGGCGTGGCTGAAATTTATAACAGCGGCGCTTCGAGTTCAAAAACAAACAGTGCGCAGGGCAAGGCCGCACAGCCTGCAGCGATCCCGTCAAACTTTGATCCGGCGGTGCTGGCGCAAGACCTATCGTCAGCCTACGTTTCGGTCATTTCTGGAATTCCGACCTCGAATGCGGCCAGCCACGATATGGCGGGTCAACCGAGTACGCCTCAAACAAAATCGGCCAATGCTCTAGGGAAGGCCAGCGCTAGCAACACCTCGCTGGGCGTTATTTCTGAGAGTGGCGAAATAGACCTGGCAACGTCCGTCAAGATGCGCGAGCTGCGCAGGAAAATCGCGCACATTATCTCAAGCGTGTGGGCGGACACGGTGTGCGGCAAGTCCGCAGGCATGGCTGGTATCACCGCGGCTGATGACGAGCCCAGCAACGAGTGCAGCTACAAAGCCCACGATCCGCAGCTGGCACCCGGTGCTCAGCCCAACAGCCATTTGGGAATAGACTCGGCGTTGGTTGGGGTGCCTAAAAGCGGACAGCCAATGGTCAGCCCATCTGGCGACCGCTCGATGGACGATCACCTCATAAACTTCTTCTTTGACCACGTCCACCATCAGTTGCCCATCATCCCACGCTCCGAGTTTGTAATGGCGTACCAGCAGGGCACCGTGTCGCCAATGCTCATCTGCGCCATGTGCGCGGCGGCTTCAGTGTTCCTCAATCGCATCGAGGACGAGCGCAAGTCCATATACAACTTGTACTCGCAAAAGGTGCGCGAGCAGTTCCACGACGCATGCTTTGAACCCAGCCTCGAGGTTGTTCAGACGGCGCTGATCATGATGCTGTGCGAGTATCGCCACGGCAGTCTCCATCGTGCTTGGGTGTATCTATGTAAGTTGACTCTCATTTGCTGTTGTTCTTCCCCCTTTGTTTGCGCCCAATATTTTCTGTCATGTGTTTTGTTTGCTGGATTCTGTGCATGGCTGTGCGTGCGCCCTGCAAGCCTTGTGCCATATATATTTGTGGCATATGTTGCTGCTTAGCGCATTAGCGCATTGGGGGCGCTTGCTCTGCATCTGTATATATCTACTCCTTCGGCTCGCAACAATGGGCAACCGCATCCGTTTTGTTTCTTTTTGTAATCTGATATATGGCCAAATATAAGATTGCATAGTTGCGAAAATTTATATTCCGTAATGTCATATGGCTTTGTTCTTTTCTCTCCACCCACTTGCATTGTTTCCAAACTGGGATCGAAATATATGAGGCTTCTTTGAGTGTCAGCCTTAAATTCCTTTATTATTGTATTGTCAGGATTATATATATTGCAATTTGTTTGCATTGTGGCACTTTAAATAATGTGACCTGTTTGGCAACAAACCAGGATATGTGTAGGCTTGTCATCCAAAATTTGTAGTTTTTTTAAAAATAACAAATTTCAGTCAAATTCATTCTTTATTTGTGTGGGTAATTGTTCTACCCATGTCCTATTATCCTCGTTTCCGTCCCCCCACAACACTCTTTCCCTTTGCTGTTCTTGATTTTTGTTGTTTGTTGTCAAATGGACAGCACATTACAAAAGTAGAATATTCCAACAGAAATATGTGGCTTTCATTTATCAACTGGCGAGTAATTGCATTCTAATTTTTATATACACCACGCCGTTCACCTGCCTTGTTCTGTCCCCATGCCTTGTGCGTATGTGTGCGCTTGACCATCGCCCAAGCGGAAATTTTCTTCCCCGGCCAATATGCATTGGTTGGTTTGCTTATTTTGAACACAAATTGTGTTGCAACAACAAAATAAAGCAAAGCAATGAAAAATATTATCCGTAAAAATAATGCTTGATTGTCCGGGTTTTGGCACACAATTGTTCTTTTCCTTATCACTAATTTTTGACAACAAAAACATCTGTTATTGGCATCGTGCGTGCATACATGCATGGTTACATGTGGCGTTGTGCTTTATATGCTCAAATCCACCCATTCTGCATGCGCCGCTGTTTTCTATCCCTTTTTTGGCAATGCCTCTTGCCATGTAGCAATGGGATTCCGCCTGGCGATTGCCATGGGATACCACCACCACGATGCAAAGCTACGCGCCGGCCCGATGCAGAGCTCATCAGAGATAGCTCACCGCGAGACATGTCGCCGCGCATTCTGGGGTGCATTCCTTCTTGATCGCTACACAGCCATCGGCGGCGGCAAGGCGCTGGGCATAAACGATGATGACATCTCGGTACTTCTGCCCCTGCGCGACGAGGACTGGCAGACACCCGACGTTGCGCCGCCGCTCTCTGCGCTTGAGTTTTTTAAGCCAGTGAATCTGCACGCGGCCAAGAGCGCCACATCGACAGAGTCACCCAGCACGGCAAATCGCTCTGCAAAAAACCAAGAGGGCCACGCTTGCCAAAGCAGCTCGAACAGCAGCATAACTGGCAGCAGCTGCAATGTCAGCGGGAATGCCAGTCCGATGGACCAAAGCACGACGCCCAGCCGACACAGCACGCCGCCGCTCTCGTCCAGCGGCTGGGATAGCCGCGCCGGGGAGGCAAGCCGCATGGGATATTTTGTCAAGCTCATGTCGGTAGTTGGCCAAATAGCGCAATATATTAACACGTCCAAGGCTGGTACCAGCAGCAGCGATGACACATCGGCAAAGTCAGGCCGGCTGAGCCCAGGATACGCCGCGCTGGATACTGCGTTGATGCGCTGGATGGGTGAGCTTCCGATAACGCTGTCGTACTCCGAGGCCAAGTCGATGGACACTGAACCTGAGACCGCTGTGTTTATCTCGTGCATGCACGCTATCTACTATGGCGCTGTAATCATGCTGAACCGTGAGAACATAGGCCTGCTGCGCGACCTTCCCGGTCAACTCGATGTGTCGACCAACCTGGCCATCCGTTCTCTCGAGAGGTGTCGCGTGGCGGCCATGGAGATTGTCGAGATCACACACCATATCTGCACCCTGCCGTCAGCCATGACCAACGCGCTCCTGCCATGGGCGCTCTTCCAAGCCGGCACGCTGCTCATCCACTTTATGATTGCTGGCAGCATGCCGCAGGCCCAGGAAGAGGCGCGCTCTGCAATCCTTTCTATCGACAGCGCGCTGAAAAACGAGCTATCCCGGTACTGGAGCGTGTCGACAAAGTACCACCTGGTGCTGAGCAACATGGTCAAGGCCTGGGAGCGCACGCGCCAGTCAACGCCCAGCCAGCAAACCAACATGAAGATGCAGACCCAGTCCCAGAACCAGTCGGCGGCAGGCAACTTTGGCAACTCAGCGGTCGACACGTTCCAGATGATCAGCGCTCAGACCAATATGCCCATGCAGATGCAGATGCACATGCAGCTCCCCAACTCGAGCCATATCGCCGGGTCCCAGCAGGACCGGCAGTCGCAGGCGAACCACGCAGATGCATTCTCTACTCTGCTGAAGCCCTTCAGTGCGCCGTCTCCCAGGTCGCTTGGCACTATCGACGGCGAAAACGCCATTAGCCACATGGCCCATGGCCAAAGCGTACAGCCCAGCTTTTCATTCACTGCAGACACGGCTCAGGACTCAATCAATACGCTGAACGCGTTTTTCTCGCAGCTCTCGCAGGAGCAGGCCCGCCAATTCAACGAGGGCCTGCAGTCGTACTACGCACTGCAAGGTGGCTCTTCCAAGATGCTTGACACCAGTATGGCCAATCAGAACATTGGTGCCATGGATGTAGCAAATTCTTCGGCAAACATTTTTACTGGCATATTGATGAGCTCGACAACACCACAGCAACCGCAGCAGCAACAACAACCGCAGCAACAACCGCCATTTTTGATGACTGATGCGGATATTCAACAGCTTCGAGGTTCGATGTTTAGATCGGTCAACCAGGGCCGTTTGCAGGCCCGGAGAGGATCGCTTCCAATCTCGAGCAACGGGATCTGTTCACGGCCCCTGGTGCGCCAATGCTTCCGACACCAACAGCGCCTATTTCATTGTCGGGAAACAACGGCCAGGCACCTGTATTCATGCGCCAAGCGGCTGGTGGAGAGCATATCCTTCCAATGGAGCTGGATCCAATGCTGTTCAACCCGATGTCGCCGTTTTTCCAGGAGGTGCGGCTGCTCAACAACGCGGCAAACCACCAGATGCACCAGCCCGCGATGCAAGGCAGACCGGGGAATGCATCATCTGGACAGCTTAACGACCCAAACAACCATTCTCACAGCGGAACCTGCCAGTAAAAATCTCTAATATTTTTTCTCTCAAATTTTTCACCATAAAAAAATTTCAAAATTCTCGCCGTAATATAAATTGAGGATAGTGTTAGAAATGCCCTATAAATTGATCTGTGCAAAGTTGATCAAGCTCTAAATTTTCAGCTGCAAAAAATGGATTAGGGCGAGTGCGGGGAGGAAAAAAAGTATGCGCCTTGGTGGCTTAGGCCTTGAAAAAGAACAATTATTTGTTGCTTTTTTAGCTTTCTCTTTTTTCTATTATTCTTATTCTCACCCAATTCGAAATCTGAATTTCAGATACTTTTATCAAGCGCAACAGCAATTTGTCCTGTGCTAACACTCTTATACTGATTTCATATACACATATATATACTCTCGCATTACAAACACAAGTGAAAGGCCCATTCAGCTCACTTCTTTTGTCATTATTTTATTATTATTTATCTTCACATTAAGACACACATCGAGTTTATATTTTTACAAGACAATCTAATCCAACAAACGAGCTTTTTTACCTCCAGGGTTTACCTACGAAGGCCTTATTAGTAGACAATGAGAATTAAGAAGCTCCAGCACAAGCGGCTTAATTTCCCGGTAAGCATTCAAGCGCTTCGTTGCCATTATTAATTCAATTTGGCACAGGGAGAATTTTGCTAAATACACGCGTGTCTTAATTATTTAACTGCATATTTGTGTAGCCCCAGGAGATGCAGCCGCTGCGCGAACAGCTCGAAACAACACCAATTAACAACATACACGAGGTGCTCAAACCGTACCAGGAATGGCCTTTTGTTCGTGGCGACATGTACCACTGGATTACCGTGCTCAACCGGTTTGACGACATAATGGCCGACGTGTGCGAAAAGTTTGGGCTGACTTCCTTGCAAAAGGTTGACTTTGATGCAGAAACGCGGGTGCTGCTGGTGTCCATTTTGGAATTTTCGAGGCTCCTCATGGAGAACTGCATCAACCGCAATGTGTACAACTCGGTCGAGCGTCTCGATTGCCTGCTCAACACTAGTGATCCTGAGGTGCTCGAGAGCACACTGCGGATGCTGCTGCGCGCGGCGCATCGGTGGAGCTACCAGCGCGACGTAAAGACCAGCCTGACTGTCATGAGCACCCGTCTGATGACTGTCGCCGACACTTGGCGCACAAACAAGGACATTACCACCGGGAGCGGCAACAGCAGACAGTCGGCAGAGGGCAGCGTGTCACACACCAACGAGTTCAAGATGCTTGCTAGCGGCGATGAGAGTACACCGCCAAGAACAAGCGAGGCAGTCGTTCGCTACTCGTTCTTCCGCACTGCCGACGAGGCACGCCAGCTTGAAGAGGATGCCGGCAGCGATCAGAGCAAGCCACAATCAAAGCGCAGCTCAGGCCTGGCCACCGAAGGCTTGGTGGCAATAGACGCGCCCATCGATAGCTTGAACTTGGACCGGGCAGCCAGCCGCTACGAGCAGGTGCGCCAGGCATTTGACACACTGGTCGCCCAGTACAGGATTCCCGCCGCCCACCAATTTGAACTGCGCCATCGCATCCAGGTGGCTATGTCCTTTGCGACTGGCGACAGCGCTCTGCGGTTCACACTGCTGCGCTCGCGCATTTGCGCAGCAGCCTTCTCTCGCAGCTGATGAGCGAACAAGAGTTCAAAAACGCGTTCTTATCCCGCGAGCCCAACTTCACAGCCGACATCATCAGCGTGCTGCAGCCCGAGGTGCACGCACCGCTCAGCGTTCAGACCGCAGTACTTCTGGCGCTCGAGGCCGTGCTCAAGCAGCGCAACGAGGTGTCGGGCGCGTACGCAGCGCTCAACGCGTCGGCCAACCACGGCGTGCTCATGTTTATACTTCGCAAGGCATTTGCAGGCACCGGCAGCGAGCAACCGCTATACCCGTACGAGTTCATGAGCGCGCTGTATGTCTTCCTCACGACAATGGCCAGCAACTTGAACGGCAGCCAGCTTCTCGTGTCGGCCGGCGTCGTGCCCATATTCGTTTCGGTTATTAAACACACTTACACCGGCCAGCTGCGCAGCACTGGACGAGTAGCCAAGCTGCTGGACCTCTTGATCACAACAGCCAGCTCGGCCTTCCCGCGTTCTGTAGCGCCGACGGCATTGCTGTGCTGGTCAAGCGCATGCACACAGAGGTCGCCAATGCTGTGACCATCAGCGATGCCAATCCTGAGGCGGCGACGATTTCAGCAGCCCTGTCAATCCGGCGCGGCTGCCTGATATCACAAAGCAGGTGTACCGGCGACGCGAGATCCTTGCCCCTGAGCACATCTACTTGCTCAAGGAGCTGTTCAAGCTGCTCTCACACTTGCTGCAGCAGCCGACGTACCACGACAGGCTGCGCAACTTGATTGAAACCAACCTCCCCCAGACCATGCGCACTGTCGTCACGCACCCGGCAGCGTTCGGCGGAAACATTTACGGGCTGGTTGTCTCGATAACCTCCATGCTGATTCACAACGAACCCACCAGCCTGCCGATTATCCAGGAGGCGGGTCTGCCCGAGGCGCTGCTGGAAAATCTGGAGACCCGCCTGCCTTACAACGGCGACGTCGTCATGAATATCCCGGGTGTTTTAGGGGCCTTCTGTTTGAACGAGGCGGGTATGGAGCAGTTCCGCAAGTCATCGATCGTCCCCAAGGTCCTGAGCGCCTTTTCTGACCCCGACTTTGTGCGTGTACTGCAAGAGGGTGATGTGCCGGGCTCATTCGGCGCGGCACTGGACGAGTTTATGCGTCACTTCCCAGCAGTCAAGGAGGAGGTCATGGATGAGGTCATCCGGATGCTCCAAAACGTGGTCAAAATGGGCACCAGCGAGTCACCACTGACCGAGCTCGGGCCTGGCAATACGTTCTTGCTGCGTTCGGCGCAGGAGAGCGAGATTAAAAGCTACCTCGACGACTACTACGGCATGATGCTCGAGTCAGCGACCACGTTTCTCGAGGGCCTGCTCGAGCAGCGCTCGCACAGCCAGCTGTTCCTCAACAAGGACGGCTGGGACATTGTCGTCAAGGCCATGCGCTCGCCGCTGCTGCCATTTGACTTTGTCAAGTCGCGCACATTCAAGTCGCTGCACGGGCTGGCGAGCACGCTGATTGACACGTCGCAGGAGAAGGTGTATAAGGCGCTGTTCAGCGAGCTCAGAGAGTGCCTGGCGCTGCCACTAGCCGTAGCATACCAGAAGCCGTCAACCAGCGGCGAAAGTGATTCGCTCGACAACGTGGCTGCCTTTTTGGCGCTCAGCGACCCGACATCGTTATCTGCGGATGAGTACGCCTCGGTGCACATCAAGCTGCACAATACCATCAGTGCGGCAGGACTCGTGGCACTGATAGCCAACATGGCTGGTGGATTGAACGGAGGGTCGCTTACGCGCAGCCTGAAGGACCTTTCCGACGTCATTGCGGCCGACGACTTTGTCGATCTCGTCAAGTCCATTTGCGCGCTTTACTGCGGTAGCATTAAGAAGGCTGTGGCCATCGAGCATGCGCTCACACTGCTGCCTGAGATCAGTGACGACAAGAAGGCCGACGGCAAGATCTCGTCTGCAAACCCTGCCTCGAGCCAGGCGCAGGCGCAGACGCAGGCAATGGATGTCGACTCGGGCACACCCACACCTGCGGCTATCGAGCCTTACATTCGGTTCAACATGTCCAGCCTCTCGGATGTCATTGTCACGCTGACAGTCCAGACGGGAGACCTCATTGAGTGCCTGTCGAACAGCCTGGGCCTGACCACCAAGGCGACAACGGAAGGCGCACCGCCGATTAAGCTTGGCTCACCGATGGCCAAGGCGCTGACCGACTTTGTCTTTGAACTGCTGCGTCTCTGTAAACCAGCCGAACACATGATCACAGCTGCGCAGCTGGTAGACCAAGTCATGATAATCATCATGAAGACTATGGTGTTTGCGCGCCACCGCATCTACCTCAAGCTGCGCGTCTTCATGATGTTCATCGAACTCCACGGGCTGAAGGAGTTCTGCCAGCAGCTTCAGTACATGTGGGACTGGGCCGTTACAATCCCTGCTGTTGAGGCTGCCGCGTTGGACAAGGCGTCCGACGCGGCCAAGCCTGCTGATCCGAACGCCGGCCTGCAGCAGATCATGAACAATGCGCTGGAGAGCATGCTGTCAATCCTGAGCTTCATCGTCGATGGCGAGCCGCTCATGGAGTCTCCCGAGCTGCCGGCGCTATGTAAGGGGCACGAGGAGCAGCAGTGCTGGTTCCGCATGAGCGACTTTATGGTCGAAGTGCGCCTGCAAGCCCTGCCCGCCTTGCAGCACATCTGGGAGTCGCAGCTGCTGTTCACGGGAAGCAACAACCTGATGATGGCGTTCATGTCCTGCTTGGCACCGGTGCTCAACGCGCAGCATGAGACACGCACCAACTCGTCGCGGATGGGATTCCGGGCGCACTTCCCTGGGCTTGTCGAGCGCCGGCGTGTCGGACAGCCTGCTGCTGCCTCTGCAGGCGCTGCCGGCCGCGGATCTGGAGCACAGACGCCCATACCAATGTTGGGGCGCGCCCTGGGAGCGGTTGAGCGGTCATCCCCGCTGGCGCAAACTCCCATCCAGCCGCTCTCCGCCGAATCTTTGGAGATGGAGACACAGCAAAGCAACAACGATACACCTGAAGCCACCCCTAGTGTCATTGCAGCACCAGCCGGTCCCAGCAACGACCAGAGCCAGGGCAATGACCGCAGCAGCGAGGGCGATTTCGCTACGCACATGTCTATCGACTCGGTCGAATCGCCAGTCGTGCCACCCGCATCTGTCGATAATGCCGAGGCAGCTGCCGTCGCTATAACTGAGGCTGAGGCTGGCGAGCCATCTGTGGCTCCGACGGGCATCGAGCCCTACAACTTGCCCTCTTGGCGCGAAGCAAAGGACGCCGAAGAGACCGCCGAGCGCGAGCGTTTAAAGAAGATCCGCGGCGCGCTCCGCGATAACATCACGCCGCGGGTGATAGCTGTGGTCGACGAGTTCAAGAGCAAGGCTGTCGTGCAGGTCAAGAGCGCACTGGAGCTAGTGCTCCAAATGGGCGACTCACTGGCGGACATCAACATGCTAATGAACGCGTTTAAACCGCTTCTGGACTTTGCCAGTAACATGGCGGGCGATGCCGCCAGCGGTGACCTTGACGAGAGGCTCGCTGCGCACGCGTATCTGTGGGCAGTTGTGCTAAGCAGCTCAGTGCTACTTGAGAACATTTATCCACATATGGGATCGCTCAGCCCGCATATTTTGCGGGCCCTGGAGGCGGCAGCGCGGCGCGAAGGACGCTCGCCGCCTTGGTTGACCGCTCTGTTGCTTGTAGCAGAGCAGCTGTTGCAGCGTGACATGCGGCCTGCAAAGGTCAAGCTGGAAAGCAAAGAGGAGTTCCAGCGCATCGCCAAGCGTGGGCTGACCAAGCTGCCGCCGTCCAAGGAGCCCATCGATCCGAGCGTCGCGCCCGCCGAGTCCTCTGTTAGCAGGGAGGCCGAAGCAATTAGGAGCATGTTTGCACAGCCTTTACTGCAACGCTTGCAGCCACAGGGCTCGGCCTTTGAGCAGATTTTGTTGGGCCACGATGAGGAAGAGGAAGAGGAGAGGCGATGACCTGTCTGGTGACGATGCACAGGCGCAGCCAGGCCAACAGACCACTTCTGTAGCTGGGCCGGCCGAGCCAGCCAGCAGCAGCGCCGATGCCAGCAAGCCACAGGCGTCGCCGCCCGACCCCGTGTTCAGCATTGAGCAGCGATTTGAGCTGCAACGTATTGCGACCCTGTTTTTTGCTGCCCCAGTGCCCGAATTCTCCGGTCGGCGCTCAACGCACTCATGCGGCTGATTGTCATTCTTACACGCGATCCACAGTTTGCCGTCGAATTCCTCGACAGCGGCGCGCTGGCCAGCGTCGTGCGGACGATGCGGACAATGTCAACCGGAGAGCTGCCCAGCATTAAGGCCACAGCCAAGGAGCGCACGCCGCTCGGATTTGTCAACGCGCTCATGAACGTCAACAAGGAGCAGCGCCAGGAGCAGCGCCAGGAGCGCTCGCTGATCATGCATATCCTGCGCCATGTCGTCGAGAGCCGGCCCGTACTGCGGCTGGTGATGGAGAACCTGATTCAGGGCTGGTTTGAGAGCTCGCAGTACTCATCAACAGACGTGAACTCGTTTGCGCGGGCCACGCTACCGTACGCATTGCGCAACGTTGACCTGTTTACAGATGTCGCCTCGGAGCGGTGCTTCTTGCCCAACTACAACGAAGAGATGCGCGTCAGCTGGATGGTGCTGGCGTGGCGGTCGGCCAAGCTGCTCGACGAGGAGGAGGTCGACAAGTACGAGGCGTCTTCGAAGAGTGGTGAAGAGTTCTTGGAGTACCTGAACGGAAAGAAGGAACAACCATCGTTCGAGCCATACGAGATGGATGCCGAGTCGGAGCGGTTGGCATGCCGGGTGGCAGAGTTCCTCTGCGACGAGATCCTTTCGCTGCGGACCGCACAAGCCATCAACAGCAGCGCCAGCACCACTATGCTGCAAAGTTTGGCCCGCTGCTGTTGCGCCCACGACCAAGGCGCGCGTGCCACCCAGCATCGCGCCTGCAACGTCATCGGCCGAGGACAGCCCCGATGCGATCGCGTACCGCGTGTTCCTGATGCAATGTCTGTCAGAGATGATCGCATCGTTCCCGTTCACACTACGCGCAATTTTCGTGGCGCGCAGCAGCACCGCGCAGGCGAGCGTGCTCACTCCTCGCAGGGAGAAGCCCAAGGATAAGGGAAAGGGCGTCGCCGCCACGGGTCCGACACAGGACGAGGGCCAAGCTTCTCCTCCGCAGAAGATTGATATGCGCGTGCGGTCGCCGCTCATCAGCTACCTGGTGCACGATCTGGTTGTGCGCGAGGCTGTGACCAACGCGCAGGCGCGGCGTTTGAAGAACAAGGCCGCGGAAACCGAGGGCACGGAGCTGGACCAGATTATGGCCATTGCTAAGCACCAGATTGCGTTCAAGCAGGGCCAGCTGTCGAACTCGGTGACGTTCTGGGCCTCTGCGCTGCTGAGCACGGTGTGCGTGCGGCATCAGCAGGGGTGGTCCACGACCAGGCCCAAGGCCAGCGCCCCCGCGACCGACCAGATCCACACCCTGGATCTCGAGTGCCTGGTTGGTAACTACGACATGAGCGTATTTGCTGCGCGACACATGGTCCTGGACCACATTGTGCGCGCCTTCCGCGAGTGCCTGAGCACAACGGCGGCAGGAATGGGCATTGGCGGTGCTGATGTGATCTACGCGCGCCTGACATCGTTGGCCCAGCTGGTGCACAAGCTGGTGATTGCGAGACCCATCTCGCATGGGCGCAGCCAGGACTCGCACGGCAGCGAGACTGACAGCAGCGAGCGCGAGAGCTCGAGCGCGCTGCGGCAGGTCATCCTTGAACGCGGCGTGCTCGACTTGCTGTCTGCAGCGAGCAGCCGGGTCAACCTCAACCACCCGCTGGGCCGCGAGATGCTCGGTGTATTCCTGCGGCCGATCGAGCTCCTGTCGAAGGCCGCAGTGAAAATTAGCCGCGAAGCCGTGCTCAAGGCGTGGGAAGAGTCCGGGCAAGAGAAGATGCCGTCAGTAGCCATGGGTCAGCAGCATCGCGGCCCCGGCGTGGCTGACATGTGGGACGACGACAACGCGCTTGAAGATTCTGCAGATGCCGGCGTGCCGCCAGACCTGTATGAGAACTCGGCGCTCGGGCTGTACCAGAACCAGCGCACGGCAGCCGGCCACGGCGGCACCGGCGAGTTTGACGACGGCGAGCTGATGGAGGAGGACTTTGACGAAGAGATCTATGATGAAGACAACTCATCTGCCAGCGACATCGACACCGAGGAGGAGGAGATGGTTGAAGACATGCTGCTTGCAGGAAACGATGGCGTCGATGGCGATGACATGAGCGATGCGGGAAGCGGTGCCGTCGCAGGCGATCTCGAGATGGACGAGGATGACGACTCGTCTGAATCTGGCTCTGGCTCTGGCTCCGACTCTGACTCTGACTTGGACTCGGGCTCTGAAGGCCACATGCACCTGACAGTTGCCGAGGCCGAGAACCTTTTGCAGGCTGAGGAAGACCGCATGATGGAGGAGGACGAGGAGGCGGCCGATTTTTATGGCAGCGATCTCGAGGGCGAGGTTGTTCTGTCTGGTGACGAGCACGGCGGCAACGCCGATGGCGACGACGACGATGCCGGGTGGCATTCTGAGATATCTGACATGGGTATGGACGCCCTTGACGCGCTTGAGCACCACATTCGCCAGATTGGTAGCCGCAGCCGGGGCGGTACTGGCGACGCGGGTGCTGGCGCGGCGGGCCAAGACGCAGACGTGGGCGGCGCAACAGACAATGCTGGAGATGCCGACGATGTCATTGACGACGACGACATTGATGATGACGACAACAGCAATCTCGGCTCAAGCGATGACGACATAGACTTTGGAAGTGCGTTCCCCGACTCTCTCGAGATCACGATGGAGGCTCTCGATGGCCACGGCCGCCCAACCACTGTGCGTGCGGGTGACATTCCCGCATTCATGTTCGAATCGCTAGCCAACGGGGCTACTGGCGCGCGCGGGCTGCGCATGAACCAGATGTTCGACATGCGCAACAACGGCCGACCGATAGCAGTGATCAACGGCGCGGGTGCTCGCGGCGGCACGCTGGACTTTAGCATGCCCCACATGCAGAGCATTAGCCGCGCCACTGGGCTGGCTGTCGGCGGCGTCGGCATTGGGTCGAACCTCCATAATATGGCTCACCCTTTGCTGGACCACGCTGAGCCTAGCTCCGGGCTGCAGGCACGTGTCGAGCGTGTTTCACGCAGCGCAATGAGCGGGCCGATGCGTCCAGCGTCTGACGACCTGTACGGCCTCGGCAGCATGCTCGCCACGCGGCTGTCTGCGGCGCTGACGGGTGGCCGCAGACCTGCGCAAGCGCGCGCTCTGATTACGGGGCACAACGTAGGTGCTGCTCCCGCCGAAACCAGTGCGGCGTCCGATAAGCCGTCCACCGCACCTGTCGAGTCTGATGGGTCTGTCGAGGACGCGCTGAGCGACGCCGGGTCGCAGGCATCGGCGGAACTGGAGAAGCTCTTGCGGCTGAGTATGGCCATGTCAGCGATCGAGGCATACATGCCAATGAGCAACATCGAGCGCTGGCAGGAGGAGGCGCGGCTGCTGATGGGCTCGCAGGCCAGCCTGTGTGTGCCATGGATTGTGCATGGTTTGCTCAACCGGTTGATTCCTGAGACATTGTGCCAGAGCCTGCTCAAGCAGCGGTATCAGATCGAGATGACCCGCCGCGTGGCTCAATCCGACCGCGAGCGCATGGAGCGTGAAGACGCCGAACGCCACGAAGTAGAGGAAGCAGCGCGGGTAGCCCAGGAGCAGCGCTTGCGCGAGGCTGACAGTGCTATGGTTCTCGATACCGCTAACGACGAGGAGACAGGCGGTGATGATGATGGCGATGATGGTGAGGATAGTGATGGTTTGGGGTCTGAAGGCGAGTCTGACTCTGGCTCTGATTCTGGCTCTGGGTCTGGGTCTGGATCAGACAGTGATTCCGACGTCGATTCTGAATCTGGATCTGACTCTGCCGCTTCGGGCGATGATGCTGAGGACGCTCCTGAGCCTGCAGCCGCGGTCGAGCCAGTTTTCGTCACAATCAACGGACAGCGTCTTGACATCACTGACACTGGCATTGACCCTGAGTTCCTCAGCGCGCTGCCCGACGACCTGCGCATGGAGGTTATCCAGGGCCGCCGCGAAGAGCTGCGCATGGAGCGCCAGGCTGCCGCTGGAAGTGCGGCAGGAGCAGTTCAGACTGGATCCAGCGCCCGCGACCCGCAGTCAGCGGGCAGCGCTGGCAGCCAGGCTATCAGCCAGGAGTTCCTCGATGCCCTGCCGCCAGAGATCCGTGCGGAGATTCTCGAGGAGGAGCGCTTGCAGCGCCAGATGCTGGCCCACCAGGAGATGCTCCGGCAGCGCTTCGGCGCTAACGCTACTCCTGGCATGGCAGGTGCTAGCTCTTCTGCGTCTGCGTCTGCGGCCCCGTCCCTGTCACCTGTTGCCACCGCGATCCAGGAGCGCATGCGCCTTGGCATGTCCGGCGGAGCCCCAGGCCCACACTTCTTGCACCAAGGCACGGCTGCAGCTCCCAACAGAGGAGCTGTTCGTGCCGGCGCCAGCGACAGCGAAGATGAGAAAAAGCAGCGTCTGCGCGAGAAGCGCCGCAAGAAGATCGCGTCGCGCGACATCACCACGCAGCTGCTCAGCCGTGCCGAAATGGCTGCCTTGGCGCGCTTTGTGTTCTTGCCCAGCTACTCCATGGCCAACTCGGCGGTTGTCAAGACGATGCAGTATGTCTGCGAGAACGGCCGCACGCGCTCGCAGCTCATCCAATTGATGTTGTCCATCCTCGACAGTAACGCCACTACGCTCGCGGATGTCGACGCCATAATCCGCCAGGCGATCGATATGGGCAGTGGGAGCAGCAGCGCTCTGGCAGACCCGCCGTCTTTGGGCGCTTCGGACACGGCTAACAGCGTGGCCGCTCAGGCCAACATGCTGCTGGGTGCGCCGGCTGTGGCACAGTTTACTGTGTCGCTGGTCCAGAACCAGAGCCCCGAGTTCTCATTCCCGCTGAGCGAGCTGCAGTCCAACATCCCTGCCTACCTACCGGCCCAGCGCAGTCTCGAGATGCTACACACGCTGGCTGCACACAATCCACGCGCGTCCATGCACTTCTTGATCGAGCACCATTTACTCAAGAGCTTGCAATCAGGAAAGCAGGTCCAGCGCGGCGGCGATGAGAACGACGAAGATAACCACTTCCCTGTAGTTCATCTGCTCCGCCTGCTGGAGAAGCCCCTGTACTACAGCCATGGCAACGCGATCACCGAATTGCTGATGCAGCTGCTGTCCACCATCACAAAGCCCCTGACCACGATGGTGCGCCGCAATAGCCAGCTGCAGCAGCAACAAGAGCAGCAGCCCGCCTCAGCCGCATCCGTACTTGTATCTGCCCCTGCCAGTGCTGTGGTTCCCTCTGGACCCGCCAGCACGAATTCGGCTGCGTTCCAGCTTCCAAGAATCCCGCCACATGCGCTGCGCGCCATTGTCAATGTGCTGGCTGCCGGCGAGTGCACGTCGCGCACCTTCCAGCATACGCTCAGCCTGATACAGAACCTGTCGTCTATGACAGGCGTTCTGACCGTCGTCACCGACGAGCTTGTCAAGCGCGCGTCCGAACTTGCTAGCAGCGTTTGTCAGGAGATTGCCCAGCTTCTGGATGTGCTCAAGGAACTACCGGCGCCCAAGGACCAGCAGCCGCAGCAGCTGGGCGGCGAATCCCGTAGTCAACACGCTCAATCCAGCGCCGAGGACGGGAACGCTGCCACTCTGCCAGAGCTGCCGTCGGACATTCTCGACCAGGTGCGTGACATCACGCTGTCCAAGTTCTCGCCGGCTCCGTCACACCAGTCGCGGCTTTTGCGCCTGCTGATGGCTATTGAATACATTTCAACCACAGTGGCCAAGCGCCTGGAAGAGAAGCAGCAGAACAAGACACGCCCGGCCAAGCCCGAGGCCGAGTCTGAGCAGCAGGATGGAGAGGCCATGGATGTCGACCCGACCAGCCCTATCCTTTCTGAGGACGCCCCGTCTGCAGAGCTCTTGCACCTGCGCTCGCTGTCCCTGGGCCACGACGCCCAGTTCCTGCCGCTATGGGAGGCCACTAGCCGCTGCCTGCAGTACACCAGTGAGTCTGCCGATCTTGCGCACGTGGCTACAGTGCTCTTACCGCTGATCGAGAGCTTCATGGTTGTTTTCAAGCCCGTTGTCGGCGAGAAGACTATCAAGGCGGCGGATAACGCGCCGTCGGCGCTGCAGACGTCAGCCTCGTTCCAGTCGCTGCAGCTGGCCACGCCCACCGGGCCGGCCGCGCAGGTGTCTGGCGAGACGTACTTCCAGAACTTCACCGAGAAGCACAAGAAGATCCTCAACACGCTTGTGCGCAACAACCCGGGCTTACTCAGCGGCTCGTTCTCGCTGCTCGTGTTCAACCCGCACGTGCTGGACTTTGACAACAAGCGCTCATACTTCAACCAGCGTCTGCACGACGACTCGGCCAGCACGGCCAACGCCGCGCGGCGCAACAGCACGCGCCCATTGGGCTCAGCGCTGCAGTTGAACGTGCACCGCGAGAGTGTTTTCGAGGACACGTACCACCAGTTTGTTGGCAAGTCGGGCGAGGAGATCAAGCGCGGCCGCATCAACGTGCGCTTCTACGAGGAGGAGGGTGTCGACGCCGGCGGAGTTAGTCGCGAGTGGTTCCAGGCGCTCGCCCGCCAGATGCTGAACCCCAATTATGCGTTGTTCAAGCCGTCTGCCGCCGGCCGTGTGACCTACCAGCCGAACCCGCAGAGCTGGGTCAACCCTGAGCACCTGCACTACTTTAAGTTTGTAGGGCGCATCATCGGCAAGGCTATCGTGGACCAGCGCGTGCTGGACGCGTACTTCACGCGGTCATTCTACAAGCATATTCTCGGCCGCAAGGTAGACTACCGCGACATGGAGGCCATCGACCCAAGCTACTACAAGTCGCTCGAGTGGATCCTGGAGAACGACATCACGGACGTGTTCGACGAGACGTTCAGCATTGAGGTGGACAACTTTGGCCAGCACCGCGTTATCGAGCTGATCCCCGGCGGCCAGGACATTGCCGTGACAGAGGACAATAAGGCAGAGTACGTGCGCCTGGTGACCGAGCAGCGACTGTACCGCGCGATTAAGGACCAGATCGAGGCGTTCCTGACAGGCTTCCACGAGCTGATTCCCAAGGAACTGGTGCAGATATTCAACGAGCAGGAGGTCGAGCTGCTGATCAGCGGCATGCCGGACATTGATGTCGACGACTGGCGTAACAACACGGAGTACCACGGCGGGTATTCGACAAGCTCAGCGCCTGTGCAGTGGTTCTGGCGCGCCGTGCGGTCATTTGACCAAGAGGAGCGTGCCAAGCTGCTGCAGTTTGTCACGGGTACCAGTAAGGTGCCACTCGAGGGCTTTGCGCACCTGCAGGGCAACCAGGGCGTGCAAAAGTTCCAGATCCACAAGGACTTTGGCTCTCCTACTAGACTGCCCACGGCGCACACGTGCTTCAACCAGCTGGATCTGCCCCTGTACGACAACTTTGAAACGCTCAAGTACAATCTTTTGCTGGCCATTTCGGAGTGCAGCACTGGGTTCGGCTTTGTGTGAGACAGATGACGGTAATATCCTAACTTTTCCGTTTTTACCTTTTCTCTGTCTTTTTCTTATCCATTTTTAATCTCTTTTTTTCCCTTTATTTTTTCTCTCAAATTTACTTTACTCTTTCAGTTTTAATTTCACATACATTTACTTATTTATATTTCTTGGCTGCCTCAAATTGCCTTTACAATAAATGCGCAGCACGGACGATGACGGCATGTCCACCCTGAAGGAGCTTGCACAAAAGGCCAAGGCCGAGGACGTCGAAATGAGCGTACAAACGTGTCTGAACATGAGCCATTTCAAAGCAACAATGCGGGAGCTACGCAAAGTCGACGACAACATTATTCTGCGAATGAACAATACCAACACGGCCGCAGCAGAGGACTGCCTGGCATTCTTCAATGTCCTGCGGACTGCATATGCGCGCCGCGAACACGATATTTCGTATTGTCTAAGCGTGTTGGAGCAAAGGATTGCGCAGCAGACACCCCGAAAAAACACCATGTCGCTGGAGTCGCAGCGTGATTGGGTGGAGAATGAAAGGTCGGTTGAGGACATTGTGAGATCACGGTCTTTGCAGGTGTTTAGGTCGCGGTGTCGGTTTTTTGAATTCCCTCCCGAGTTTGAAGACTACATTCACCGCAAATAGAGCTATTACAATATATTAACATAGAATAAAGATGTGTACAAAAAATAACTGGTATCGAAATAGTGTGATAACTCATTTATTTGTTTAATTGTTTTATAATTTTCGGGGAAAAAAGTATGAAATGAAACAAATTAGTACATAGAATGTTGAAAATTACAGAAAATGTTGAAGCACATTGGTCAGGGATATCACAGCGATCGGGTGTCCAGCCTGATCGACCATCCAAGCACGACGGCAGTTCATCCGCAGCAAACCAGACATGATCTGCGACAAAGTGAACCCCTGGTGAACCACATATGGACGAGTAACCGTTAACCGCAGGCCAAACATGAATGCCAGCACCGGCTTTCCCAACATTCCAATTGAGCTTGTGTTCAGCCGGCGCATCCCTGTACCGGCCACCTCCGTGATCAGTCTGCCATCGTGGTCGACAACTGGAAGGGCGCTGGCACGGGAATCGCGCAACTGCTTCATTGCGCTGAGCGCCGAGTCGCGCACAGACAAGTGGGGCAGCTTGGACAAATCAACCGACTTACCACCCTCGGAAGAAAACTTCTCATTGGCCAAGTCCATCGCCGACACATCTAAAGAGTGCCACAGCTCGTGGTTGTGGTGCTGTATGAACCGGACAACATCGTATTGAGTCAGCCCGCACACAACGACGTTGCCCTCTTCCTCAATGTACTCAACAGTGCTGTTGGTCGAGCACGCACTATCAATAGAGTACCCGCGCTGACGTCCGCCGTACCCGAAGGGTTTATCCGGCTTCTCGGGCACTTGTTGTTGGGCGTGGTGGTATTGAGGGAAAGATGGCCCTAGCTCTAGATCTGTGACTAGAACGCGGTGCTGACCCATGCTGGTGAACAGCCTGAGAAGCTGCTCTAGGGACGCTGAAGCGCTTATTTCCTTTGATGCGTGTTTGCGCGATCGAACTACTTGACTGACTGTGTGTTGTAGAACGGTGGGATTTCCTGATGGTCGACCAGACAATAACTGGAAGTGAACTTCTTCCTCCAAATCCTATTTGTTGTTGAAAATGTTTCATTCGAAATGTATATTTTTTAATGTGGGAAAAGCCTGGGCCTTGCTGCAGGCCGTGGGAGATAATAAAAAATTATCCGTAATTTTTTTACTTAATGTAAAGTGTAATCAAAAGAGGCTGCCAGAGTATCAGCACCAGGCAGCTAGCAAAAATTTTTATGCTTGGTGCATATGCACACGTAACATATCAGACGACATTTGCAATACAAAACAGTTTGTATGCATTTTTTACCTGTGATTGGATGATATAGTCACGCAGGTCATAGACGGACACGATATCGACAAACGAAGACCTCTCCTGATCCCCGCCCTTGGAGCGTCCAAATACTGGCAACGACACGATGTCGTAAGTGTCCATTAACCTCAAAGCTTCCTCGATTGTGTCGGTGTCTTCGATATTGTGGTTGAGCTGTGGGTTGCCACGATACTCCATCACATCCCGTACGGTGTATTTGTCGAGAACCGAGACCTTCATGGTTTATGTCTTATGTATAAAGTGTACGAAAATATTGAACAATTAAATGGAATGTCACTCAAAGAAAAAATATAGAGCAAAGAAGAAAAGTGGGTTGAGTATCAAGTGATGCAAAAATTTATACAGAGACAAATTTCATTGTTTTTTATTCGCCGATGTCGTTCTTTTTTGTCGATTTTGTGTCATGCGAGGCGCACAATATGAGCAAGGACAAATCAAAATGCGCCGATGGTAGTGTGATCTCAAATATTGTCCTTGAAAATATATCACACGTGCTATTTCTAGCAGATGACGGAATCGAGGGGCATCCTTGCCTTCCAATTACTGCGTTCTTGATATTGAAAGGCACTTTGGCCCCCCGCATTATTTTTACTTTTTTTCCTTCAGCGTGTATGCTCTCTGAAGAAATGCGAGCTTCAAACCAATAAGGATTGCAGTTTAAAGGGAGAACTGCAGAAGCAACAATTGGACAGGTGACAATCGGTACTAAAAGCTTTGAAAATCTGAGTATTGCCGGACTGTAGCGAAAAAGCACGATATTCGGACATTCTCCGATCGAAGACATGTTTACGTGGAATTTGGACTTTTTTGAAATATGGCAATGAAAACGCCTCCTCTCACAGCGATTTAGAATTATAAATACACCACTGTTTCACAAAATGTTTATTGGAAAAGTTTAATTAATTTTATTGTCATAATGTTTTAATTCAAGAAAAAGGGGACTAACCACACCTTTCTTTTTGATGTCTCAGTTATGCGGCTGCTGCTGCAGTAGTACTTGGCGGTCGTAATATGAACCGGCGCATTCCATGCTGCAAAAATAATCATCGTCCGGGTGAATCGGACCATGGCATTCCAAACACGTTCTGTGAGGCATATTCGGTGGCTTATTTTCGATATTCTTTAACCGGGTGTTTTACCGCCAATTCGACACTCCGCTAATGTGCTGCTGTCGAGAAGACGTGTCTGCAAGAGCTATTTTTCAAGATAAACGTATTAGTGTGAATATGTGTTGACCCCTTCAAATGAAAATACTTGGAATACGTTTGTATCAATCCCGCGAATGCCAAAGAAACTGGCCAAATGGAAAATGCAGAGTAAAATGGAAGTGGAAATAAGATACACCTCCTGCTCCTTCTATCGACAGGTATTATTATTTTATGATTGAATCCCAACACTATAGGGAAAAATGAGGCTACAAATATCCTGCAAACCGACATTCTTCCCCCAGATAAAGTGTTTAGAAACTAGTGGCAATAGATCACTATGGTTGAATATATTAAGCAGTTTGCTGCTTTTTTTGAAGAGAAGAATTGGGAATAGATGGATTTTTTCATACACGCTTGGGCTTGGGCTTGGGCTTGAGTTTTGGCTTGAGCGTCGCTGTAGACTCAACTTCAGCCGACTCTGACGATGTCTTTTTGCGTGGGAAAACGGGGTTTGAAAATACCCTCCTTAAAAATCTGGACCTCCACTATAAATGTCTGGAAATTCCAAAAAAAATACATTTTCACTAGTGAAGCGCAGCAAAGGTGTACGGGTAACTGGAATTCGTAAATGTTGGGGGCTGGTGGCTTTTTTGCATGGAAGAAAACATTCCCCAACACGGAACTTGGATTGTGATAACAAGAAAACTGAGCCGGACAAAAAATAAAATTAATTGGCAAAATGACCGCTTGCTATAAATACGCCCATTTTTCTTAAACAATACTTTAACTTGTGCCACCATTCCCAAAAAAGCTCAAAAACTCGGCTCATTTTTTGATAAACCTCATTATTGTTCTAATAATAATCTATTTAATTCTAATATGTTATCACAAAAAAATAAATTTTCTAGAAACTGTGCCATATTGACCATATTGTAATTAAAAAATGGTGCCTCTTACTTCAGATCCGTATTCACGAATTGAAGTTTGCGCTCTGTCCAACTCGTCGACAATAGCTACAAAAAACATAAATGTGTGTGGATTGATTGCTTAATATTAAATTTAATAATAGAGCTCTAGAAAAAAACTCCACGTAAAAAGGCATAAATAAAAACCAAATAGCACGTATAATATCGTTGCATTATGCGTACAAAATCAATGCCTGCAATATGTCGGTTAATAATGTCGCGGCTTTAACGCCTTGGCGCACCTGCAACGCTTCTGACGAGATCACCAGAATCCTCCAAAATATTGCTCACAAGGTTACCAAGGTTAACAATAATGCGATCAAGGAGTCCCTTGGTAAGCTGAGCGGTGTTGACAATTGAAACTTTGTCAAAACTCGCAGCGGCCTGTACTTGATCCTGGTTACCCTGAACTGGTCCAGCATGGGCCATCGAGGCAGCAAGGCAGACAATAGAGGCGATGGTAGCAAACTTCATTATTAAAATTGCAGTAAGGTTAAATGGGGTTGTTAAAGTGTGTTGTAGTGTGTTAAAGCTAGAGTTGAAATTGTTTGATGAGTTGATGAGTATTTGGAATTTTTGATGCTAACATGGATTGCTTATATAGTTGCCAGAAATGTGTAAAGTTTATGCTGTGCGCTAACAACCATATAGCTAGTTTGTGATTGTAATTTCAATTAATGGAATAATCGCATTTGTCACGTTCATGTGGAGGGGGGTAACAGGGGGCACATTGGTATTATTACATTGATGTAGGAATATATGGAATGCAAAATTTTGGTCATAAATTAGGCCGACCATGAAACCTGATTCCCATTGCTAAAAGGCAATACACTCGAATTTTTCAATAAACACAAACGTGTTATTCCAAATTTTTACTTTATTATTTGGAACAACTTTTAAAATGAATCCATAATAATAATAATAATAATAAGCAAGCGTAATAAAAGATTGTTATGTTACTGCATTGACAAAAATGATGCAAATATTGACGCCAGTCACGAGTTGAGAGTTATACCTGTAGAAAGAAAAAAGGACAATTTAAAATCCCTGGTGGCAAATAATAAATATTTTTAATGCAATAGTATTAATGATGTTATCCAAAAAAGGTATTGAGCACATGAAGTTTCAATAGCTAATATTGAATTATATTAGAAAGTAATTTTGAGATTTGCGCAGCTCAATAAAATAATTATGATGAACCAAAAAAACGCATTAAAATGTTTTTATAAATTAGTCAGCATTGCACACTAGTGGCACAGTTTAAGTGAATGACATGCTTGATAAATAATTAACTAATGAATTAATATCATAAGAACATAAAAAAAGCTAATTGAAAAATGTTTTACTTCAATCAGCCACATCTCAAGTGTGACCAAACATAAATTTAAAATTTTGTATTCGTAAAAATAGATTCACTAATCTAATAAAAATTGGTAAATATTATTTTGATATCAAGAGAACCATGATAAATATATAATAAAAAACTAAAGACGGAGTTCTTGAAACAGGTACGTGGGTCCGACTACAGACATGGAAGTTATGTGCAAACCATTTTGGTTTATAAAAAATGTATTATGTTAAGCACAGCAATAATAACTTGAAGTAAAGCTATATAGGGCTTTTTTGTGACAGGTAAGTGGACTACCTAAGTGTTTTTTGTATTCCTTGTTTACCTTGCTAGTGTTTTAATTCAAAACCATTTTTATATCGTTTCCTTTAACATATTTTACATTAAAAGCGTCACTGTCCTTACCACCTTGAAACCTGATGTGTATGTATTCTGTTTTTTTGTGCTCAAAACTGCCAATAAATGGAAAGGTGTGCCTTGGTCTTTCGAAAATACCCAAGGGGCAGATTTTTTATTATACGTATAAGACACCTCAATGACAATAAGCCCATTTACCTTGAATATTTTCACCATATATTGTATACATTTTTAGCTGCAACTTTCTTTCCAATTTCAAACCGCTTTTTAAAGATGAATAGGTCTCTAGACGTTTTGTCATTAAATATATTTTCGAAATAAAAGACATTGTTATAATAATTTTTTTAGAAAAACAAGATGAATAGCTAATAAAGTATGTAATAAAAGAAGACTAAGGTGGCAATATTTTTGCTAATAAAAATATAAAAATGATATAAATGTTAGTTGAAATGAAGAGAAGAGAACCCATCTCCTATATGTAATTATGTTCAAGGCCGAAATACTACAAAAATTTTCAACACAGTCGTTTCGTTTCGTTTCGTTTTTTTTTTTTCTATCGCCATTTTATAGATTTTCTTTTAGAGTCGGTACAAAGGCAGCTAACCTATTTTTCATAATAAAAAGACAACCACCGCAATTCTTTATAAAAATGCAGACATCACCTATTTTTATTACACAAAACAGTCGACCATATATTCAAGTAATTCTTGGAATCAAGAACACAAACACGCTATCTCTGCCATTGAAGCTGAAAATCTGGATGAAAGAAATAATTGCAATAAAAAATATATGTGTGCATTTATTGCCACTATAAAAAATTCGAATAAATCGAATAAAAGGTATTCTCAAACTGGAGGCCTGCCGCTTCCTCCGGCATTGTGCTCCTCGTCGTCACCTGTCTGCCTGCTTGCACCGAACAGTGGCAATTTAGACGACCACCGGCGAATGTTGCTGCCAATGTCGACCTTGAAATAATCGATGAACCGGTCATCAACATTGTTGTCCATAAATCCTTGCTCAGCGCTATCGTCGTTTGGATCATCGTAGTCGACCAGCTCGCCATCCTCCAAGCGGCCCAGCGGGTTCTTGTGATTGCCGATGAACTCGCACATCTGCTCGCTCCCGTTGGCAGTCACGTTCTGCTGCCTCTTGCGCCTGCGCAGTATATGCCGAATGGGCCCAGCCCCACTGTAGCTGTTGGATCTCTGGCGATGCAGGTGGCTGCCAGACAGGCGGCGGACATGGTGGGCGGCAGCAAGGTCGGAGGGCGAGCCCTCAATTCCGGTGGCCTCGGGCAAGCTCGGGTGAATGGATAGAGGCGCCCGAAGCAGGTCACTGGAGCGTGTGTGGACCTTGGACAGCTCGGGAGCGCTCATTATAGTGTCTCTTGAGGCTGTGCGCGAGGTCTTTGGCGAGGCCAAAACCCTGTCTGCGTCCAGCACGAGGCTGCCGTCTTCATCGCTCTGCTGGAAATCATCTTCCTTGACCGCAGCAGCAGCAGCAGTAGCAGTAGCAGTATCAGCCACAGTGGCGGGATTGGCTTCAGTCACAAACTGCACACTCGTGCCCTCCACATGCCCCCCTGCATTCACATCGCTATTTCTGTGTGCAATCTCTGATTGCCGCGCATCAGCAATGCGCATAGAAGCCTCCGCCGCATCGTCAGTATCTGTGGTTTCCAACCCGCATATGTCTCCACGCGAATTCGCCAAGGCTCCAATATCATATGAGCTGTGGGATTTCGGCGGCAGAATGACGGAATTGTTGTGCATCTGCAGATGTGAGTACTTCGAGCCGCTCAACGGGTTCAATGTGTGCAGATTCTGTACGTGCTGGGTGTACTGCTGCCTGATGTTGTCTCTCGGGTAATGGATGTCCATCTGGTCCCGGGACATCTTGGGTTTGTCGTCGATGGTGATTGTGCGAATGAGGTCGAGGGGCGCCGTCTGGTTGTGGTCCTCGTCAGTGTCCCTCTCCAACGACCCGTCCAAGTGGTCCTCGCTGCCATGTGCGGCTGGCGACTGGTAGCTCTGGGGAGTGTCTACGTCAAACACCGCTCGGCCATCGCGTTTCGCCGGCGCATCAGCGTAGTCGACCGGCGTGCCCCTGCTGCTGTCAATCATCGGAATGTGCACGCCGTGGATCCCAGCAGGCTCGCGTGAGCTGACAAAGGACAGGCGGCTGGCGATTCCGTTGCGGATAGACATGGACGATATAGACCTGCTACGGCTGCGCACAACCTTGCCAATGTACAGCAGCGGCAGCGTGATTCCGTGGACCAGCACAGAGGAGAAAACAAGGAAGCTGACGATGGGCACGATGATTTCCCGCGAGCGGTAATGGAAATGCTCGGGCTCGTGCTCAATTTCCTCGAGCACAATCTCGGCAAAGAAAAGCGCGCCGACGCCGATGGGGCCGAACCAGCCGGCAAACAGGGACTGCCGGTAGTTCCTGAACGCCGGCGTAATCCGCGTAAGCATAACCACGATGGGGAGCCGGCGGAGCAGCAGGACCATGATGGCAGCAACGATGAGGCGCCAGGGAGCAATGACCAGCTCCGCGTTGTTGAACTTGTGCCATGGGATTATGGTGCCGAAGTAGATAAAGAACGTGACGTTGATCAGGCCGTCCAGCACCTCCTGGAAATGCGCATCCTTGGTCTCCTCGCGGAACCAGTCGTCCCACGTGAAGGCGTGCCCAGCAATAAAGCAGCACAGCACGTCGTCGCTGCGGATCAGCTGCAGGATGCCGACGATGAAAATAGACAGGCCAATCGAAAACGCCAAAAACGACTCCTTGTCGATAAGCTCGTAGGTCTCGGCCAGCCGCAGAAGCTTTCGCGCAACATACCCGATGACAATGCCGATGACGATGGAGAGCAGGATGTTGTAGCACCAGATCCAGTAGAACCACCGGCCCATGGCGTGGCCTGTGGAATACCCTTCGTGCAGCAGGTATAGTGCAAAGTACAGGAACGGCAGACCCAGGCCGTCGTTGATACCGGACTCGGCCGAAAGTGCATCGCGCACATTCTTGGGCACGTTGGCCTCGGCGTATTTGCCCTTCACGACGGAGTTGGCCAGAATAGGATCCGTCGGTGCCGCGCACGAGGCAATGAGCAATGCCTGCTCGAACCCAATGTTAAACATCAAATGGATGATACCAGCAGTGACTAACCACATAACAACCATCACTGGGCCAAGGAGCACAGACATGGTCCGCCATTTGCGGATGATATATCGGCTGGGCAACATGATGCCGGCTGCCATCACCTGGATGCCAATGACGTAACGGGCGAACTCTAGTGTGAACTTGTCTGTGTCGAGAAATTCCCGTGGATCCACAGCGTTGATTGCCTGGGGCCCAATGATTATGCCAAAGAGCATGGCCACGAGCGATTCGGAGAGAAAGAGACGCTCCTTGACAAACCCCGAAACGAGGCCGTATATGCAGATAAAGCCGCCCAGAAAGGCCGGCACGACCTTTGATGCGGCGACAACCATACAGAAATGATTAAAGGTGTTGAAACAAAAGTAACAAGGAATACAAGTACAAAGAAGAAAAGTTAAAAGAAGGTATGGATAAAAAACGGTTTGTTGCAAAAAGTGCCTATATTGTATTGTATGTGGGGAAGGGAAAAAAGAAGAATAATAATAATAATAATAAGTGATGATGGATGATGATGATGATGATGATGACAAACAGAAGAGGAAAATGAGAAAAGATAATAATTCTTTTTTATATCGGAATCATCGAAAAAGAATAAAAGGAATAAAAGAATATAATGCAAGCGTGCGTATAAACAATTTTTTTATGGAAGTCTTATTTTTTTGTGACCTTGCAGTTGTAAGTGCCACAGGAATTTATTGAGTAGAAAAAACATGAAAAAGCACGATCCAATAAAAAGCCATTTTCGTTTTTAAACAGCTGAATATTTGTCCATTTTTTATTCTGTTGAGGTTGAGAGTGTGTAAATTGCGTCATTACACCCTTCTCAGTAGAAGAAAATGTTAATAAGTTGGCTCAATCAAAAATTTTGCTGCTTTCCAACTAGTATTTTTATGCAGATAGAAAAATTACAAACTGGGATGAGATTGGCGCTTTTTTCTTTCGCATATGGGAATCTTGAAGAAAAAAAAAAAAGCAATGCGGAGAAAATCTCAATTTTGAATTTGGAGCAGAGAAAAAGAGAATCTTCTTTCAGGGAGTATCTCGGACAGATTCTGGTGCTAAGCAGACAAATGACAAGGTTCCGATTTTTTAAATGTTTTTTTGTTTTTGTCGTCGTTCTTCCATACTTAGAGATGGAAGCTGGCACCAGGTCACTTTTTCCATTAGTAAAACTTTAGGTATAGTGCTGAACAGCGAAACAAGCGATTTGGATATTGTGGCTTGGGATAAAGACCTTTTACTGATACAGTCGGTAGAAGAAGAAAAAAAGGCCCACAACACTTTGCAAATACCGGTCGGAGGCATGGCTTTCTCAACATTGGGCCTTTACAATATGGCCCGGGCATATGTATTCATCATCATCATCAAATTCTAGCGACACTTTTCTTTCACACGCATGCTTTATCTCACATCACAATCACCAGCTAATATCTTATTCTCCGAGATTATTTGCTCCATATTTTCTCACAGTACATATCCGATTTCGAGATGCATCCATCTGGAAAAAGCGCGTTGTGAGGGTAGATCACCTGGGCGCAATTTTTTTTTGCAAATAAAAAGCACATACATGCGCTGCAAATGTTCAGATGCTTCTATGAATATGCATACCATTGTCCTGAGACCCCCGAATGATGTGTTTATTCCAACCCCAAAGTAGCTGGATTTTGTAAATGAATTTTTTGTTTATTTTTGTTTTTGCTCAGAGATTATGATTACTTGAAAATATTGTCTTCAAACTGCCAAATAAAATGCTTAAATGTGCACATGCCACTCTGGAGCAGTTTGAGAACTGGCCAGCATGGTGTGCCGCCATCAATACGAGTGGCAGCACTTACAGCGCGTTGCAATCCTTGAAATTACAAAAATAATTTAACCAGGAATTAAGAAAACCGTACTCATTTTCTAACACTCCGCCCACTTTCACCTCGTGATCCAACCCTATTGTTTTGGCATGTGCTTGTAATATAAAATGATGAAATATGGCTGATTGAAAAGCAAATGAGGTAAAGTCAAATAAAATATATTATTTGAATGCGCATTTACACGATATACGAGCTAATAAAGTCTTAAGAACACTTGATTAATAAGGAGGAAGTGTGAGGTGTAATGCTTAGCCAAGTAATGTGTATTCCCGCTGGGGGCTCTGACAGTGCGCTGAAAATGATGGTCAGTCCAACCATTTTTGCAAAAATAAAAAATCCCGTAACCACCAGCAGCAGCCACGCGAATCAGGTTTTTGGCTATCTATTTTTTTCGTTAGTTATTTTCGATTGTCCACCTGTTCAACATTCACTTTTTTATTTGCTTTTATTATTCATCCATTGGCATTCCACCTCCCCCCTCCTCTCAGCTGTTACAATGCTATTCAGCCACCTACATCCTTATAAAATCACGAGCATCATTCGACACTCACGCACACTGATAACAGGCAGCATTTTCATCCGCGACCTTCCTGCTCACCACAGCCACCAAACACTCACTGATGCAGCGCACAAACACGGTCATATCTACGGCATCTGGATCTCCACGTCCCCACCAGCTTCAACCATACCGCTGACAAACTCGCGCCGAAAAACATCCCGGCGGCATCGCCCAGCGGCCATCCGCATAACAAACCAACCGGTACCTGCAACCCTCCAAGAAATATCCAAACTCCCACCGCACACACAAGAAGAAGCCGATCAAATGCAACGGGCACTGTCTGACATTGTCCGGTATCTTGGTGAGCGCGGGGTGGTGGCGGTGGCAGTGCCAAAGTTCCCGGATATGTTCCAGAGCGGAGCTCAAAAGGCCCTGGGATTGGGCGCTGGAACAAGGCTGTTTGATAAGCGCACGACGGATCGTCCGAGGTTTACAAAGGGATTGGTCGACGGGTACAGAAAGGGATTTAGGAAGGCGCGCGCGAGCGCAGATACCATGATGTTGTTGAAGGAGGCGGCAGATAGCCAAATGAGATGGAGTTTTTGGTGAGCTACTTTGAACACATTCACGAGCAAGAACAACAGAACTAGAGCCAGAACCAGAACCAGAACCAGAGCCATTAGAGGTTTGAAGCATTAGCCATTTCATAATTTATATTTGAAAACCTATTGTATGTTTATCACTTTATTCTACATGAACCAAAGTTGATTATTCGATTCTCCGGTCGGTCGGTATGGAGTTCTACCAGCATTGTCGCTCCCTGCACCTTGTTCTTCATCCGATGGCGGCTGGAAACCCAAGGCAAAGCAGCAGGAGAGACAAGAGCAAAGGCAGCAGGCAAGTGATAGTGTGACAAAAACAGGAATAAGCACCAATACCAGCCGAACCGCACCCGGCAGATTAAGTTTCCACGCGAGCAAGGCAATAAACGAATAAACAAATGACGAAACCATAGCAAGCAAAATACAACAAGCAATGAAAGCCCCCCGCTGCTGATTCTGCACAGACTCTGGGCTATCCACATTGTGCATCTGTCGGAACATTCTGTACAGCATAACAACAGCCTGCACGAGCGGCACATACGTGGGTACAAACACCAAGAACCAGTCGCACTTCAACGTGTGGTTGAGTTTGAGAATCACCATAGTGATCTGCAGTAGGCGGATAAGCAGCCACCAGTACTTCTCGGCAGCCTCAGCTGCCATGCGCCTCGCCATTGGCTGCTGCTGGTTGTCGGGCTTCGTGAGGGCAACCAGGAGGCTGAGCGTCAGAAGAATAAAGTGAATGGCTTCAATGCACAGCCAGGGCACGAATACTCGCCAGACTGACCAGTGCACTTTGCCATCTAGCCTAAGTACCAGGGAAATCTGGAACGCTACAATGAGGAGCACGTAGATCAGCGGGGCGGCTGCAGACAAGCTCGCAAACTGCGACTCAGCAAACTTTCCAAATGCACGCATCTGGTCGCCGCTGCTCCTGTTCCGGCGGCGACGACGTGTCTGCTGCTGCTGCTGATGGGAGCCGCCGACCGCCTCATTTGAAGAAAACAGCGGAGTTGTGTCTGTCGGCGCATCAGCATCACTGTCGGCATCATTATTGGCATCGACAAAAGATGTCGAGGAATTATCAGACCGAATGCTCTCTCCATCATTGTTGTCATTCTCCCTGCGGCTCGAACCCCTCTTTCTAAACCTCTCTACCATCGCCCCAGCATGCCACCAACCACAACAGTGTCTGTGATCCACAGGGGCGTAAACACCACTCCAAAGGGCCACTGGCGGCGGCCATCCACGCGAGCAGCCAGCAGCGCGAAGAACACGATAAGCATGAGACTGACCAACGCGCTGGCAAGTGCAAATAAACTCAGCAGACTGCTCACCTGCGGGTCAAGAAATTCCCCGCCCATACGGTCTGCCATTTGTATACCCATCTGTCCGTATCGATCGTATATGCGCCGTTTGCGCTCATCTGAAAGAATATCATAGGCGTATTGCATGCGGACGAACTCTGTTCCGTCCACCCCTGGGTTGCGGTCCGGGTGGTGCTGAAGTGCAAGTCTTCGGTATGCGCGTTTGATATCAACTGCTGTGGCTGTCTTTTCTATATCAAGGATTGTGTATAGGTCCTCGGTGTCCTGTATGTCTGAGGAAAGTGTGTCTTCGGACGCAGTGCCGGCCATGGATGTCATTGTTTTGGGCTCACTGTATGCTAGTCCGCGAGTTTTTTTTTGAAAAATGAGTGCAGTGCAGTGCAATGCAATATGAAAAATGAAAGTATTCAAAAATACAAAGACAAAAGCGATGAAAAGCTTCCAAGGGTGGGTTGAATATTCTGTAATTTTATGCTGGAGAAACTGCACTTTTTCTTATATATTTGCACTCATTCTTTTCTACAATGTTTTTATATGCATGCGCCACGCTCTTTTGCCTGTGCTAATTTTTGGATCAAGTAAATAATTAAACTGTGACTTGGGAATGGCTGCATGCCTGCACAATGCGACTCAAATCTTGATGCTCCTCCCCCCTCCACTCATTGGGAATTTTGGAGCACCAAAAAATGCTTGTTCGAGTCGAAAGAGGCAAAAAATTAAGACGCCAAGGAAAACCAATGCGGAGAAAACAATATTCCCTATTTTTTCCACTGGATTTTTTTTTTTTTTTTTGCATTCGTTCAATATACATTTCGACAAATATTTTTTTTACCTTTAATTCCTATTTCCCTCTAACCATTTAATTTCTCTTTTCTTAACGCAATGTCAGCACATACACGCTCGTCGTCGCCATCGTCGTCCCGTGAGAGTACAGCGGAGCCAAATACAGAGCAACTGGCAAACCCAGGAGCAAGGCGAGGAGAAAACACCAGAGCCAGGAACTCCTCAGTACGCTACCTCAGGGCATGCGACAACTGCCGGCGGCGCAAGGTCAAATGTGACGGAGGCAAGCCCTCATGCGCACACTGCAATCGCGTGGAGGCGCCATGCCACTACAGTATCAAGCCAAAGTCGCGGCGCATGTGGAAATGCCTGGAAATACAGAGAGTGGCTCCCCGCAGCCAGTGAGTGCTGCAGCAGTAGGAGAGGGCATTATGGACAGTACCACAGCGCGGCTGATGGCGAGGGTCGAGACAATGGAGCGGCTGCTGATGCAGAGGAACAGCGGCAGGGCCAGCACACCGAGAATATCCGCAGACGACAGTGGAGCGAGGAACCAGGCAGCAGAAACCACGCCAGGTGTTGGTTTGTTTGCTGCTCTGAGCGCAGGCACATCTGGAAACAGCGTTGTGCCTGCAAAGCGCAATAACGACAGCGGGCCAGGAAACGCATCCGCGGGCAATGGCGACTACTTCTCAAGTGCCGACCCACACCGCGGCACACCTCCATCCTTGGCAACAGCGACTGGGTCGTTGCCTGCGGGGTTCACCATGCCTTCGGCAGAGATTATCAATGATCTGGTCGACTCGCTGTTTTCCAGCAACTGCAACACCATCGAGCTGCTGCACGAAAAGACATACAGGCGACAACTTGCCGCAGGCACAATGTCGCCGCTGCTCATGTACAGCTCGCTGGCTTCAGCGGCCCGGTACTCCAAGCACCCAGCAGTGCGCACAGACCCGCCATACAGCGCATCGACTGGATTCATCAACAAGGCCAAGACGCTGGTTGTAGAGGCCATCGAGGATCCGTCGCTGGGCAATGCGCAGGGTCTGATGATCATGTGCATGATGAACTTTAGCCTGGGCAACGAGTCGGTGGCCACGTTCTACAGAGCGATGGCGTTGAACATGTGCATCATGATGGGCTACAACCGACTGGACAGCATCAACGGGCCGGTGCAGCCCACCAGCAATTGCGTACAAGGGTTCTCGGCGGCCACTGCAATGGCAATGGACTGGGTTGAGCTCGAGGGGGCGAGACGACTGTGGTGGACGATATTTTCCATCGAGAACTACGCCTCTGTGTGCATGGGTTTGGCGCCCTCGATACAGGCCGAGTATTGCAACGTCAACCTGCCAGCAACCACCCTCGAGTGGGAGAGGGGCGCACCCATGTCGAGCAGCGCCAACAGCGACGTGCCAAGCAGCAAACGCAGCCGTATTGCGCAGAACCCACTGCATCAGCTCCCAGCCTACCACGCGCAGCTCTCGCTTATATTCTCAAAGGTGGCGTGGCTGGTGACGCGTACTAATTCGGATTCTGAAGACGCAGTGGCCGAGTTTGGAAAGCTCAACTCTGTGCTGACGCGCTGGTACGAGGGCTTGCCCAAGGAGCTGATGCTCAACAGCGTCGACACACTACTCTACGGCAACCAGAACTCGTCTGACCACCATGACATTTGCCTCCTGCACATGCGCTTCTACACCACCATCATACAGCTTAACCACGCGATTCCCGAATTTACTGATGACCCGGCGATTATCGAGCCCGGCCAGCGCAAGTGCGTCATGTCTGCGTCGCGCATCAGCGATCTGCTACGGGCCTCCTTCGAGATCCCCGTTGAGTTCCGCGATATGAACTGGTACATGTGTGTTTTCCGCGCCGCGCACATTCATATTTACCGCTTGCTTTCGCGCGATACAGAGTCGATTGACCGCGCGAAGCAGGATCTGGCCATCCATCGCCGCCATTTGCGAGAGGGTGGTCCACTTTGGCGCATTTGCTACAAGCTACTGAGTCGCTTGGACGATATGGAGCAGATGGTCATGCTGCTGCCCGCGCAGATCCCCGTAGCCGACTTGGTTCGCCTGAAGAACCTCACTCGCAAGGGCAAGTCGCAGCTAGTCAACATGCAGCTGGATTCATTGATTAAGCCCAACCTGTACCAGACCGAGAATGGCGACAGCGACGACATGCCTCTCCTCGCGCGAGCATCCATGGCTAGCGGCCAGAGCCAGCAAAAGCAGCAAAGCCAGCAGCAGCAGCAGCAACATACCGGCTGCAGTCTTGGTGCGCTTCTCGACAGCCCTGTGTGTTCAAACATGGGCAGTGCTGTTTCTTTAACCAATTCATTTCCACCCATGCCCACCACTCTGGGAAGTCTAGGGATGGTCCAGCCCGGGCTTCCCGCATCAATCTCGCCAGCGAGAAACTTCCTTCCGCCGTCATTCAGTCAGCACAGCCTGTCACAGCTCCCTACGCTAACCTCATTGACCTCATCCAGCATGGATGTGCCCGCGGGTGAAATTGCGCCCATCAACACGAACATTGTTATTGATAACAATATGGCTGAAACTCTCGTGAACTACTTTTATATGGTGGCCAGCAACCAGTCGCAGGGTGGCGAGACACAGTCGCACAAGTCTGTAAGGAGTGGATCCACATTGTCCCTGAATTCGCCTCCTATATTCAACAGTGCCAACGGTCAGATGTCGACGCTTGTGACCTCCGTGGGAACTAACGCCTCGCCTGCCCAGCAGCAGCAGGATAATTCCCAATTCATGACCATGGGCAACGGGGAGTTGATTAACCAGATTCATAACCAGCAGCCAACATCAATGTCGTATAATGGATTTCAGCAGCAGCCGCAACATTTACAACAGCAACAACAACAATCACAGGGAATTTTTGGGCAGATGTATGACCCCACAGAGTTGCAGAACATAGCAGACAATGCTAGATCATTTGTTTAGAATTTGCATTTAAATACATCTTATTATTTTTAAATACAAGTGCGTTTGCACAAACAATTTTTTTTTAAAAAAAATGCGGCGCTCAATGAGGCGCATTGCCACATATCTCCAGATTATTCTGTCGTGTATCTTTATATGTAAACAAAGATGCTGAAAGCTCAATTGAAAAACGGTTATAATGCTTTGAACATGGTATCTATTTTCCATCAACACTCCACATCTCTCTACTCATATCTCAAATTATACACTGAATTTTTTTGGCACTATGGAAGCAACCCCCGCAAAAAAGACAACTGTCCTAAAGGATGTTCTCAAGCAACTGGTCATGGATCCCAATGGCTTCACTCCTCAGCATGCGGCCGACGGCTTGCGCTCGATAATGCGCGATGAAGCCAGTGACGCTCAGATTGGTGGTTTCCTGACTGCTACAAGATTTTGTGAATTCGAGAAAAACCCCATCATGCTTGCGGCCCTGGCCCAGGAAATGCTTAACAACGCGCTCATCCCCTCAATAGAGACAGAAACCAAAACCAGACCAGAGTTTGGCATCCTGGCCGATATTGTTGGAACTGGTGGTGATGGATGGAACACTTTCAACGTCTCGACCACTTCTGCACTGGTGGCCGCCGCTGCAGGGCTAAGAATGGTTAAGCATGGCAGCCGGGCAGTCTCTTCTAATAGTGGCTCTGCAGATTTGCTCGAGAGCATGGGCTGCGATCTGAACATTGTCACACCCTCTGATGTGGCCAATCTCCTTGATAAGCACAACTTTTGCTTTCTGCTTTTCAACACCTTTCATCCGTCATTGCAGTACTTGTTTGGCATTCTTGTCGAGCTAGGGTTTCCAACGCCATTCAACGTATTGGGCCCGCTGACCAACCCGGTGGTTCCTGGTTGTGCGGTTATTGGCGCCCACTCTAAGCATTTGGGCCCAGTCATGGCCGAGGCGCTGAAGATCCTCGGCCATCGCAATTATGCTGTTGTGTGCGGCGACGAGAATCTTGACGAAATCAGCATTGCTGGTTTGACACATGTATGGCACATTCAGAGCAACGGCGAGGTCAAAAATTATACGATTCACCCGAGTGATTTTGGTGTCGCCGCTCACCCATTATCGACAACCGCTGGCTCTACGCTTGAAGATAACAATGCCACACTACGGCGGTTGCTGAGTAACAAGCTGGAGGAAAGGATATTCCGGTTCGTGACTTTGTACTGGTCAATACTGGGTTCTTGTTGTTTGTGGCCGGCATTGCTACATCGTTGAAAGAGGGCGCTGAGATTGCCAGGCAGACTCTTGAGTCGGGAAAAACGAAAGTGCTTCT